TTTTTTTGTTTGAGAACACCCTGTATCATGTTGAAAAAAATTTTTGAAACACCCTCAAAAAAATAGTTTTTACACTGATTTCTTCAGCTTTCTCACTTTATCTGCTCTCCAGAACTCACTAACTTCACTAGGACCGATTTTTGAAACCTCTGATTTGAAGCGGTTATGCTCCTTTTTCAAAATCAGAACATTCTCGATTTCTCATTTCAGATTTCAGAGCTTCTTTAGAACCTTGATGAATAAAAATAAAAGAAGACCCACTGTGTTTTGCTTACTTATTCGAAAGATATAGTGAGTTATAATGAGTTTCTTAAAGTTCTCAAAACTTCGTTTCAGCAAGTGTTGCTTAGAGGGCTCCAAATCTTGTGGAAGATGATAAAAAAACCCCTTTTTCATATTTTTTTAAATGTTTTTAGATCATGAGATAAATTTGTAACTCCTTTTTCTAGCTCTCAGATCAAAGATAGGCACTGTAAAAAAAGTTTCTTTAAACTTTATGGGAAAAATAAGTTTTTTTGATCTTGTGAAACTAATGCTTCAGCAAAAAAATTTAGCAGTCTTCAGGATGTAGGAGCCTGAAATTTAGCCATTAATTATTTTCAAATTCACGATTTGAAAGCGATTGACCAGATAAAAAAACTACTTTGAACGCCCGAAAGTCCAGAAAAAAACTGTTCAAATCAGAGGTTTCAAAATCGGTCCTAGTGAAGTTAGTGAGTTCTGGAGAGCAGATAAAGTGAGAAAGCTGAAGAAATCAGTGTAAAAACTATTTTTTTGAGGGTGTTTCAAAAATTTTTCAACATGATACAGGGTGTTCTCAAACAAAAATGACCTCGTATAGTCCATTTGAATGAGGAGGCTTCAAAACGCAAGGGCCTTTCGAAGAAAAAGTCACTACGCTCTTACTATCGGGTTGGTGAGGGGCTGATTAGGTTTTTTGGAAAGCCGAAGACTTGTTTTACTGGGGAAAAAAGTTTCTGGTTCGAAAACGAAGTTTCTTTGAAAATATGATTTTTCGAATCTCAAGAGAAAAATCTTGATTTTCACGATTTTTGGTTTTTGTTCTCAAATCCGGTCTGACTTGAGCAAACAAGTTTTGTTTTTTTGGGAAAAAGTTACTGCGTAGCTATTTAAAAATTTTTGCAAAGTTTCAAAGCCATTTGAGCCACTTTTTAAAGAAGTTATGCTCGAATAACCACTTTGAAATACCTTTATGGCCAGTACTGTAACATGATTTTGGGGCAGCAAAAAGTATTAAAAACCTGTATTTTTTTATTATTTATTTGCATCACAAGAATCAGAAAAAAACAATCGTGAGAGGTCTAAAATTTAAATAAATTTTTTTATCTTGAATGTAAACTGAAAACTAATTTTTTCTTAGATGCAAACTAAGAGATTTTTAAAAAATTGAGTCAGAGAAAAAAAGATACGAGTGTAAGAAGTTGACCCGGAAAGTCAAAAAAACTTCAATATTCACTCGTTTTTTTATTTTCAAAAAAATTAATTTGTTTCGCTGATTAATGTCGAATAGGGAATTTGTATGGAAAAAGGGTATGAGAACGCGCAAGCCGGTGCGAGTCGGGACAGTGAAATCCTTATAACAGGACGGCGACTCTGCACAGTCGCTATCACTATTTTTACCAACATCATAGCAGGAAGGCTCGGATCGCTGCCTCCGCGTGGCGCCTTCTGGGTGAGACTCCGTCTCAGCTAAAAGTGATCCATTTTTGGTGAAGCCAGCCTTCGGGCTGGCAAAAAACCATAATTGTCCGGATAACTACAAAGGTACATTTTTAAGTAGGAATCAATTTACGGCGTGTACTTGGTTTTGAGATAGAAATTGTTATATAAGTGAAAAAAAAGTTTATCCAGCAAGTCAGTTCTACCTTGAAAAATTTCACCTCAATAATGAAGAGTCCCTTAGAAAAAGGTCTTTCACATAGAGCGTCCAAAGATAATCATTCAAAGCCGACTGGAAAGCCTTTCCACGGTTTAGTGTCCTCTTTCTTTCAAAAAAAAGTGAATTATTACTTTACGTCTCTTCTTCGTTTCAAAACTTGCTTTTCGAAAGAGAAAAAAAAACCATAAATGAAACGACAAACGACAAAAAAAGTCACTCAACAATGCAATGACTTGCAAAAACGTCTAAAAAAGCGTTTCAGGGGTTTCGAAAAATCTCTTTCGTTTCTGCCGCTTGAACAACTTCCGGGAGCACATAAAAGCTAAAAGTTGAAAGGCCTTTATTCTTGGCCAGAAGTCTTTCAGTTCCCTTTTTATATTGATAATCTCCAGCTTGTGGGGCCGCTCGAAGATTTCTTAGCCTCGGGGCATTAGTGAGTAGGAAAATGTGCGAAACAAATGACGAATTTTCTTTCTTTAAAGGTGTTCAAGTACTAGAACGATGTCTCGAAAAGAAAGAAAAAGACTCAAGAAGCAGTCGAAGCTACTAAATCAAAAAACCACCAGCCTTCCAGTTTAAAATGTTCGTAACTGCTTGAGTCGCAATCCTTCATGTGGCGCCATTTACCAAAACAAAAGAAATCAGATGGACCAATCAATCTTGGCAGGCGAAAAAAGCTCCGGTAAGAAATAGGCACAAAAATCATTGGCTTTTTCCTCTTACACAAAGTGAGAAAATAATTAAAAGGCGGGAGAAATTACAACTCTTCCAGGGATCATACGAATTTTCTTCGTGTTTTGCAGAGATGCTTTGGAAGAGTCTTGGCTTTTCTCAAACTAGTAAAAAAAAAGACTAAAAAGAAATAACAAAAACTTGAAAAATTGAAAATTCCATTGATCTTATTTTATTCTACATTCTCAACTGGCTTAGGTAACATACTTTAGCAAAGTTAAAATGAACGAAATGAACTATTTCTATGGAAATAGAGAGCTTTCGAGCTTGTTTGACGCTAAAATAATTTCTCAAAAAATAAATTCAGAATTTCATACGAGCGCAGATAGAATGCAAATACCAGCTTGTCAAGTTTTTTTTTTAACTGAAAATCGCTGAATAACCGACTCATAGGGAAAAAAAAAATGGAAAAATGTCGTTTTCAATTAAAAGCAGCGATGAAAATTAATATTCTTTGTATTTTTTTCTAGCCATAAACACAGAAAAAATTTTTAGCGAGCAAACTGAGACTGTTGAAGAGGAAAAAAAGAAAAACGACAGCCAAAAAAAGAGGAGAAGCGCGTTTTGGAACAAAATATGAGTTTTTTTGCAGTGCCCGCGGGCAATGAAGAGTCGAAACGCCGTGTTTGAATTATGCATCAAGGCCAGCGCCAAGGATTCGGATAAATCAGTTCGCCGCCAATCGGCCATGTCAGCTGTGAAGCTCGCTCTGTTTATTCGAACTATTTGCAGTTTAAGGTGGTTTTTAATTTGCTTCCATCAGAGCTCCCATATCACTGTCATCAGAAACAACATTCGAAAAGAAATTCCTTATTTGAAAACACGAACTTTTTTCCAACAATTTCCATTCGAACTAACTAGGGAACGCCTTTCAGTAAATCTTTTTTCGATTTATGAACTAAAGTTTGCAAATTACGCAGATTATGAAAAAACGCTACTCCGAGCTTTCAAAGCATTCTACTTGGAAACTTGGATTTATTGCAAGACATTTTTTTCCTTGTTTCGAGATCAAGAGTTCCTAAAGTACTTTTCCGCAAAGTTTTATCAAAAATTCAACCGGGAGCTGAAAAAACGTTCACTGGTTAGATGAACATTTAGATTTCATGAAACATCTTTACGAAAAAAAGGCAGATTCGAGACGAGCTGCGGGAGTTATGCAAAAGAAACCGAGAAAACAGGAAGTTCAACGGTCGTCAAAATATGGAAATTTTATTAGAACTACGTTGAAGTTCCTTAAAAATCCGTCGCACGATCAGAAGCAATTAAAAAGAAGGATAAAAGTGCAAGGCGTTTATAATGAGAAAAATCGAGCAAAGCACACGGAAAATGAACTCGCGACGATCAAACTCAAAGTTCTAGGTGGCTTAAATAGAGCGAAGAGTGTGGAACTTTTATAAAGGGTTCAGTTTTGATGGTTTTCAAAATTCTAAAACAAGTTTCCAGCTGTTACAGCTCTCATAAAAAGAACCAACAGTCAAAAATCTTCAAAAATCGTGCAAAACTGGTAATTTCGAGTTTAGGAGAGCTTTGAAATGTGTTTAGGAATGCCAAAATTCAGATACTTCTTAACGAATAACTGAAAAAAAAGAGAAAGGAAATCTTTTTCAATGAATCGAAATTTGGTTCACAAAACAGTTCATCTAAAACTGATAATTAAAAATTCGAAAATTAAACTTTGGCCATGTCTATATCATAAAATTGAGTAACTAAATACTAAAGGTCGTAAATATTGTTTTGCTTCTGAATTCATAATTAAAAGTTCGGAAGCATGAACTTGAAAACCCCAATAAGGCTTTCTCAAAATTGTTGAACAAGCTCAAAAAATAGTCAAAAAATGACATCTAAGTCTAGAAATCGGAAACGGTAAAAATTGTTTTATCAACCGTAATCCATAATCCGCTAAGAAACAAAGAAACAACAGGGGATGGCGCAGGAAACTTCGAAGTATGTACATCTTTCGAAGCTGATTTCAAGCTGAGGAACTGTACAGGTAAGTTCATTTTTCAAAAATGCATCAGTTTAAGGAACTTATAAAAAAATATTTTGCAAAGTTTAAAGCTATGAATCTAGTCCGAATAACGGAAAGGCAGCGGAATCTATTATAAAGAAACAAGTGAAATAACTCTATTAACAAGAATGGAATGGCTTGAGAGAGGTATTTTTTAAAGAAAAAGGAACCTCTTTGACCAACGGAGAAGAAGTTTACAAGGTGTTGGAATGTTTTGTGAAGAAAGCTGAGGAATTTTAAAATGAGTCGACTTCCAACAAGATGCTGAGAAAATTGGAAGATGAGTCCATTATCAACAATTTGATGGCTTGAGAGAGGTTTTTGAGAACTTTTTCAAAGAAAAAAAGCTCCGGATCGTGTTCAGCCAACGGAAAGGAAGCTTCCAAGGTGTTGGAATGTATTATAAAGGTCGAGTTGGAGCCAGAGGTGAGAGGTGAGATTGCGGGTGGTGGGAGAATGGGTGAGCGTGTGCGGCCGTGTGAGAGCGGCCGCTTCTTCTTGGATGCGATCCATCGCTTCACAACACCTGTCCTTCATATCGCGTGTTTATTTGCGTTAAATTACACTTCTTCGAACGTTGTGAGCGGCCCTTCGTCACTTTAGAGCAACATTTCCACAATGAATCCGAACACATTATCCCGTTTTGATTGTCCGCCGCTGAGTTATTGAGAAAATATTGCCTTCCCGATTGTCCTTTTTTTCACTTCTATTTTGAAATTCTCAAAAAAAACACAGGTGAGAGATTCTGTACCAGAAAAAGTTACACTTCCTTAGGTTCATGATAAAAAAATAAATTTTCATTATTTCCAACTTTTAAAGTTTCCTCATTTTTTTCTAAAGAATGACATAAACTTGAAGGATATCATAAATCTATTTTGTTCTCAAAAAAGGTTTCATTGTTTTCTAAATTGTTGCTTATTTTGATTCAAAAAAGCTGGAGATCTTGGAATTCGAGGCTTCAAAATTTTTCTGTCTGTTAACCGCAAAAAAAGTAATATTTCCAAATTTTGATTTGAACCTTGAAAACGAAATTTTTAAAAGCGTGCGTGAGTTTATTCTGAGTTTAAAATGACTCCTTTTTTAATTTAAAAGTGCCGATCGTCCTACTAAATTTATTTTTTGGACGGAAATGAACTTCCTTCCTAAATATTTGCATCGCAATCTTGTGAAATATTATTGTAATAAAATCTTGAATATTAGAGCAGGTAATTCAAAAAACGTCTACAGAACTGCAATGATAAAGATTGAAGACTGAATCGGGTCAGAAATCTTAAAAGAATCGAAATTGAAGTCTCTTGTTCCCTCTGATAAACTGGAAGTCCAGATCCAAAGAAGGAAAAATCCGCAAGAAAATGTTTGGAAAAAAAGAACAAGAAAGGCGACGAAGCGCCCTCGTAGACTTATAAACGCGGAATGTGGGCCTACAGAAGAGTCGTCCAAAATAGTTTATTTCCTTGCGGCACACGTGCTCAGAAATGTGCAATGTAAACTCGATGAGCGTATGTGTTTGGGGAGGCCACAGTTGAAATATGCCACAAATTGGTTTTTATCCCATTTGACGGCGCTTCATCGAATTGGAGGAGAGGCGGCGACTTTCGGAAGCACAAAAAAGCTGTCACTGCCTCTGGGCTCCGATATCCACTTTTCGGGCCACGGCTACTCCTCCGCTTTTTCGAATCTTCTTAATAAACAATTTCTATACGATCAGAAAATTTCTCTGGGGCAATACTACTCGAAGATCAGAAGAGAGCGCATTTCATTCAAATTATTGGAACATTGTTTTTGAATTGGGCTTTATAATCTTTTTTTCTCAATGTGAATTTGGTCATCTACATATTTCGTTTCTATTATGAAAAAAAGAAACTTTGAGAGCCTGATTGGAATGAAATTATTAGAAAAAAATCTCAACTATATCTATACAAAGAGAAATTAGAAAAAAATGTGAAACGCTTGATCAACCTTCAACACACAACTTGGTAGCTAAAAAAACATGAATTGGTGAACATGATAATAAAAACAAAAGATTCACTTGAATTTGAGCCCCTATTTCAATCAAAAAAAGTAACTGCGAATTTTTTTGAACCTAGTTATCCTTTGATTTCAGTTTTTTTGGAAAGTTTCAAACTTTTTGGTTCGACAACCGTTTCCAACTGATTAGTTGATGGGGAAGATAATCAAAAAAATGAGCAAATTTTTAAACTCAATCACTATATTGGAAAATATAAATAAAGCTAACGGCGTCCAATTTTAAGACAAAGACATCAAATCTGACGAAAAATAAAAAACAAGGCGCTTCGTCAAAAGATTATTTGTTGTGACAGGCTTGTGTCATTTCCAGAACTCGTATCTATCTGTTTTGACGTGTTTTTTTTTGGGTTGACTCGAGAAAATAACGGGTCTTCGGCGGCAAAATGTTTCCGGTCGACTCTTCTCGGCCTCGGGGGATTTGGTCGTTTGAGAAGCGGACTTTATTGAGAAATTTCTTCGTTTTCCACCGCATATGCACATTGCGTCATTGGACACGGTATTCCCCAGGCAGTCTTATCGCGACGAAAACTCGCGTCCTTCGGAGGCCTCCACATCCCGCGACGCTTCTCGGAATAAACTTTGACAAGTTTTATTCCCTTTCGAATCGGGGAAAAAACTCGAAATTTTTTTGGGCTCACTGTTAATCTGGAAAAAAAAACCCTCAATTTCTTTTAGTAACTCAAAAAATTCCCAGATTTAATTTTAACAGGATTTTATAAGATGTTAATGTTCTTAGAGAGTACTCATCAACTTATGAAACGTTTACAAACATTCTTTTTTTTAAATACTGAAGTTTCTCTGAAATATTTCATTTTTGACTGCGTCGGTAGACACGTTTCATTTTTAATTGGGGAAACTGGAACAAATGACTTTGGAATGGTTTTATTTGAAAGTTTTTTTTTATCTGTTTGAGCTTTAAATTAATCATTATTTGAACTTTTTTCACAAGAATCAAAAACTTTATTCGCAATGAAAATTCGGCGATATGGCTGGAAAATGGCAAGATGTATCACTCTTTTGATAAATACTCATAAACAGTTCGAAGATGAACTTGGTGGTTTCGAAGTTTCTGATGATGTGTAGCAGGACGCAAAACGATGTACTCCGTGATGTCCGACAAGGAAACGAGACCCTGTAACTTCTCATCAAAATTTCCTCTTTATTACTGAACTCACTTTGAGACAATTGTACTCATCGACCATGAAAATCCGATGGACGTTTTTGTCGACAAAAAGCTGGACCAACTCCCACATCGTGGCATTCTGGTTGGCGGTCACTACCCCATCTCTCAAGATTCCCTGAAAAAAAGATACTTTTCCGTGCGAAATTTTTCGAAAATGTTTTGTTTGCATAAATTCCCATTTATTTTTCAAAATGAAAATGGCTGAAGGATCATCAGGTTATGCAAAATTAAAAATCGATGGTTTGCAGAAAAATCAACCCTGACAAGAAAAATTGTCTTACTTTGCGGATAGAAAGGTTTTAAAATTAGCCAAATTTACCACAAACAGCTCTGAAAGTCTCAAAAAATTGCTCAAAAAAAGTCTATTACAAAGGATTTTGAGGTTTTCTCTGATTTTGAGATCACTTTTCTCAATTACTAAGAAGTTGTGGAAGTTGAGACTCTCAGAACCTCCATCTTTTACATCAAGAAGTGTTTTGGCCTATTTTCAGGGATTCCTCATCCGCAAATTAGAACGACTTTCCTTGTTTTGGATTTTTTTTTTCTGTGGTATCTAGCGTCATTTGAAACTAAAAAAAAACCGTTTAAAGAAAACTGAAACGAGCTTGATTATATAAGTTTTCTGAGCGTTTTTTTTTCGAAATGCTTAAGAATTGTACAAGGTCATTGAGTTTTTTTTTTCTTGAGAATTTCAGTTTCTTGAAACTTACAGAAACATTTTCTCGGCGCTTGATCGCTTCAGCAACAGTCACGCTTAAGTCGATGTCTGTCCAAAAGGCCGCAGCAACAGTGTCGAATCGAGTGTAGACGTCCAGAATCTGAATAAAAACGATAGGTAAAAACTTCTATTAAGGGACAAAAAAAAGTGAAATCAAAAAAGAAACCTTGAAAGTCAACTTGACTCTGATATCTCATCCTTATCTCAAAAATTATCTTTGGACGAACCTTCAAAGTTTTATACTCGACAACGGGCATCCCACTGATTCCATTGTCGATAAGCATATCCAAAGCTTGGATCAGGGGCATCCGCTCAGTAGCCTGAACTTTTTTGTGATTTAAAGTCGCTGATAAATTCATCCTACGTAGATCAAGCCATTCCAAGTCCCGACCGGAATATCGATGGCTCGCTCATTCAAATACGCTGGCTTCGGTAGTAGAGCGCACTGAAATGAAGTATTTTGAGTTTCACAGAATAAAATACAGTTTTCGAAATCTCACATGCTTCCAAATGTAGTGAAGGATTCTTCGATGGGTGAGGATGTAGGCGCAGTCATTAGTGACGTCATCCATGACCGGAAGTCGGTGGATACGATTTTCGGACAAAAGTTCGACCGCTCGGAACAAGCTGGAAAAATATTCCAGATAATTTTTAAGAGGATCTTTTACTCCGTGAGAATATTTCCCTTGAGCTTTGATTATTAATTTCATTAGGGAAGGAAACGTACCTTTCATTGAGCTTGATGCAGACAAATGGTTTCAGCTGTCCTTGATATCCTAACAGCTCTGAAAAATGTTTCACTTAGACTTTGTTTCAATTCATCGTTCAAAAAACTACGTTCTTTTCATGGAAAAGCTTTCTCAGGAATCCCCACGAATCTTAAACCTTTCCACCGGCGAATTGGCATATGAGCCACGTCCATGTTTTCGAAATCCTCATGACTTAATGGCGTCCCTTTCATCTCGTCGAGATTATCCCGGAATTTCCACAACATCATTAAAACCTAAACCCTGGTCTCCATTTCACAATATGTTTATGTGTGCTCACCATAATAAAATCCGTAATTGAAAGGACACCCGTGATTGCAAGAGACTTTGAGTCAGCCACTAATCCCGTCCTGACGGCTGGAAAGCTCATTCATCCTTGATGACACCGTGATTAGGGAACTCACAGTTATAAATTAAAGCGTTGAAAGCTTTCCGAACTGATGTGTCATCAGTAAAGACGATTACTTTGTTACTTCGAGCCATTGCCTCGTAACATTGCGAAAGTTGGAGCAGATGGGTGTAGACCATTTCTGGCTCGTCTTAATTTATATTTTTGAGAAGTTAAGAAAACCTTCCAAGGAACATAAATGATTTAAAACATATATCTTCCGTGATTACACAGAAGTTGGACGACTTCTAAAGTTTAAAGATGAAAAGAGAATCATCGCCTCATAAAATCATCAACTGAAACAGTTAATTGCAGTTCGAAATTCGAATTTACCCCCATTCCATAACTTCCGAAAGAAACTCGTAAACCAACGCATTCGGTCCTTATAAGTTGAATCCTTGGATATTTCCCGAAAAATGAGGAAAGTTCCACAACACAACAAATAAGAGTTTAGGCTTGTTCAAGTTTTTAAACCGCCTAGTCATTTTTTTCTTTCTCCTGTTTTTTTTTTTGAACAGATAACGTGTGGATTTCCTCGGATTTCAAACTACACTGAACCCTATTCTCATGAAAAATTGAACGTGTTTCTCACGAAAAACCTCGTCTACATTCCTCCCAAACAACTGTTGGAATCAGCCAACCTAATGATTGATAACGTTTGAAGATTGAACGATTGCTGTCAGATCTCAAGCTCAAAAACAAAAGCAAAAATAAAGAACTTACTGATCCCAAGTCGCGCGACGGTCTTGAACATTTTGTCAATCTTCAGGCTTTCGTCGACGTCATCAGGCACCTCTTCGGGAGCATATTTTGCGATTGAATGGCGACTAAAATATCATTACCCGTGTCCATAATGAACGTTCTTGGATATTTCTCGTTTTCAACTTTTTCTGAGAGCTGAATTTTTCAAAAGTTCTCCATACATAATTCACTCGCCTCTAACTTTCGACAAAGTGTTGCTGAAGATCGCCAAAAGTTTTTTTTTATGAATTTTGAAGTTCTAAATTGAATTGAAAAAAAAAACATAGAGAAAATTCTTAACAGTTTCTTGCAATATTAACATTAACATCCAAAAACTCCTTCTTACACAAGTTTGTCAATCTCATATAATAGTCTTGAAATCATTCCTCAAGCCAGTTCTGTGGGAATTCTACTATTGATGCTTTAGTTACTTAATTTATTAGTTTCATAAATTATCTTTCTTTAAGGAACCCAGCTATTCACAACTCATGTAGATATAAAAATGCTCAAACTTCAAGTACTTGCTGACTCTCTGAAAAAAAAAAAAACAATTTCAAACCTGATGACGTCTCCTTCGCGTTGAATCGCTTGCAAGCCATCTTTCGGCGCCTTATCCGGCCGGAAGATGAAATGGTGCTGGAGGTTGAATTCCGCTGAAATTGGTTTTTTGAAGAGTCCAATAAAATCAGCCAGAAGCATATTGAAATTTTTTTGGTATAAAAAAAATTTTAGATCGAAAATCTCTTCTTGATATCTGTTTGTTAAAAGTTTATTTCGGAATGTTTGGTTTGAATTTGAGAATGAAAGCACATAAATCCAATGGAACTCGCCTCTCAGACAATGCTTGCAATCAACTATTTGTACATCGTTTTGTAATTCGCAAAAAAATCCGTCCAAAAAGGGAAGAGCAGGTTTTTTTTTTCTGGAGATGGACTTCGGAGTTTTAGTTTTTGTCAGCAAAAAAATTCAAATATCTTTAATAAAAAAACCAGCTAGATTATTCTTATTTTGATCAAATTTCCAACGTAATTTAAAAAGTTCTTTCTTCTCAGCGCAAGAAAAAAATCATTTCAAACAATGTTTAAATTTTCAAAAAAAAAAAGTAAAAAAACATTTGAGCTTTTCGTAAACTTTCTAAGCTTCTTTTTTTATTTATTTGAGGCTTCATTGCCACTTTCCTTCTTTTTTTCAAAGCCATTCTTGCACATGATATTTTTGTTCTGCCTGTAAATAAATATTTTACTCATCTAGTGAAATTTTTGTTAATATTCCCTCATGCATTTAGAGCTATAGCAGAAGTTTTTTGTCCTATTTTGGTTCATTTCATAAAAAATTGTTGCAACCGAATCATTTGCTCATCTCAACAGGAGCAGGAAAACGGATTCAAGACCAAACCAACCTTTGGGTATAGTAACCGGATGGAAGTTGGTGGCCTTGTTGCGACGTAGCTGACCAGAAGAAGTTTGACTCATCGACGGCTCCTCATTGACTGCCAATTCACAGCTTCTTCCCCGCGGTGCGCGTCAACCGCATGCCCAAAAAAGAAGTAACGTTTAAGGAAGTTGAAGCGGCGCAGGAAGTGAGCGAAAAACACGAGGAATTGGCGCGACGGCAATATCAAGCGAGATCTATTCATTTCATCCGAAGAATCCCTTTGGAATCTTAAATAGACGTTCCATTACTACTGAGAATGAGTATTCAATGGAAAAGGTAAGCTATAGCGTTAATTTTTCAGCAGCGGAAGGATCTTCTCAACAACAATATCGCATTCTAAAGAAAAAATTGAGTAGAAAATAAAAAATTGAAAGCTGTAAGAATTATCCGGATTGGTCAAAACTGAAAAATTGCATTATTGGAAACAATTTCATTTTGTTTAAAAGCGACCTTTTCGAATATTTCAATAAGAATTTTAGTTTTTAATCATATTTTCTATCATGCAAAAATTTTCCTGCCCTTAGATATTTTTTTGAAGGAAGGCAAAAAAAGTCCCTGTTTAAAAAAATTTAAAAATTCTTCTGAGAGGTACTTCATGAAGTCTAATTTTATCTTGGTCAAGTAAACTGTGTCTAATAAGTTTATAAGCCTTAAAAAAATCTGTACTTTACCATTTTAGTGAAAAGAAGGCTTCCAAGGATTACATGATTAGAAAGCAAAGGCGATTTTTGCCGGGTTCGAAATCTTAAAATTTTCATTTTATTTCTCAGAGAAAAGTTCACTTTGCTTTGCGATTGGGATTTTCCTGAAAATTTACTAGTCCACTCTTTGATGAACCGAAAGAAGATCCGAAAAGTTTCAATCTGCACAATTTCCCGGTTTTTGAGAAACAAAGGCCCTGAAATTAAAAACAAGCATTTTTACGAATTTCGAAAGTTCTTTGACTTTGGGTTGTCGTTTTTCAGAAAAAAAAACTTTTAAAAGTTGAAACTTTTAGGATGTTCGTCTGGAACATGACTAGCCGACTTTCAGGCAACTCCCAGTGACCTCATTCGTCAGTTACCGAGACGATTTTTTATTTGACTTGGCAAAAAATTTATTTTTGATACTGACAAAATAAGTATTCAGCAGAAGAAGCAAGAAAAAAAGCCACATTTTAACGCTCAACAACCGAATTCAGCTCTGAAAACAGGAAATAAAGACGCAACGTAAAGCAGATTTACAGCTTTTGGATTTTCGAAGAATGAATTAGGGGAAAATGTCGTGTTCTCAGAACAATCCGACTAATGGAAATGAGAGGCGTGTCTCTTGAAATTTTTTATAAAATGGTGAGACTAATTGTAGTGATCACCACGTGATAATCCCTTATAATTGTCTATTAATGAGAAAAGCCTGCTGAGAGATTTTGGAAAAGCTCGAAAAAGGTGAAAAGTGGTGAAAAGATCTTTTCGAGAGAGAAAAAAGCTGTTCGCGTACGACTTCCGCAAGACTTTTTAGGTTTCCAAAAGAGTTTCAAGTTGTCTCAAGAGGAAGAAAAATTGGATCAAAAGTCAAAGTTTCGAAGCTTTTTGGATTTTAGTTCAGTTTTGGGATCACCTTGCAAAAAATGTCATACTTTCATTATTTTGAAATTTCAACAACGATTTGATTACTAGAAAGAAAAAGCAATATGGAGAGTTAACATGAAGGCTTAACTAAATTTCTATAAAAATAATGTCAAAAAGAGTTCTTTTTATTGCAGTGAAGTTGAGGAAAGATTTTTTCTCAGATTTGTAAACTTATCAAAACACTGTTATCATTTATCATTTTTTTCAAATTGAAAGGAAGTTTTGGTACTTTCAGAGCAGTTCTTACTCAGAAGTTTTTTTGTCCGCGTTCAGCTCACCCCATATTTGGGGAGTTTCCGGTGACACCAACTTGGAGGAACGGACTTCGCCACCATTATTTTTTTTTTTTTTCAGTTACTCGACTTTAGATTTTTGGAAGGAAAAACTAGAAAATTTGAAATTAGCTCAAAAAAGTAGAGAATGTGAAAAACTGAGAGAAATAATAGACATTTTTTTTTTTTGGATCTTTTTAGGAAAAGTACGGAAGTCGGACCAATAAATCGAAAAAAATGTCTGAAGTCGCCTATGTTTTTTTATACATTAAAGAAATGATAAAAAAATGTTGGAAAAAAACTTTGAAAGCGCATTGAAACCGGAAAAAAATAATTAATATGAGGCAATTTTTTTGAATTTTTAAAAAGCTTTACTAATGACATAAAAAAAGGAACTGGTATATTATTGAAAAACGCATGAGTTTTGGAAAGATATGGTATAAAAAAAGACTTGCGAGCAATAGTAGTAAGTAAGAAAGGAAAAAAACAATTTTTTTGATTTTTTTGATTTTTAGACAAAGATGCAAATGTTCTATTCTATATATTAAAGTAATGAACAAGTATGTACAAGAAAGACTGAGAAATTTTGAGAAAAGAAGTTTTTTTATTTTATTTTGATGTGGTGATTTCACTAAATTTTCTACGCATCAATGTGATGAAGGAATCTGAGAAAAAAATGAATACCGGGAAACTAAAACTGATACCGGTCAAATTTATAGGCTAAATGAGTGCAAGTAAATGAAAAAAAGTTTTTGAATTTTTTTGGATTTTTGATTTTTTTATATATGAAAAAAATTTTGTAGAAAAATGCAAGGAAAAAAATGGAAAAAAAGTGCATTATAGGAAAAAAATGATTAATAAAAACTTTATACTTGGTTTTTTTGTTTTTCTAGGTTTTTTTAATGACATTAGAAGGAACCGGTTAAATATTGAGAGACCAGGCAATTTTAAGAAGTTGTGGACTAGCGTAAGTCAAAAAGACCGGACGAATTTGTAAGTACCAGTAGAAGAATTAAAAAAACCGATAAGAAACTTTTTGTTTTTTTGATGGTTTAGAATGAATTTCGTTATTTACTATATTAGAGTTAAGAAAAAGTTAGGAAAAAGTTCAGAAATGGCCGAAAAAAACTTGAAAAAAATTTTTCTTGGTGTTTTTTTCTCAAAAAAATTTAAGGAAGAATAAAAAGCTCACCTCTCCTTTGATAAGCTGGGTGGTTGCGCCAGAAGTTACGGAAGAGTCTCTGGAAAAAAACGATAAGAGTTCGAATCATTATGTCTTCCTCACCACGAGCGGCTTGAAGATTCGTTTTGCAGATTCGGTGTCGCCGCGGAAGTATTCCGGGCAGTACAACCCTCTCTGAAACACAGAAACATCAAGAATAGTTGAAGAATGAAATCAAACCCTTTCTGCAAATGAAAAATAGCGGCTGAAGTAACGCAGGGCCCGGTAGATCCTCTCAAATCTGTGTGTGAGGGCCCTCATCATTGTCTTAAAAGAAAAATCAAATAGTAAGAAGGAAAATCGAACGAACCACTGCGTTTTGGTACGGAAGGCCTTGACCAAGTACTTCAGGGAGAGGCGGCCTTTGATCAGGGGCCTAAAAAAATCAAGAAAATTAAAGATAAATAAAAAATTATTTCCTAAATTTACTTAAAAAAATGTGTGAGTTTGAAAAAAACATTTGAAAAAAAGCTGAAAAAAATTTTTTTCTGTTATTCGATATTCTGAAGATAATAGTCTAAGAAAAAAACCAAAAAATCAAGAAAAAGTAACGAAAAAAATAAAAAGAAACAATTCCCTCATTTGACTTCCTTCAAAAAAAGTGAGTTTAAAAAAATATTTGAAAAAAAGCTGAAAAAAATTTTTTTCTGCTATTTGATGGTTCGAAGATATTAATTTAAGAAAAAAACAGAAGAAATTTTTTTCCAAGTGTTTTGAAACACAAACCGGGTGAAGGTGGTAAAAGACGTCAGGAATCATCCAAAGAACTCGGCAGGCGTCGTGGGTGGCCAGAGCGTCGATGACGTGTTCGGCTTCAGGGAATCGGTCGTCGTGATGGTAGCCACGATTGAATAAGTCGCCGATCTTGATGGCGTGCGAGGAAACTGATCTGCTGATGCGGAGGTAGACTTCGACGGCGGTGAAATCCATTTTCACTAGTTAAGTTCTCTCCGTTCTTGAGCCCTTTTATAGAAAAAACGGGCGGCTCCAAAAAGAAAATCACACTACAGTCACACCTCCCACCGACGGCGAGACGGACCGGGGGACCATAAACTTGGACTCGCACCGTGGCGTCGGCTGTAATTTTAAGCGGCGTTAGGAGTTGCCGACTTTTAAAACTCTTATCTGTCCATAAATTACTTTTTAGTCGAAAAAGCAAAAAAATGAAAGACATCTTTTTACAGTCTTTTTGAAAATGGACTCACAATCCGAATAAAACTTTTAAAACTCTGTTTTTATTGAAATAAATAGCACATTTTTTTATTTTTAAAAGTGGCAAAAAAACTTCTTTAAGTCCTGAGGAAAAATTTTCCTTCGACGAAGTTCTTTTCGAATTTTTTTGGATACTGAAAACTCAGAATGGAGAAAACTTCGAAGAAGGTTTTTCGTAAACCTCACAAAAAAATTCATCTCTTATCTGTTGAGAGATTTGATGATCTTCCAAACAAATTGCTGAAAAAAATTGTTTCTTCTTCAAAGCTGGTGAATCTCTTTTTGGACAACTTCAAGGAAAAAAATGAAAGAAACTTTTGTGAAACTTCGAATTTTTTTCTTCACTGGAAAAAAATTAACTGAATATTTTTTTATGAATGTGTTAAACTCATGAAAATCATAGTTTAAAAAAATCTTTCCAAATCTCTAATAAAAAAACATATTTTTTTGGGCCTTATAAAAGAAGATTTATTCAGAAAGTTAGGGTTTTTACGACAGCTTTTTCATCAATTTTTGAGCCAGAAATCTGTCCATCTCAGTCAGCAAGAAATCTTCAGAAGGCTTGGCCAAATATAATTTGAATTCAAAAAAACTTTATATTTGTTTGTCTGATTTGCAAGATCGTCATTATTTTTTTCAATCATTTTATCTTTTGAATGAATTTGTAAAAATTTATTTGATAAGGATTTGCTCGTTCAAAAAAAGAAAAAAAGGTGAAATTTTTCTTCGAAAAATCTCTTTTTGACTTACAGGATTTTTTTAAAAAAGTTTGATGAAAAAAATTCCGATTTGCTCATTTTTTTCCTAAAGTGTGATCTTTGGATTATCTAACATATGGAATATCAGACCGACATCATTCTCACACATTCCCGCGAAAGCAGGTCACAAAACTTCATTTGTTTTGCCACCAAAGGATTTACAGCTGGGTGAGGTCGCAGTTTACAGTTCTTTTACAGAGTTTACCGTCTCGGGGCGGCGTGAGCGAGGTGTGACTTTTCGTTGCTCTTTTGGACACCGCAAAAAAAACGGTCTGCCAAGATCAGTTCACATGCGGAACGAAATCGCCGTCCGTCTTTCCTTCGCGTCCATCCGGCCCCGGTTGGCCTATTCTTTTTCCATCGTCATCAGTTCAAACTCCAAAATGCTGACCCGGTCAGTTTTTTCATTTTTTCATTATGCAGAAATTTTTGGCATTCTGTGCTCAGTTCTTTGGAATTTTGACGAATATCAAAAAATTAGATTTACAGCTCGAATAAATTCGTTTTTTTAAGCCTAATTTGTTCAAAAAGCTTTCATGATTTTCTTTTTTTCTATCTGTAATTTGGAACTCAGGAAAAATAATTGGAACTTCAGTTTTTTTGCTAACTCTTTGGATCATTTACATGATGATCAAAGGCTTCGAGCTCCATCTTCTTTTTTTCCCTAAAAAGAATTTTTAAAATGAAAAAGATCTGCGAAAAATTTAAACTTAACTCATTTTATCTGATTCCAAATATTTTTTTACTATTATAAAATAAATTGTAAAAATTTTTTTCATTTTTTTCAAAAAGCCTCAATTTTTCAGCTACGTTTTTCGAGTTTTTTTAGTTTTTGAACTCATTGTTCACTGAAAAACTCTAAAAATTCATTACATTCTAACTTCAATGATTATTCTAGGGCTTTTTTTCGAAGTTTTTTTCAAAACTTATGATGAACTGAACGGTACAAGATTTTTTTCACGATTTTTTTCTCTTTTTATGACTTAAAAATTAGCAGTTCAAGACTATATGAAACATTTAATTCAATAATCTTAGAATATCACGCAAATTTTTCCTAATGCAATTTTTTTCACACAGAGCCAGAAGCAATTGAAGGACCACAAATGTCGAAAGCCTATAGTCGGGTAGCTCAAAAATCGAAAAGATGGGGAACCCTGCTTCTCCAAGTTCGTTTCACCGGAAACTCCTCGAAAACGGAGTAAGCAGAATGCGGACAAAGAAATTGTTTTCAAAATAGACTCTACCTAAATGTCTAAATTACTTTTTGAAACAGTCGTTTGCGTTTATTATTTTTTTTTCTGATGATTATTTTTACCATTCAATAAAATTTATTCCTTAAACTTAGAGTTCTTTATTTTTTTTCCAGCTTGATTATTGGTACTTGATATTTTTAAACTCGTTTTTATTCCAATTTCCAATTTTTATTTTTATATGCAATCTCGAAAACTTGAAAAAGTAGTAAAACAAATTTTTTCATAGCCACGAGAAAAAAATGAGACAGTCGAATAAAATCTCACGACTCGAGCCCCGCGAAACGTCTTTGCAGCAAGTTGGCTGAACAGGCTTCTCCATTCACGGGTTGTTCTGAAAATTGAAAGTGAGTTGGAAAAAAGGCAATAATCACGTTTTTTCTTTATTTCTGTCCCGAGCAAACAATCAGTACATTCTTTGATGCTCCAGAGCGAAAAAGAATAAAAATTGGCTAGAGAGCACGGAAAAATCACATAGAAACTGTAATCTGTATGAAGATCATGAATATTTGTTCGAGATTTTCAGAACGAACGTCCATGGGTTCTTTGAGCTCGAAAATAACGTAGCAATGGATTGGAGCAATGTCCATGAAACACACTTTGCAAAGAAGGAGAGAAACTACGATTTCGCCAACTAGCGAGCTATTTAAATGAGTTTTCACCATAAAGGAAAAAGTTGTTGAAAAGTTTAAAAAAAAGCTTGAGTCTTTAGCGAGAAACTGTTTTTGCAGGAAAAATAATTTTTCAGATTTTCAGAAGTAACTTTAGAGAATTAGTCGATTTGAAATCGGTTTTTCAGCTCCAAATACGAAATTACTCGACCTTTATGGGGATACAAATTTTGTTTTGTTTTTTTCTAGCTTCGAGTAAAAAAACTTTTTGTGATTTTCGATTCAATGAAAAAAACAAAAAAATAGGAAGCGTGAATTCACTTTCAGATAGATTTTTTTAAAAAAAGCCACTGTAAAGAGTTGAAAAATTAAGACTTCAAGATTAATTTAATTTTTCAAAACTAAATAAGCCAGAAGTTCACTGTTTTAAGTTAACCGTAGATTTGCTATACTTAAAATTTATATGCCGAGAGTTTGTTTCGATCGCTGGTTTAGGACTTTTCACATTTTATTTGAAGGAAAGCACTTCAAAAAAGTTTCGAAAGCTTTGCCTTTTATGGCTTCATTACTCGACTAAAAACAAAAGTCAAAAAAACGTGTGAGAAATGAGCAAGGTATACTACTACAAAACTTCATCAAGCTCTCGAGCGAAATAAACGACACTTTTTTATTGTGTGGAAATCCAACTCGAAAAAATTGTTTATCTTTAAAAAAATCTTGAAAGTTTACACAAAAACTTATTATTGTCATGAAGTGAAATAAATTGAATTATTCAATCGGAAATGAAAGCTTCTAAATGAAAGTGAAGCGTAAACCACTGAGAGCCGGATTAACGCAAGGAAAAAACGTGGGGAGAAACGGGAAAACCAACAGAAAAAAAGTGAGCCAGTGGAATTGCGGCGCCACACGTTTGTGAGGAGCACGAGATTGCAAAAGCCGCAATTTTTTGTTTTTCGAAGACGTTCAGAAAAGTCGTCAAGCGTGAAAATAGATGAGACATAAAGACAAAAATCAGGTTGGAGCAGGGCTTTCTTGGTCTTTTGCCAATTTTTGAGTAACTGGTGAGTTTCATTTTTGCTATCTTGAAGCATAAAATGTAGAAGGCGTTTGGAACTCGCTTTTTATCTTCAATTCAGCCACAATTATAGTAACGTTTTCAAACGAAGAATCAATGATGATCGATTTCGAAAATTTCCGCAATTTTGCTTACTCGGCAAAATGTCAGCAGGGACAATGATAAACAATTTCAAATAAATATTCGAATCGGTTACAATTTCCGAATGCTTTCATTCTAACTGTTGAATGTACTTTGATCAAATTTATTTGCTTGGGATCAAGTAAAGAAAGACAATATACAAAAAAGGAAATTGTTTTCTCGTCTTTCAGAGTCTCAAAAAAGGTTATATCAATTGATAATTAGTTGAAAAATACTGATACCTGCTTGAAGAGAAGAGATCCGCACAGAATGACGGTTCCAGGCAAAACAGAAGAAAGTAGACACCCAACGGCCGAAAGTGCAAAGAGTGGTGTGATCAATGGTGGCTCCTGTGTGTGTTGTTGGAATCCCGCCGACTTGTGCTCTGCCCCGCGACAACTGGTTTGACCTCCCTTCTGTTCTTCCTCACATTAACAGAATCACATCGTCACGATTCTTCATTGGGATGAGGAAAAGCTGTGAATAAAACTCAACTGAAATTTTCGAAGAGAAAAAAAAACCCCCTGAAAGAACTCGAATTTTACTTCTTGAAACATGAAATTTGTGTTTTCTCGTTTTTTCTTATAGAACAGACTTGAAAAATGTCTATTTTCTGAGCACTCCTCAAAGATCCACCTGTATTCCACCAACAAACATTTTTTTGAGAGAGGGAGTCCAAGTTTTCACGCTGTTTGTTTTCTCTTTCCAGCCTGTTGAAACCAAAATCTGCTAAGATACAGCATAACAAACTAACGTTTGAAAAGAGAATTTTCCAAAAAAAATTACTTTTTTGCAGAGTTATCCAAATAGAATAGTTCGCAAAAACCAAGAAATAAACACTGCGAGCGTATTTCGGAACAAACTTTTTGGCATCAGCTGTTTTTTTCTTTAGAAAGAGAGAAAATCGATAGTCACCGGATTACCTTATTTCCAATTTCGTAATTCGATACATTTTCTTGAAGCTGACTTCGAAAAACAAACAAGAAAAGCAGGTACACATGGTAACAGCTGTAATATTTCAAAAAAGGGCGCTCATAAAGTGCATTTCCAGGCAGGACATTTTTCATCTAAGGATTCAAAAAACAACTTTCCCCCACGTTATTTTTTTCCCTTATGTTAAATTTTTTTATCATTTTTTTGCTTGTCATATATTTTTTTAAAAAAACCAAAAAAATTGAATTTGAATTTTTTTCACGTTTTTTTAAAAAAATCAGAAGAAAAAAATGAGAGACAGATGAATGAAACCAGAAATTCTCTCAAAAATTCGAAAAAAACGCCAAAAGAAATATCTCAACAAATCAATAAAGCATGGGCTATATGACAGCAGAAAAAGGAACATTTCATAAATCTCAAACTTTAGAAAGATTGAATTTTTTTGGTTACACTTTATACAATATAATGCTCTTTAAATGAAGATTGGAAGATTGATATATAAAGCAAATATGAAAAATCTTAAATTATGAAAAACGGCTTCAAAACCAAAAAAGCGTAAAGAAAGGTGAAGAAAGAGCTGACGAGAAAGAATATAAGGAATTGCAATTTCCGATAACGAGGTTTCAAAGAGATTTTCTTTGTTTTTTGTTCCTGCTCGGCGTAGTACTGGACGACCTGAAAAATCAATATCATGGAAAAGTATCGACTTTGTCGGTTCTTATAGTATTTTGTTGATTTTTTAATAACTAGCGACTGAAACATTTTTTCTTGAGTCTGTTTGACGTTTTTTTGACTCTATGAATAAGTTTGAAAAAACGTATCAACTGAAAATGATACGAATTATGAATAACCTCGGGCATCATCGAAGGCTCAGGATGGTAGCCGAGCTCTTCTGTTGCTCGAGCATGAGAAAATGTGTTGTCGACACACATCAAGGCCATTTCCAGCTGTGTGAAAGGTGGATTCACCAAGAACATGTAGCTGATCATCTCGACGAAAAAAGACAGAGGCTTCACAAAATAATAGGGAATGACCAAAGTTGGCGGTTGGAAACCAAGAACTTGGATAAGGTCGTTCCAAAAGCTGAAGGCTCCGTGAATTTCGCTGTCCACGATGTTGTATGCCTGAATGAAAATGGTTGTGATTCTAGAAACCTTTTTGAATTACCAAAAGGTTTGCATTCTTTGGGTATTCGAGGTGCAGTTTTTGAAAATAGTTTTGGAATCAAATTTAAAAAAGGCGCAAGATTTTCATGAATAACACAAATCTCACAAACAAGGTCTTTTCCCCGGGCTTGGAAATTTTTTTAAATTTGGCGAAAATGTATCGAGGAGAGATTCTGAAGCTTCCGATGTGCGAAAGTTTGAAAAAAAGGTGAGACATTTTTTATGGTGTTTGATTCCATTTTTCGAATAGAAAACGATATTTTTGTAATAGGGCTTAACCGGGAATTTGAAGATTTTGTTAATCGAATTTCAAAATCTCAAACTGCAAATTCGAATGACTGTCAGCCCCAAAGAAGTCTTAAGTACTTTAGTGAACCATGAATAATTTCTTGCATTTCTTTACAGCAACATTGATCGGTAAAATTTTGAGAATACTGACCCGTCCATGATATTTTCCTTTCCGAGTTGCTTTCTCAGCCAGAATGAAGGCTTTGGCACAATTCCTGACGCTGCTGTAGCTGGTACGAGCTTCGTAGCAACCTTGCTGGGCGATCGCGCACCACCAGGATGACTTTATCACGCTCTAATAATTTGGCAAGATTTTTAATTTATAAAAATGGTGAAGCTCACAACAGCGCGCTCTGTTGACCTTGGCTCGCCTGGACCGAAAATGCCGCGGAAACGGAGAGAAATCGTTCGAAGACTGTCGTCTGAAGCAGCCAGGACAGCCTTTTCGGCGAGCACTTTCGAATAGCAGTAGTGACTAAGAAGCTGAAAGATAGGCTTACTTTTAAATTTCATAAAATAAGCCTAACCTTCTGCTCGTCTGGATAAGGTAACGTTTCATCTGCCTCGAGAAGGGGCTGAAAAAAATACTAATTTTTTTCTTTAAAAAAACATTCAATTTTGGTTGGCTGAGAAAAAAACCTTTGAAAATTTCATGTCGTTACTTTGAGAATAAGAAAATACAAGTTAGGAAATCGAAAAAAATAGTGAATCAAAAACTTTTTTTCCGATAACTTCACGAAATTTCTGTAGTCTACAGAAAAATTTAAAAATTAAAAAGTCCTTCATCTTTTTTTACTTCTTCGTAAAAATTCTCAAATCTTTATCATCAACTCACCGATCCAGTGAAGACAACGCAAACGCTGCTGGCGAAAATCAAGCTTTGAACGTCATTTTCTCGGCATTTTCTTATAACCAAGTCAGTCCCTTCCGCATTCACTTTCATTATCGAAGCTTTGTTTCCCTGAAAATATTTTTCAACTTTTTTATGGAAATGATTTTCTGACCCCAGTTGAGCCAGACATGCCAATCGCAGCCAAATGGAACACGGACGTGCAGCCGCTCATTGAACGATCAAGAAGTTTCTCGTCGAGAAATGAGCCCTAGAAGGAAGATTTTGGATACACGGTTATGAAAATAGAAGAATTAAGGCTCTTCTTGCCCTTGTTGATTTTTTGTTGTTGTTAGTACTCCTATGAGACCTTGACCCGTCTTCAAAAAAACTCTCGCATAATAAAATGAGTTGTTCTTGGAAAAATCCATTGAAACTATTCAACTTTATGTTGACGAGTTTCAACCAACCTCACCTTGAAAAAATGAATTTTTTCGTATTCGATCGGAACCACGTTGAATTTTCTGAGCTCCAGGTCCAAAATCGAAACTTCAAAACCCTCTCCGAGCAACATTTTCACAAGGTGAGCTCCCAAATAGCCGCCGCCTCCAATAACTAAAGTCTTTTTTTCTTCGATCATGTTCTGCTTCTGAAAATAATTTTTATTGATTTATCAAACGAATGAAATCAAAGTGAAATAATGACAAAAGAAAACATTGAAACTCAGAAACCAAAATAACCCAGACGGAATTTTTAAATCGTTGCTGATGAAAAACGGCCTTTTATAACTGTTTTCATTATCAAACCGAGAGAATATTTCAATTCGCAGAGCACAATGGTCTGCAACCTGTCTGGAGATGATATTGAAGAAGAAAAAAAAGAGAAAAAAAGCGTCTGTAATCTTTTCTTTTTACCTGTTTTCGCCTTGAGCAAGAAAATTTTCGCAAACCAGATGGGACAGGATTTTTAAAAAAGCACAGTAAATGATTCAGATTCTAAGAAAGGCCAAATAACAATGCTCTTTTCCTTTGAAAAGTCTTCCCTGTTTCTTTCTACAGACAAAAGACGACATTTAGATTCCATTGACGAAATGGTTTGATTCTCGTCTATGAGGTGAAACTTTTGCCGCGTCGAGCAAAACACGAACCTTTTTTTTTCTTTGCGGAATACTTTCAGATGAAAAAAAGGCTTATAACTTTTAGACGGTATCAAATACGTATTTTTGAATACATCAAACTTTTTAAAACTTGTCAAGAACGAATTTCCAGGATAATCCGATTGCCGGTGATAGTTTTTGACTTTTTTGTTTCTTTTTTCTACCTCAGCACTAATCTGCTAAATGGTTTCGAGAAAATCTGTATGCGTTTTACACATTTCGACGTCTCCTGACTTTGTAGTTGGTCAGAACTCCGTGGTCTCAGTTCTCCGAGAGCGGTATAATAGAACATCTGAAAACCTGATAGAACAGTTTTTGATAGAACTGTCTTGAGCAGAATTAACACATTTTCTCTCAAGGTACGGATTGTTTCCCTGAAAGTTCGCTTTAAAAATCTTCAAAAAGGGGGATGATCTTTCAAAGTGGCCCTAGCCCAACTTTATTTTTTCAGAGATCAGTTTTTTAAAAGTTAAATTGATCGGTTGCAATTTCATTTGGAGATCGACTGAAAACTTCAAACATTCACATCTCATTCTAAGAACTTCCAGAAGTAGCTCCTTACACGGGAAGTGCGAAAGGTCGAGGTATTGGAATTTAATGAAACTTGGTATATAGGTACTTCCGAACACCCTGAATCCAAAGCAGTTGAAAAAGTGCGCCTTTTTGGTTTTAGTCGAGTTAGGGGCGCCTCAAAGTTTGCACGCAAAAAAATGCATTGGAAGGGAGGAGGGAATCTGTTGCGGCGGCTAACTCTCGCTGCCAGCAGGCGGCGTGGTGTAGTGGCTAGAGGCCTTGCGCTGTGAAATCTATGATGCAGGTTCGGACCCTTTTTGGTGAAAATTTTTTTTTGCCAATTTTTTTTTTTGAAAAATGTGGAAGTTTTGATGATGGAGTGAAAGAACAACTCAAAATTTTAAAATTCACCATTTTATGCCCATCTGAGAAAGAATTTCGACAAAAATTTTTTTGCTCCATTTTTCCTTGCCTAACCATAACTTATATGGTCGACCAATTCCTTCAAAAAAATTTCTGATGAACCAATAACATCAAAGTTTTATGAGATTTGTTCTTCTTTTCTTCCTTTATGACGTTATGTGTGTAAAAATGTGTATCAAAGTCCAGCTTCACTTTATTTTCACAATCGAGATGATATGGCGATGCTGCACTGAGTGAAAAAAAAGACAAGGAAAAGGGTTAACTAACCGCCATCTTTGAAGAAAAAAAATCGTTGGATGAATAAGAATAGAAGCATAGAACTACAATAAATTGTTATTTATATCACAAACCTATGAATTCTCGCGAGATTAATCTCGACGCCCAAATTTCCTGCACAGAGCAGGACAAAAAAAGACTAAAAGAATTTTTTTGTTGAAAGTCTTTCTCAAAACGACATAAAATAGTGAATTTTAACACTTTGAACGGTATTATTCGTTCCATCTTCAAAAATTCATCAATTTTTTCGAAAAACTTCATGGCAAAAAAAAATTTCACCAAAAAGGGTCCGAACCTGCATCATAGGTTTCACAGCGCAAGGCCTCTAGCCACTACACCACGCCGCCTGCTGGCAGCGAGAGTTAGCCGCCGCAACAGATTCCCTCCTCCCTTCCAATGCATTTTTTGTGTGCAAACTTTGAGGCGCCCTAACTCGACTAAAACCAAAAAGGCGCACTTTTTTTCAACTGCTTTGGATTCAGGGTGTTCGGAAGTACCTATATACCAAGTTTCATTAAATTCCAATACCTCGACCTTTCGCACTTCCCGTGTTAGGCAAATCATTTTCTGAAACTTCAAGGAATCTCTCTACGAAATTTTGGAAAACTCCAAATTTACTAGTGAAATTTTCTTTTTTGAGCCTTTTTTTTTGATGCCGTGGGATGAATTTTTTTTTATGAAAAGGTAGAGCTTTCCAGATTCCATGAATTTTTTGTGTGTTTCTTCATTTTTCCTTTCTTTCCAACTAATTTTAACCATCTTCTGAACCACCGTTATTCAAATACAGTTTATCAATCGAAAGCAATACAATAAGTCGGAATGCAAGTGATCGCAACACAACAAGGAAATTTTTAAAGGCTGAAGAGAGGCCACTACAGGAACCAGACAAAAATCAAGAACCGTCTTCGTTTTAAACCAATGAAAAGCAAACAGTTTTGCAGCTCTAGCGAATCAAACAAACGGTAAAGCTTGAAGGCAGAATGAATATAGGTAAAATATAAGATGAATAAAATTGTTTCGAAAATGAACTGTTCTTAATCATGTAATACTTGAAATACAGAGAGAATAATGAACTTGGAGATTTTTTTTGATGAATAAATAAAGTGATAAGAATAGGAAACGTTCTACTGTTCAAGGGCTATTGATGTTCTTCTCCACAAAGGCCGGAGCTACAGCGACGACGTCGGGATGAGGTTCAGTTCCTTGCTCCTGTTGCTCCGCATCTGGAGCAGATTCGTCGCTCGCCGACTTGTTTCGGTCTCTCTTATTCGGCTGAAATTTTGAAATCAGGACTGCACTGTATGCTTCTTTCAAATAAAAAAACAATTTATTAATTTCACTTTCAAAGTTAAAAAGTCATAGGAATGAGAATACGGCAAAAAAGTTTGGCGGTTTGAAAAAGTCTCAAAAAAGTCGTGAAACTAGAAAATAATGATCATTCGACCAGAAAATTTTCTATGGGTCGAAGGAAGGGATACAATTTTGATAAAATGTCCCTTATAGTTTGTGGGCAGGTTTAAAAAACTTCTGAAACGACGTCCCTTGAGCGATATAAATAACTCTAATTTGAAGAAGAGAATTTTAGAGAACAGTACCTCGCCATCACTGTTGGACTGCTCCTCGTCCTCCTCCTCGTGGCAGAATTCGTTCTCATTGGCGGTCATGCGGGTCCATCCACGAACTGAAAACGTAAATTCTTTATAATCAAAAATGCGTTTTAGCTCAAAATACTCTTCGTTTTCAGTAAGAGAGGAAAAGGTCACTCAATGGCATTTTCAATGAATCAAGTGATAGCCTAATAATTTCTCTCGTTTTCGAGTAATGAGGTTTCCCCTTCCTTCACATCTGTGATCCAGACCTATTCAAAAAATACGTTTTTCTCAAAATTTTTCTAGTTTGAGAGTGCAAAAGTTTCATGGACTGAGACGCTCAAAATTCAAAATCTCACCTTGCTGCCCGACGCTCTCCTGTTTGGTGAGCGTGTTGGAGCGAGATCTGAGCGTGGCAGCGTGGTCCACAGTGCTTTCGTGGGGCATCAGCTGCATCGGGGCCCGGAAGAAGTAGAACGACGGGTAGTTCACCAAGTTGTAGCATGAAGAGGCGTACACGTCCGCGTATCTGCAAAAAAGTGAGCCTTAATCATTTTGGTTTACCTCAACCATTATATCATTATAGAAAGTTGTTTCATTATGAGTCAAACCCAGGTTTTGCAATTTTTGAGCCACTTCCGAAAAATTGTGAAGAACCCAAAAAAAAAAAATGCTAGACAACTTTCGCATGGTTATACTTTTCTCAGCCTTGAAAAAAACCCACTGAAAAAGTAATCTCACCTTTCCACTTGAGAAGCGAAGAAGGTCATTCGGCCACCAGCGCGGAACAAACTTCCATAAACACCATATTCTTGATCCATTTCGTGCGAGAGTTTCTGAAAAGAGTTTTTGAAAGGTTTTGATAGCAATATCTATGGATTCCGTTTGATTCTTTTGCCATGAACGAGTCGGAAACCCATAGTTTTTTCAAGTCATTAAAAAATCGGTTATTCATTGTCTAATAATCACCCGAATGTTCTCGACGATGTCCTTCACGGCAGGCTTGTGACGAGCCCCGCCGTCCAGATTCTTATAGATCTCGGCGAGCATGTTCTCCATGGCGCCAAGCTGCTCAAACAGCGGTTTCCGATCGGTCCAGACCGTCAACTCGTGCTCCAGCTCTGGAACCACCAAGAAGGTCCTCCATCCTCGCGACTTTTTCGACCTGCAGATTTTCTTATTCACGTCAAAGTTAGAATAAGGGAATTCACCGAAGGACATCTCCGAAGATGTGATCTCCGATGTACAATACGTCTTTGCCTCGAGCCTTGAACATCTTCTGGAACGAGTCGCAGGAACCTAAAAGTCAGAAAACTTTGACATTTTCTTTTTAAAAGAAGCATCGAATTTTTGGAAATATCAGCTTATGGAACAGAATTATTTTTTGTTCCAGCTGGCGGTTGTTCCTTTTCAAATCTGGGTGTAATGAACAAAAAAAAGCTCTGTGTTTATTTTGAAATAGTCTACCAGAGCTCACTTCTGAAGAGATTTTCGAATTTCTGTTGGAAACAAATACATCCTTTCTAAGAAAGTTTCAAAATTTTTTGATTGTGAAGTCAAATTCGCCCTATTTTTTCTGTGTTCACTCACCTCCCGAGTACACGACTCCTTCTCGAAGAGGACCAGCATGAACTCCGAGCTTGTAGGCACCGGTCACCGTGTCGACTTCACGGAAAACGGTTCCTTCTCCGAACCATCTCGGCTTGCAAGCGTCGACCACGATCATGTTGAACAGACTGCGCCATCCGGCTCCCAACACGTGAGTCATCATCACCTGAAACAGTCAATTCATCTAGGAGAAACAATAAAGATTCTCCTTTTCAAGAAAGTTATTACCCCCCCCCCCTTTCGCTCAATAAAAAGCTGACTTGAACCAACTTTTCAAGATTCAGAAATTTTCAATTTTCTTGAAGAAAAAAAAACGAACATCTGTGAAGTACCACTCGCTGTTGGTCAGAAGGAACGTATTTTTCCCATTCTCCCTCAATTGACGCAAAAATCTTTCAGCTCGGTCGTCGGACAGAACGTATTTCTCTGGATTTGCCATGATCGTGCGTTTCAGTTTTCCCTAAAAACAGAACCAGTTGAGAAACTCTAACTGCAGCTCACGTGCTCGTGCACCCAATCGACGCATCGTCGGCAGTCTTGGAAGATACTTTTGTATGTCATGATGACATCGCCACCACTGACTCCAGTTTTGTCAGGCAACCTAAAAATTTGTGTCTTTCAGGAAGCAAAAAGTACTCTTTCAGCCTAGTGGACTTCAATTTCCCAGTAAGACTTGAGGATTTGATTCTGCGTACCCAGAACTAAGATTAAATATTTTCGAAACAAAGATCAAGTTTCAAATCAGATAATCAGACCGCATACCTTCTTTTCAAGGGAAAATCTTCATGTCACTTTCAAAAATTTCTCAGCTTCATTCTCGCTATGGTTTTTTAGAACTCACGACGTATAGTCAGGATGTTTGTCGAAGAAATCGATCAGTTGGGAGATCAGCGGCGTTTCAGGCAAATTGAATAGTGTATTCAAGACGAAGACCCTCGACTCCGTGAGCGGAAGGTACTTATTGGGATATTGTTCCTCGATCTCGGATCTAAAAACGTCTCCAGTTAATTTTCTGCGAAATTTTGAGCTCACGTCTTGAGGAACTTGATTCCATGCATGCCTTCCAAAATATTGCCAAAGCCGTCGACTTTCAACAGATTGCCATACGTGTAGTCGAACCATAGACCTGAAATAAAATAAACTGAATATTGAGCTTTTAGACTCTTGAGCTCATAGAAAATCCATCATCGAAACCTAATTCGTCTTATTCCAGAAACTAAGATTTTCCATCTTGAGATTAATATTTGATGATGAAATTCAAGTTTGATCTTTAGTAATTTCCACAAGTCAATCCATTCTTGAAACTGTTTCGAAATTGAAGTTTCGAAACCTCCTCCTATTTTTTGAAGACATTCAAAACGCAGCCAGAAACGACTTTCGCTCATTTTACGGGACAAAGTAGACATTTATGCTTGTAATCAATGGACCAGGAGTCTAGGAATTTCCAGATAACATGGGGGTCGCCGCTCAATACCCGTTCACTTTTATGCTCCCGATTGACGGCATGCCACTGTTTTATTCGTTCCTGTCAAAAATTCTTCTATCCGTCCGTCAACCTTCGATGCTCTTTTCATTGCGCGATTTGAGTGGCGATCAAGTTTTTCAATGCGCTTCGATGAGTGATTCAATTATCGCGTTAAATTTTTTGACGCGATATGGACACTTTTAAAGAAAATTTGGCATTGAAAAAAAAGTGCGCGCGTTTTTGCAGGTTCTCTGAACTTGCGAAAATTCCAGAGGACGTGCAAAAAAAAAAATCAACTTGGAAGAAAAACTTTTCTTTCAAAAACCCAAGTTTCTGCTTTCTGAGCTACATAATTAGATTTTTTTGAACAATCATTAATGTTTATTTCGACTATTTGAATATTTTTAATTTCTTGGAATCAACCCGACTTTTGTAATAAAACAATATTTTTTTAGCTTGAAAAATTATCTGAATGAGTAAGTTGTGAGAAAAAAATACCTCTGACGCTGAAAATCGGGTCAAACTTGAACTTCCGGATTTCTGCGGGATATCCAATTTGAATAAGCCGATCCACTACCATATCAAAGGAGAGATACTCCATTTCGGGGCTCTTGTATTCTGAAAACAACTTTTATTTCTGGAAAAAAGGCAGGAGTAGGCAATGAGAGAGAAACTACTCACGGACTAGGGTGTAGTCCATGTCGAACCCGAAATGTCGGATTTTCTCGAGTCTCAGCGAACGGTTCACGAAGACTCTGAAAAATGAATAATAGCTATAAGAATATAATCATAAAAAATCTTGAAATTCCAACTTCAATAGAATTTTCAAAGAAATTACCGCTCCGACGGATTCCGCATGTCTAACTGATGCGGCGCTGAATGAGAACTTTCCGACGGAACTGCGCTGTTTGACGCCATTTTTAAGTCCTTCTGTTGATTTATTTATACTTTTATCATTAGGATGAAAACAACGAAGACTAATAGGGTAGTACAAGTTGAGTTTGAAAAATAAACGAATCAATTTGTGGGTTCTTTGGAATTGCAGAAAGTGAGCAAATTGACCACTTGGAATTGGAAACCCTTTCAACTTGACTCATGGCAGTGTTTTAAAAGATAACGTTTAAGAAAAGGGATAATTTTCGAAGCGATAGGGCAGATTGTGGAAACAAAGTGAGGAAAAGCGTGATAGCGAGAAATTTCGCAGGTTTCTGGAAAAAAGGTGTCTGGCAAGAAAAACGTTTGTTTTTTCAATTTTATCTTTGAAAGAAGAGGGATTTTTTCTCAAAAAGTTTCTTCAGAACGTCTGGAAGTTTTCTCAAATACTTCCCTGGAAAAGACTCTTGTGTCTGAGAGACTATGGCAACTTCAAATGAAGATTCTGCCTCATTCGTTTTGAGTTACTCATTCTAATCGCTTTAAATAATTTTTCAAAGCAATTAAATCAGTCATGAGGTATATCAGCCCAAAAAAGGACGGACAAACAAAAACTCATATGTTGAAATTTTTCTAACTCCAAAGTTTCACCGCCAGGAAGTAATATTCTAGAGTCTCGGAAAAGTTCAATTTCCTCAGACAAAACAAGAAAACAGAAAAAAAGGGAAAAGCGAAAGACAACGTGTTCCAAAACGATCGCTGTCATCGAATGGCTCTTTAGAAGGCGCCGAGGAACTTTTTTCGGTTTGGCCCCTCCCACACAGTCCAACCGTGCATTTATGGAGGCCATCATTTTTTGTCGGTCCAATCGAGTGCACTTTTTTGTTCATTTACACGTCTTGGTACGTCGTTACCGATACGAACTACTTCTTTTCGGTTCGAAGAGCCGTAAATGGCTCTAATGTGCTGAGAGAATGAGATTGGGAACCTCACCATGAGAAAGTTTTACTCTTTTCTTTCCGTTTTGAACAGAACGGAAAGGTTTCAGGTGTGACTAAAAGGCCTACTTTGCGTGGCGAACTCCTCCATTACTGGAAACTATTCAAGAGAGTTTTCCTTCGAAATCAAAACTCGAACAAGAAATTCTTGCATTTCGAAATTTAAAAACATAGAAAGATTTCAGAGGCGTACAAGGCAAAAATTCGAACTTCCATGTTCCAAAATATGAGAATTATCAGTTCCCACGATTTTTGTTCAAAGACGATAAAACTTCCCATTTTTCATCAAATCGCCAAAAAATTTCTAATCAATGAGACTTTAAGAGCAGCATCTTTAAGAAAAAAAAAATAGATAGTCGCAAGGATAAAGAGAAAAAATTCATACTTTTTTTAAGCGTAGAGCTGGCAGAAAACCTTCGCTTATATTTTCTTCTCTGATTTTTTTCGTAGAAATTTTTTGTCTTTCTCTTAAATTTAGTCATAATCAATGTAAAAGTATGACAGATGCCTTTAAAAAAAACTGTGTCTTTTTCACTTTTTCACGAAAAAAAATTTTTCGATTGAAGAGAAAACCCTGCATTTTGTGAATTTCACTCGGAAAGTTCATTGCAACTGGACACCAAAACATGACAGATGCCTTTAAAAAAAATTTACCTTTCTACCACTTTTTTCTATGAGCAGTGAAAAAAGAACAGATGCGAATCTGCGCAATCCCGGTGCCAGAGCCTTTTTAGAACGCCCCAAAAAAAGAGAAAAAGAAAAAAATGAGAAAAAAAAAGCTCACCGCTCTCCGGGGTTCCTCTTGTAAGGCGCCGATTTGCGTGCGTCAGTCATCTCTCCTGAAAAAAAGAATAATGTATTGTCCGGGTTGAAAAAATCCAATGGAGGAAAAAAACAAGCCAACAACGACGGACATATTCAATTCTATTTTTGAAAAAAAGAAACCCGAACCTTCCCTCCAAAAAAAGAAAAAAATCGACCTTTTTATTCATCTAGAAAAAAAGAATAAGAATCCTCACGCGGAGCACTTTCACACGTGCTGATTCTGATTCTTTGCTGTTTGTTTTGGGTTTAGGTAGAGGTGAAAAGACGAGAACAATTTTATGAGCGTAATCGAAAACGATTAGAACATAAAAACGGTAATAATCCAGGGCAAGCGAGGAATTAGGCAGATTCTCGTGAAGTTTTACGCGAGAAATGGGATGATAAGGCGTTTGGAGACAATTGTTCATCGTGTCGTTTGGTTCTGTCAGCAAACAGAACGAAAAGTTCAAAAGTGTGGAAAAACCTGGGAGGTTAACGTGAAATTGAACTCGGTTGGACTGTGGAAGCAGACATTTGCAGCTAAAATTTGGTAGGGAAGAAATGATGGGACTTTTCTCAAATATTTGCCGACTTCAAAGATTGGAACCAAAGTTCGACTACGCAACCTCAAGGCTCAAATCTATCTGTCTATAAATTGGTGAATGACTTTGCAAGACGGGAAATTTTAAACAGAATTACATCCAAAAATTGAAATCAACCCCTCGCAGATATTTCAATAATTCAATCCAACGAAAAAAATTTCGAGCAACGTTCATTTAAAAAAATGTTCCAATATTGCCTAATTTATGTATTGTTATTTCAAACAGTTATCATGTTAAAAATAGCGGCAAAATTCAGAACTTTACCTATAAAAAAAGGGCAAAAAAATAGATATCTCATAATTTTTTTGAATTTTTCAATCTGAGTCTCAAAAAAATAAATTGATTTTTTTTGTAATTTTTTTTGTTACGAAAAAATTTATTAAACTCAGAAAATACTCCGCGAAAAGAACCTTCATTGAAAAGTTCTCAAAAAATCTATGATCGCTCCAAAAAACGAAAACACTGTCTAAAAACGTAACACCTTGAAAGAAAAAAAGATCCACAATAACCACTAAGAAAGGAAGGACAGAATGAGAGTAGCAGACAGGAACCATATGGACCAGGGATTGGCGCCAACAAGAATGATCAGAAAAACAAACGCATGATCTCCCCCCATGATCTCCTAACACTTCTAAACAAACGACAACACGGGTTCTCGCCAACCAGGACAGGTCTATTTCAATCGATAATTATTCGAAATGTTGCTGAAATCGTTAGAAATTAAATTTTTCACTTGCAAAAATCATTTTTTTAACTCTTTTGTTGTAGAAAATTGTTGATAAGACGGAAACAATGAAAGGCACAAAAGTTCTTTTTTCACTTTCTCTCTCTATTCGGAAAAACTTGAGATGGAAATAAAAGTTTAAAAAAATGTTTTTTTGGAAATTTTTTTGGAAAGCTTTTGGAAATAAAGTTATTTGTAAACCAACAAGGTCTATTCCGATTGAAAATTATTTGAACTTTTGCTAGAACTGTTAGAAATCAAACTTTCTGCTTTCAAAAACCCTTTTTTTGAACTTCTTATTGTATGAGAGTGCTGATAAGAAAGAAATAAGAGAAAAAAAGAAAAACAGTTCGAAAAAAATCAAGGTAGAACTAAAAGCTTTTTCACAAAAAAATTTAAGTTGTTTTTGAGTTTATCTTTTTGAAAAAAAGCTAAAAAAAGAAAAATTTCAATTTCAAAATTAAAAAAATAATGAAAAACTTTCGATAATTTTTTTTGTTTTTTGCGCTTAGACTCTGGAATTCAAAAAAATTTTCTGGAATCTTCTTCCAAACGGAATACGTCCAGGAACTGATCTCTTTTTATGTCACCGAAACCTGATCCGTCATGCTATGTCTGTTTTTTTCTAGTAGATTTATGCCCTCACACTGAAACGTTGTTCTTAGGAACTGAGAATGGAAAATGAAAGTGATAAACTTAGAACTGTGAAAACATGGGGAACATCGGTGTTGAGTCAAGAAGAAAAAAAAGAGTCAAGGAAAAAAATTTCTGGGCTTTTGAAAACTTTAACAACAACCGCCTTTTGCAAACGGCAAAATCAGCGGTGAAATAAGAAGAATCTCATTTCAAAAAACGAGCCCGGTAAACAGAAAGGTTAGTTTTATGTGAAATAACAAAGAAGATCGTGCAAACAAACGTATTTCGAACTTTTTCTCTCATTTTGTGAAGGATCAGATGTTTGTTGATTGTTGGGCGTGACATCAATGATCTCTTTTTTGACACGAGCGTTCGAGAATTTTCCTTTGTCCTCTCTTTCATGAAAAAAATCAATAGAAAAAGTGAATTAAAAAAAGCGGTCGTGATTGTAAATTCATTGAAATGAAGTGTCCCTATTTTCAAAAAAATTATATTATATTAGGAGAAAGATCCCAAGTAAAGATTTTTTTCTAAGTTTTTTTCACTTCGGTTCACAAAAAAATATCTGTGTGAAAAATTTTTAAATTTTTTTCTAGCTTTTTTTAAAAAAAGCTCATGATTCTGATTGGAAGTTGAAAAGAAAGAAACGTGAAAAAAACCAAATTTTGAGTGAAAAAAATGTTTCTGAAAAAGTTAAACTAAGTGGATCCAAAAAAATTATTTCTTGCAAAAATATTAGCGAAAGCGTCTCAAAAAGCAATAGGAAACCTCAAAACGCACAAGTCCAAAGAGAGGAACACTTAAATATCCGCGAAGAACGTCAAAGACGGACAAATAAGAATGATGAGGCTCAGGGGCCTCTGCAACTTGATGAAAATAGACGCATTTCGGAGATTTTGTTGACGGAAATTCCAATCTGTTACGTTGCTTCTCAACTAAGTATGCCGTTCTATTTTTGTTTCCCGACCAAAGGGCAAGATCTCATTCTCAGAAAGGATATTAGCTAAATAAACGAGTTTCATATATTGATGAGGCCTCTCGGGTCTTTTGAATTTCCGATAAAAAAATAGACATTTTCTGATTCAGAATACCTTTTTAAACAAGTAGAGCAATTTCGGTCGCTCTGAAACGGTGATTTTTTTAAAATTTTGTGCAGTCATGAAAACGTTCGTTCAAGGCCTACGACGCGTTGAGACATGCTTTGCGGCAAAAAATTCTTCACAGTTTTTGAAAACGGTCGACAAAGGAAGAAAAGCCTCGAAACGTTCAAAAGCTATTTAGATACCGGGAAAAAATGAAAATGAAACAATTCCGGGTTAAATTTATTCGAAAAAGCAAGCGAAGGCTGTCGAAAACTTCAGACTGACTGTGAATCTCACAATCAGAAGTTTATTCTCACCTAACTTTTTTGTGAACACTGAAAAAATTTTATTGTAGTCACGAGGAAAAATGGGTGATTCATCAGAATAAAAAAATCTAAAAAAAGTGAACTTTTTGACTTCCTTTGTTGAGAAATTGTTTCCTATTCGCATCGATGATTCAAATTCAGTAATAAAATTCAGAAGTTTAGTAAACGTTCTAGTAAAGATTCACCAATCGAGAACCAATTTTTAGAAGAGCCCACAACGTTCTTGTGCAAAATGAAGAGAAAAAAAGCTCAGGCTGGGCAGCCTTGCAAGCTGAACACATGAAAAACTCTTATATTAGGCTTTCAACAAGCTTTTTTTCCATGCAAATAGAATTGAGAGTGACAAAAAATTTATAAAAAAAGGTCTCCAAATTCCTATAATTCGCTTGAAGTTTGATTCGAATCCAAAGAAAAAATTAAGCGCAAAATTTTTTGAAAAGGGAACGTTTTGATTGGACAACCGACCTGAAACTTTCAAATGTATTTCGAAAAAGAAGGAAAATTGTGGCTTCTCTAATGCGAATTGAAAGGATTACGAGAAAATGTGCTTATCTACTCTAAGTTGATAAGAAATATATTCAAGTAAAAAAATCAGGAAAGTTCATTCATCATTCGATGATTTCATTACGTGAAATTGCAAAAAGAAAAACATTTTTTTCTCTGAGTGAAGGACTATAGCTGCAAATAAAGGACTGCGTAACTAATTTCAAAGCTCGAAATAATATTCGAAGCGACATCAAAACAAAAGAAAGTTCTTTTGAACTTTACAGCTGTGAGAGGAAGAATGAACTTGAGATAAGTCGGATTTTTCGAAGCTCTTGGGAACAAAATGTTGAGGGCGTGGTCTGAAAATAAAAATAGCAAAGTTAGAGCACTCGTTTTATAAATCTTGCAATAAATAAAGCTATGAACAGTTTTTTTGTGATAACGAATTGAAATTTTCATTTGTATCAATACTGGCTCTGCTACAACTATTAACACCTCTTGGATTCTTAAAAACAGCTCAGAAATGGAATTGCTAACTGATAACATTATTAAAATTGAAACCTTGGCCTATTAAGTCTTTGACATAACGTAGTCTGCGATAGGGTTAAGGAGTTAAAATTGGCAAAAGAAGCTTTTTTTTGACCAATTTTTTGAAAGTATGTATTATTTGTCTATATCAGTTTACCTTTGTTATGAAGCCTTTTTGAACTTTCAGTAAGGAAACAGTATGTTTCAGACAAACATTAATAAATTGCTTTTCTAGCGTATCTGATCTTCAATGAAACAAGCGAAAATAAACATGCAGAAAAAAAATAATTTGAAAAAAAAATCAAATTAGGCCCTATACAAAGGGCATAATCATATCAACCAGCTGATTATAGAGCGAATTTCTGCAAAAAGCGTTGCAATCTAATTTTAGGTGTAAGTTAACTTTTACTCTTTGAAGAAACATTTTTTTGACTCGTATTATGAAAAAAAAAGTTATAAAAAACTCGAAAAAATTTAATACTGAAATGAATGCCAAAACTTGGTAGAGAGCCTGAATGGAAAACCGCTTCGAGCGGGCTCTACATAATATTTTTGCAAGGAAGACCACTTTTATGGACTGAAATAGTTCAATTATGTCAATGAGAGTTTTTTTAAATCAACTTTAGCATGCTTCGCTTTGGAAACACATTAAAAGCATATGGAAAAAACAAGTTCTCTTCATATTTGAACCATTTTGACCATTTTTTGATATTTTTTAAACAAAATCCGAACGCCACGAAAAACATGTTTTTCAAATGGAGAAGCTGCAAAATTTATAAACATATTCAGGGCTTCATTCATAATTTGCAATAAGTTTGTGGAAAATTGGACGTTTATGGGCGTTTATCGATTCAAATCGATATAACGGAACATGATGATTCATCTAAAGATCACTATGCAAACCTCCTGAGGCCTGCCAAGGGTGCAAACCTCACAACAATCGATAATAAGGACTGGAGGGGACGCCAGGCAGCTTGGTCCGTAGCGCGCTTTGACCCCGGCTTTTCGAAAATTTCCAACGACCTTCTTTTTTTCGAAATTTCGTGCGCTCTTTGACGCTTCCTCTCGAGCAGCTGTTCAGTTTTGCACCTCGAGTCAACAATTTGCAAACAAAAGGACGTTCCTGGTAGGTTTTTTGTTATCAAGTCCACTTTTTAAGAAAAAAAAAACAAGCGCCTTACTCCCTCATTTTTTTGAAACTTGCGACCAAAATATTATTTTCAGGCGAAAGCTTTAGAGATTCGTGAAAAACTGGAATCAAACTCTTCACGTTTTTTCAAAAAACCAAACCCGAAAACTCCCCTTTCCTCCATTTGCAAGAAATTTTGTCGAAAGGCTTCACTGCCTTTTTTATTTCAAATATGTTCCCTGACACGTTTGAAAATTTATAGATTTTACTCAGAAAAGTTTGCTAAGTGATCCAAAAAAAGAAAAAAAAACAGGAAAAAACCAATTCTGTACAAAAAAGAAAAAAGTGACGTAGAATGAAATAGTCATAGAATTCTGTTGACTTAGATGTATTGAATTAAGGTACCTGGCTTCATTGGGATGCACGATTAGAAAAATCGTGTCTGGGATTTACGCGTGAGGTTTTTTTCTGGGATATTTGAAAGTAAAGAAAAAAATAATGGAAAAAAATTAAAGAAGGTTAGCTAAACGAAAACTATGCAAGAAAAAAACCGAAAGACCAACGAAAAAAAAAAAAAACAACTAAACAAATCACCATGAGATTCAGTTACCTTATTATTATATTATTTCTAACAAAAAAACAATGAAATGAACAAATTTGAGAAATACAAAGTAACAAAAAAATGGAATGAAAGATGGCTCACAAAAAAAAATAAAACTTTAAAGAAGTCTAATGAAAATTACCCAAATTTTTTTATCACTTGAAAATGGATAGATTGGCAACTAAATTCGAATCTATTTTTACATTTGGCTTGTTGAAAAATAATCGGTACCTAACAAGACACTTAAAAAACTTCAATTTGGAATTATTTTCGGTCTACGTGTGAAATGCCAGCTCAGTATTCGTATTTCTTTCTCTTATCTCATTTCTCAAGTTTTTTCAACCGTATTTTCCTAGACTTCAAACGAAAACTTCGAGATTCCTCAGAACTTTCTGCAATTCCTCAATCCCCTTTTTTCCCTCAAAAAGCGCCAATTTTGGGCGAGCTCTCGACATTGAAGCCAATAAGGACGTCTGGCGAAAAACGAAGGGAAAATTGAGCTGATCAGACCTGCAAGACTGAACCTCGGAAAAGATGCTAATTCGATCATAATGGGTTGAAGCTCGGTAAGTATAGGTTCTAAATAATTTTGGACATGACGTGGATCTGGAATGTTGAGCTGGACTATTGGCGTGAAGACTATTGGCCTCAAAAATACTTGGATTGGCGGGATGGGAAAAAATGGCACAAAATGAAGAAAGAAAAAAAAAGAGGAGAGTTCAAAGTTTAACCGTACGCTTGTATTGGACCATACCCAAATGAAAAATTATTTCACAAATTTCTTTTTATTCTGCTGTAGAGTTTGGATCAATCATGCGGAGTCGGCTGATAAGCTGGTCGCAAAGAAGTTCGGAAGTCGGCGAATCGTTGGAAAGAATCGCGAACTCTACGTGAGACTTCTGCTCCGGAGGCAGCACGGCCACTCCGATTTCGACACCCGTTGGCAATGAAAGTCTCCGCATTTCTAGAAAAAAAATGTTGACTTTCCAGACTACACCGGTATAGAAAAAATCGCTGCCCAAAGAAAGGCTGTAGATTCTTCAAAATCTTTAGTTTTCAGGTAATAGAAGACCTAATAAAATGTGCCTTTTGCGTCAAAGATGACTTTTTCCCTCACTACAAAATCGCTTTACCCTGATTATTAGAAGATAAGAGCAATCAAACTTTCTAGTACTTTCTTAAATTTTTATCGATCAAGAATACAATTTCGCAGTTACAATCAGCGGCGAGTGTAAAAAATCTTCACCTGAAGGTTTAGAAAATGTTTGAGATATTGAAAAGTTTCAAATCTTACACCAAATTTAGTTCTTTCGTCATTATGATAATTTTTTTATCAATCAACTGATGAAACAGCAATTTCCTCATATTCAGTCCAGAAACGAACCTTGGTCCATGTAGACGACCTCGTTGCTCTCCTCGAACGGGATTTTCAGTCGATTCAAGCTGTTTTTCAATTCTTCGATGATGTCGCTGAAGGGCAGAGAAGAAACAAAACTCTGCAACATGAAAAATGAGCTTTTCTCATGAAGCCCGGAAGAAAAAAAGGCGCTCAATCTCTTTTTTTGGTCAAGTACTGGCACTTCCTGGTTTCATTTCACATAGAGGAAAGGGATTGTGCGCTTTGAATAGGGGTCGGAGCAGCTCTGAATCTCTGGTAGTTTTTTTTTTTGGAAAAATGAAGCTGAAGGAAAGCACTGGATTTTTTTGCAATGTCGCCAAACTTTTTCTACTTTTTTCCGTTTGCCCGGGTGTTTTCAGGGAAATTTACAAACTTCACCTTTTGAGGTATACATTTTTTTTTCTCAACTTATTCTCTTCGCTCACCTTTACCCTGTCATCAATGCTTCGAGCAGTCTGTTCAGGTGTTGAAGTTCCTGAAAAGGATGTAGAAGAGAAGCCAATGACAGTTGCTGGCCGCTGGCCAAAAACCAGTTCATTTGCCTGAAAGTTATCCTTTTATAGCGATCAGCTCAGTGAAAAAGGCTCACTTTTTGCTCGAACATGCTGACAGGATCGAAAGACGAGGCGCTGGGAGCAATGCTGTGTTGGCGGTTGTGTTCGTCGGTTATGGAGATCTGAGGACAGGCTAAGGATGTCGTTTCAGTCGTCGACCTTAAATACGGCTGTTTGGAACCGATTGGGGCTAATTCTTGAGCAATTTGTCATGTGAGCAGAAACATGCGGAAATAAAATTCTGGATACTCTAGTCACAAGATACAAAGACTCACTGTGCACATCCATACGAGAGTTCTTGAAATTCCTTCCGTAATTGTTGGATCGGAAGAAGTTCGCTGTTGCCTTAAGGGATAAATTTATTAAGCTATTTACTTCCAATTTTGATTCATTTTATAATGAATCGATCTTTCTCGAAGTTTCGAAAATGAGTTTTCAAGCGCGAAAAAAATTGAGATTTTTTTACTGCTCCTTTTTTTGAAAAAAATATTTCTGGAAAAACAGGATCTTTTAAATATTCGATAAAGTCCAGGCTTTTTTTGTCAAAAAAAGTCTCAAAAAAAGTTTAGAAAACTGTAAAATTATAAATTGCGCATTCGAAGATGCAGAAAAAAAGAGCTCGAAGTTTGCCAAACATTGATTATATCGAAAAAAAGATTAAAAATAAAAATTCTTTTGAGGCTAGGATTCCGCAGCGATCTATAAATTGAAAAAAAAATTGGAAGATTAGAACTCAACCTCTCTGGAAGACTCTCCTCACCTTGTAAAGACTGCCGAAATAACTTCTCCAAATGATTCTGTTGTTGTGAGCAGAGCGTTGGCGAGGCCCAACTACTTCTCCTGAAATATTCATCGCTGAAACGTGCAAAATTCATGATTGAGAAACCTTTCTGTTGGCGGCACTTTTGTGTAAGGACTTCTCGCGTATCGTGGAGTTAACGTCGGTGGATTCACAAATGGAGTCGGACCAACACAGTGGACCGTGTTGCGTTTTCCTCCGAACTTATTGAGATAGCTGGAAAAAAAGGAATTGTGAGGGATTTCCATTTTATCATCATTCTTCAACTTTCTGAGATCGTTCTTGGGTGACGGATGAGAAAACTTTTTCAAGTTTCATAAGTTTTCTCTTTAAAATCTGTATGGAGTTAAAATATGTTGTATTTTGTGAAAGAAGTCGGTAAGATCTTTTTTTAGTCTACGATACTTATAATTGTGGATGCTAGGGTAATGGATGCAAAAGGGATTTTCGCTTTTCTCCAAGATTTTCTGAGCCTTTGAAAGAATACTTCTGTTTAGTTGGGAAATTGACAAACCTTTTTCCTTCTTCCTCAACTGTCGCCCGTGCTTGAGAGCTCGTAGGTAGCTGGTTGTGTCCACTGAAATGTTGCTGAAGTTCTAAACTCGTTGGAAACATCGTTTCTCCTGCCGACGCTCTTCTCTCGTCTGAAAAACCAAGTTTTTAAAATATCCTTGAGGGAAAGTTCAAATGAACTGACTGTTAGGAACTGGCAGCATCTGGGCGTACTCAGTCAACGGGATGTTTCCCAAAGTCGGGAGCATCACTGGATTCATGAAATTGGCCGCCTCGCCTTCTGGCATCGTGCTCATTCCACCGAACATCGGAGCATTCAGATGAGAGTTCTGGTAGAAGGTTGATGCCGGTAATTGCGCCATCATGTTCGGTGACAGAATTTGCTCGCTTGCACATAACGTGTGTCTCCTGGAAATTCAAAGTTTGACGGTATTTTTGGTCGCTTTGAAAAAGTTTTCTGTAAGTCAGGTTTTAAACTCAAAGTTCAAGGTAGAATTATCTTATTCATCTTGAAAGTTAATGAGTTTTTGAGAGCTTGGTCATTCCTGATCAAAATTTGTTTTTAAAGTTTATCAGCAATCCCGAAATTGTTCATTCCGAACTTCATTTATTGCTAGCCAGGAAAAACCAGCGAATAGTCTAGATACTTTCTTTTCGTTTAATGTTTATTTCATCCCGAGAGACCTCCGTCAAAAAATTTTTACTGAACTTTCTTGGACAGCAAATATTTCCTTTGGAATTTTTCAAAAATATCATGATGATTCTTAAATTCTGTCCAAATTTTCTCAATTTGACCTCCTTGAAAAATGAAAACTTCAAAAAAATTTTGGAAATTTGCAAAAATGAGTCAATTTCGAAAAAAAAGTATTCAATGAGACTTTAAGTTAAGATGAGAAATACCGAGGAAGCAATAGATCTATTTCTTTTCGTTGATAAAATACATTTTTCGTGAACCCGTTTAACATTTCTAGTGTCGTTCAATTTCTCAAAGTCTCCGTCAACTTCCGACGGCAGCTCATTATATCTCTGTGACCAAAGTATCAAGTACTTTCTTCCTGACTCTTCTGAACTAAGCTAATAAGCACGGCGTGCCCGTCGCGCAGACTGGTCCTCTGACCGAAAAAGGAGATTAAAAGATCAAAAACCGCTAACCTGTGCTCGTTCCTGTTCCCTTGAACTTCGAGACCTGCTGCCAGTCCAAATTGTTTTTCATGACCCTTATGCCGTAATAATGAACTGGATGGTGAATCATCGCAAAGATCGGAATTTGAAGAATCGTCGGAATCCTGAATTTAGATGACTTTGATTTTGATTAATTGTGTTTTTGACGGTTGGAAATTGGAATGGGGCATTTTTCCTTTAATTTTTCAACCTTGGTGAACATGGAAATCAAAAATCTTCTGCGGAAATCTTTTTCGGAGCTCTTTTTTTTTTAGATTTTGAGAATGGTTTTCAGCCTTTTTTCCATCAAAAAAACTTCTAATCAATCAATACAGTTATCTTTTCAGCTCTTCTAGAATTTTTTTTTTCAAAAACTGGTTTCTGCAGTATGGAAATAAGTTTTCTGATGATTATTTTTTTACATGCGTGCTGTATTCAAAAACTCACCGGAACGAAATTTATGAATCAGATTGATTTCCCCAGAACATCGTATAATTTCTGATTGATTTTTGAAAAATTGTTCGGCATTGAAAATTTTATTACTTTATTTACAGTTCCAATGCATTACAAAAAAGCCATTATATCAGACAACACAGTTTTATTTTCCTTTTCTTCAAAGAAAATGGGAATTTTCCCATCCTCGTGTGTTCCAAAAGTCACGAACGGAAGAAAAAGACTGAGCGGTCATGCAGATATCAAGTTTCGTCGAGATGTCTGCTCAGTAATATCTTCTTTCCCGGGACTTCTCCGCTTTCAGGACCCCCAAAGTACGATAAATTCCTGGTCTCTCGCCTCCTTCTGGCCTCGAATGAGCTTCTGCCCACGCACTCATGTTCGTAATCCTTTCATTGGATGCGCATATTAATCAGATCGCACGTCACGTTAATAGAATTAGAATTTGGGCCCGAAAAACTAATCAGCTCATGTTTTTATTGCTCCTAATCTAATGCAAAGCTTTCCATTAGTTTTGTAGTGTTTTTTGAAGCTACGAGATCCCGGAAATCCCATTAATGCAGAACGTTTAGAAGGAGATTTCCGGAGAAGCCAGGAGGTTAATGAATTATAAATCGAAAAGCTTTTACGCTTTTACGACTTTATTAATGATCCAAATCTTCATCTCTATTTGAGTGTTTGAAAAAGAAAAATTTAAAAATTTTTTAGAGTTCAGAACATTTTTCTCTCGAATGAGGAAGTAGACTCTATGCGAAAGTCCGCAAACTTTGAAGCTTTAAAATTATGACTAAACGACATTAATTCGTATGTTTGTTAATTAGAAGCTGATTTTTCTTTCCAGTTAAACATGAGTGAAGGATTTCTGCGTACTGTAACTTTCGTCATAAAGTTGCCATGGAAATTATCTGATTTTTATAAAATCAGAAGCTAACTGGACAAATAATAAAAATCGTATCAAGAGCAAAACAATTAGTATGTTTTCCAATTAGAAACTGATTGAATCATTCGAAAAAACTTATCATGTGCTTCGAAATACTGTAGTTCTTGTTCAAAAGTCGCTCAGACTGTTCATAGATTAATTACGAGATTTTTAAATTGATAATGAAATTATGAACAAGAGTACAAAACAATCAGTATGTTTTCCACTTAGAAGCAGATTTAATTAATTGAACAGCCAAGTACTTCCAGTTACTGTAACTATTGCTGAGATGTCGCCATGGAAATTATCTAGCTGTTCTAAAATCAGACGTCAATCGTAAAGTTTTAAAATAAATTGTCGTTTCCAGTGCAGAACAATTAGTATGTCTTTGAATCGTAAGCAAATTTAATTAATTGAAAGTTAGTCGGAAGCCTCCAAACATTGTTAATTCGATAATCAGTTTCTGAGGAAATTGATAAACTCATAAGAGCAAAACAATCAACTTGTTTTCTTGCAAGGGTCTCGGTAAGTTCTATAACTTTCCTTTCAGCTTTTTTCGAAGAGTGAAGGCTGCAATAGCTTTTTTCAATTATTTGAGAAGCCAAGCCCGTCTGCGCTCTTTTTGGGCAAGCAGTAAAAAGATAAAAATTGCATGCGAATGCAAGAGGAACGATTTCGAAAAAGAGAGCAAAAATGCTCCAGGTAGTAGCGGAAGAAGTTTAACAGTGATCCCCGACAAGTTAACTCCACCACCCGCGTCCGTATTTTGAAGTCGAACTTTTCTGTTTGCTCCCGTGTCGAAACGACAAAAAAGTAATATTTCGAAGGAGAAAAAACGTACACAGTCGGGACTTGACAAATTGAGCTGTGCTAATTGGTGGGCAGAAATGGTCGGGGTGAGCGGCGGCTCGTCGATGTTTGCCTTTCCGCTGAGAATGGAGCCGCGGGAGCCGCGCCTTGGATGGTCATCGTGCGATCCTGCGACACACAACTTCATCTTTTATTCATCGACTTGAGGAAGCTTAATGAATGGTCCCCTCAGGATATTTCATGCGGACATCTCAGATTCTACACGCTTCTTGAGCCCGCCAGACATATTTTATTTCTTTCCCTTTTTTCTGCCGCATCGTAAAAGTGCAAAGACGTTTCTGCCCAAGTTCAAAGCTCAAAAAACTGACAACTGGTTCGAAAAAAGATTGACTTGTTTTACATAATTTTACTCAAATCGGAGAGTTACGAAAATTACCAATTTGCACCAAAAAACCCTTTCTGACACGTTTTGAAAGGGCTAAGACGTCTGGGCTGGAGCTAAAACATCAAACAACGAATATCTAGTTTGAAATCTGCAATTTGGCTTCCACTGACATATGAAACTATTCTGTAAACATTTTTTTGAATAAACTCAAAAAGTAGATACGAATCATAGTTCACGTTAGTTCGTTGCTCGAAACTGCTTGAAAATTAGATTTTTTTTAAAGTTTTACAGGTAATAAGTTGAGGACCTTCAAAGTTTCTCAATGAAAAACTGAGAGAAAGGCCAACTAGAGTTTTCCAATAATTTGCGATGAAACTTAAAATCTTATAGCCATTCTTCGCAGAGAATTTTTCCAGTTCTTGTGCTTTTTTCATTCACCACAACTTATTCCCAAAGAAAATGTTGGAAATTACCTTCGCCCGTCGTCCTACCAACTTTGTCGCATAAAAGTTCGTAGGTCGCATAAATCGGACTCTCAAAGTCTTTTTTGAGCACCGCCTGGAAAATGTCTAAAATTAGACTTGAAGACTCCAAAGACCAATCATTTCTGGATGGCATCACCCCGTTCCGGCCAACAAATTGTACTGATAAAGATTCGGGCCGTCTTTATGAGGGATTTTACGATGGCAAAGGACAGAAATAGCCAATAGAACTATTTTAGCGGACAGTTTTCCTGATAGGTCCAATCCATCAAAAGAGAATTTGCATTGCAAATTTCATGGTTTTTGTGGCCCATAGTATGACAAGCCGGATATTTCCCCCAGGCAGCGAAAAGTCGAAAATCAAGCTACAAACTAAAGCTACGTTTATTCATTCGAAAATAAAGCTTGGGAATCATCCCGTCATGTTTTTCGTCTACATGGGAGTTCTGTTTCATTTCGTGAACTATGGCAAGAAATCTTCTATGCAAAAAGAACGAAAAATATTCGAACCTCAACGATTTGTTCCTCAGTCCAACGACCATGTTGCTGCATGAAAAGCATTATGGTGGGGTTCAACTTGGAAGTTGTTCTGATTTCTAGGGAGCTGGATGGTACCGCGTCGAGGAGCATGGATGGTGAAGGTTGTACCCGTTTCATTTCTCCACCATTCATCCACCTGAAGAAGGCATTGTGAAAGGCCGAATTATTATTTAAACGAAGAATGAGTTTGACTGAACTCATGGGAAAATTTATTTTTTTCTCAAAATAACTTTGAAAGACTTCGGAAATTAGGAATTTCATTGGATTATGCAAAAAAATTCATTTTTTCATGATTTTCCGAAAAAGATTTTCTGACCAATTTCACTTCACAAAATACGAATTTTAAGCTTTCTTGCAATGAAATCAGACCTATGGAATATTTTCAATGGAAATTTGAATCTTCTAAATGATGATTGAAAAATGATTGATGATTGAAAAAAATTGTTTTTTTAGAGTCAGAGTGACATTTACGTAAGCTTTAGACAATTATTATAAAATAATAAACAATATACAAACAAGGAAAAAATCGTTTTGAGCTTAGTCACATAAAATATTTCATTCATTTTTCCCATATCCTCGACATATCCAAAAAAATAACTATTCACTTCCAGGCTTTCAAAGTCTTTTTTTTTCACAGCGGCGTTTCACCAACTTCCGAACCCGGATTCGCTCGTGAGAGTCCTTCCCTTCGTTGCATATTGATGAATGACCACTTGCAAAAGGCTTCCGTCTTTCTCTTATTTTGCTCCCCCCAAAAGCGCGCATTACGCCACCAAAATCATGACGAGAAAGTTCCTTCAAGCCCCACATTCAAAGTAATCGAAAAAGAAAAGCGAGAAATTGTTTTCGCCTTTTTTTCGATTCAATCAACGCACTCCGGAAAGAATGATATCGCAATTACTGGAGTGAACAGCAGTTGAAAAATAATGAAAATTATCTTCCCACGAGGTTTCAAAGTGATTAAGATGTATGCGACCATTAAAAGTAGAAAAACCAAAAAGGTATAAGAAAATGAAAAACGATATGAAACCTGTGTTGTATGACATTTTGTATTGAATATCGCCGAGCCGGATTCAAAACAAGCATTTTGCGAATGAGATCGGCACATTCTGAAAACAAAGAATTAGAGCATTGCTTTTGAAATTGATTGCTTTTGGATTATCTCAAAAATCATTCGACCAATTTATTCGTGCTCAACAACTCTCTAGCTTTTCGGAAAAAAAGAAAAAAATATATAAACTTTAAATTCAGATAATAACTAGCTTTTGAAGCTCTCAAAATGGATCTGAGCATTTTTTCAAGTCATCAAAAACTCACCGACAGACACCCAATATGGAATTTTGACCTGTCCAGAGAGAACAGATCGTTTTAATTTATCAACCGAATCGCTGGGAAACGGGAAACCACCGGTAACCAATATGTACAGCAAGACACCCATAGACCAAATATCCGCTTTTAAACCATCGTAAGAGTTTCCTGAAGTTGAAGCAATTCATAAAATCCAAGTTGAAACATAAAAACAATTATTGAAATTGAAGAATAGTAAGATTATTGAAAATTGTGTAAATGGAGTGTAGATTTTTTTTATAAAATGAGAAAAATGATCCAAAATATTAATCCAAAAACTTGCTTGAAGCTTAGAAAATCTACTAAAATTTAACCCTAAATATGGTAATTTTCTCAAGATGAACTGCTACCATTTCTGAAAGCAATCTGGCGCACTCAAAAAAAAACACAGCGTAAGAAGGTTACAAAAATAAATGGAAAAATTGAAAAAATTGAAAAAAAGCAATACCTAACAACAGTTCAGGAGCGGCGTAGGGAGGAGATCCACACCAAGTATTCAACATGTTATTCGGCTCTTGGACGTTTGAAAAACCCAAAATCTAAAGTCAAAGATAAATTTATTAGACTTCCAATTGAAAAAAATTACCGATAATTTTGATATCATTTGTCCGGCTGAGCAGGATATTTTCAGCCTTTAGGTCTCGATGAACGATCCCTGGAAAAATGACTGTCGAGCTGAAAAAAGTAGAAAAAAACCTTTCTCATGAAGGTAGGCCACGGCGGAGGCTGTTTGGCAAAACCACCTCCTCGCGATATCTTCACTCGTTCGGCCACGTTCTATTAAGGTTTCTCAAAATCAATAAATGAAAATTGGAAAAGAGACAAAAAATATTTACCATAAAGTTCACCTGCACTGCAATACTCTGTTACAATGTAGATGAACCTGTCTGACCTCATGATCTGGAAAAAAAAATGAATTTTTGCTGAGTGAAAAGGCAAGTCAGCTCGATGGACAACATGGGGGAGGGCATAATATTTTTTTACTAGCTTTTCGATAAAATGAATTAATTAGAGAGCTAATTTTACATGAAACGTGGAAATTTGTGCAAAAAAACTCTGCGTTAATGGTTCCGAATTTTGCTTTTCAAACCTCCATAACGGGAGAGACATAAGCCATATCACAATTTTTTGATCAACTTTTGGTCCAATATTGGAAGATTTGTTCAAAAATGTAGTTAGAAGAGCAAACGCGCTCCATGGACAACTTATTTGACTTATGAATTTTCTTTTTTTTTTCGTATATTGTCAATCTGAATTTATCAATAGTATTATTTATTGATTCTGTCATTCCTCAAAAGAACGTTTCTCAATTTTTTCACTTTGCTGATGTAAATGATCATTAAATTTGCCATAATTAGCTCCAGATAATTTTAATGCTTCTCAATTGTCCAATAACTGTACCTCATAGGGCTTGACAATATGAGGATGATCGATCGTCTTCAAAATCCTCACTTCGCGCTCGATTTTGATCATATTCTCCGCGTCGAGCGTCGACTTGTCGATTATCTTTAGTGCGACCTGAACAAAAACGTGCCGTGTTTATTCGGGTTTATTTTTGCTCGTTTCGCGACGTTCAGCTATTTTTAGACACGTTTCAAACCTTGGTTTTGGCGATCGTGTGTCGTGCAAGACGCACTGTGGCAAAGTTTCCCCTGCCGATCGCCCGGCCGACCACGTAGAGGCCGACCTAAAAAACCAACGATAAGAGAATAAACAAATATATTTACAATAAGCTCTCGAATTTCACCAGCATTTTCTGTATTTCTGATGAGAAAAATAAATTATAATCAGAACTCATCGAAATTGACAAAGAGGAGGAGTTTTTTTGAAAAACATTAAAAAGCTTTGAAATCAGAAATAAAACTTGTTTTTTTATCATAAAAGACCTACTGAATTTTTTTTTATATGTTCGTCAGTTTTCTCAAATTCATGACGTATGAAGTTTTTTTAATGCTAATTTTATAAGATACAGATAATTTTATCGTTTTTTTCATACTTTTTTTCCCGAGAAAAAAATCGGACGTTGTAAAAAAACGATATTCCCGTCGCATGGCATGACAATTTCGTCTTGTTTCCACATCCAATCAAAAATTTATTCGAATTTTTTTATTTCATGGGAAACAAAAAAATTCTCTTTAATTATTTTCCTCAAAAATCACGAGAACGATGCTGGAACGTGAATCCACTTTGCCATTATAAAAAATTTAGTTCTTCTCCCGTATCCAAGGAAATATGTTTTCATTTTTTGCGCTCCAGGATTTCGTTTCAAAAAGCACTCAGAAATAAAAGGGATAAATGGATTTCATTTTAAAGCTTTTAAAGAAAGGACGCGGAAAAACCTTTCAATGTCAATATATTTCGCTTGAATGAGATATTTGCAACGACTTTTATCATATTGCATCATCGAAGAAGCGGACGACACAATGGCCCTAACAGGCTTTTCAAGATATTTTGACGCAATTTGGATGAAAAGACGGATTATCCACGCGCCACACAATTTAATCACTTGATTTATTTAGGCGAATTTGCTGCTGGATTATCCTTATTTATTTCATTTCAACCTTTTTCTTTCTCTTCGAAAGGTTACGGTGCATGTTTTCGAAAGCGTCGAGATCTGCACAGCGAAGGCGTTGTGACATTGAACATGAAAGGTCATCAAGATCAAGCCAAACTTGCTTCCCAACACTTCTTCTTCAAACTTTCTCGCAATGAACAATAATCAGCGGTAAGGTTGGAATATTAATAGATACCCAAATTCCCAGAGACAAAAAAATCATCCTGGGAAACAGAAAACGCAATTCTCTCATCAACCTGTCTACTTTCCCACTGTTCACGAAGAAAAACTTTGCCTAGGAGGTGAGAAAAACTCAAAACACTCGATAAAGTTCAAGCCGGAGAGAAAAAAAAGGAGCGAAAACATTGCGACCGGACCTCTTCAACCTGTTTTTTGTTCGACTAATAACTTAGTCAGATAGAAGTGTTTTGAAATACAACGCAAAATCACAAGATGAACAACATTAATACCTCGGAAAACTGGAAATACTTCATAGCTACCTTTTTTAGACCATAATGATACCTTTTCATTCAAAAATTGCTGAAGTTGAAATTGTTCCAAGAAAAGCGCTCAAAAAAGCATATAATCACGGCTTTGGAAACAAAATAGAGTTCTAAAAACGAATAATGAGAGGCTTTTCATTGAGCCAAAAGCGATCAAAAAAGGGTAGAATGAAAAAAAAGGTCGTTCCAAATGCCGTGCAAAAGGTGAACGAGGTTCTGGCGCAATAAAAAAAAAGCGAACAAAAAAGAAAACCGCAACACGAAATGTAGTATAATTAATGAGTTGTCATTATCTTTTTTCAAAAAAACAACAGTGAACTGTTGCGAATTTCACTGAGTGATGAAATAACACGTTCAAGGTCGTCAAGCCAAAAAAAAAAACGTAAAATTGAAAACGTTTCAACTATTTTGAACTTTGTAAGCATAATTTGGGATGTTTTTCAGACATTTTAATCCTTTGAAACAAGATTCTATCCAAAACTCCGTTTTAGGGTTCTAAAAGAGCTGAATAAGAAAGATCCCTTAGCCAAAATCCGCTTTAAAAAACCTATCCGCTTGCCACAAAAGCTGTTCTTTTTCACATCAAAAAAATATTTGTTGGATAATTGAAGAGAGATAATCAAAGTTTTTAGATCTGAGAGCTTTTTTCAATACCACTCGTATTTTAAAAACTGGGAAAAAGCGGCTCTGAAATCTTTTGTTTTTTCAATTTACTTATAAGACCCTGTTTTTGGTGATAACAGACTCGAAACAGCTCAGTTGAGCATCGAAGTAGTTGATACTTGGTTAAAATAAAACAAAGATAAAGTTTCAACGGTTTATAGCGGTTAAAATTACCCCAACAAGCCGCTATGAGCTAACTATACGTCTTTAAATGGCTTGGGGAATGAGGAAATGACTTGGAGGTCGAAGAAAGAGGTTACTGTGGAGTTGATTGAAGTCAATTTGAGTTGAATATGAGGCTCATCATTCCAGTTCATTCATAGACACCAACCTTTTCCAGGCGCATGCGCCTTCTTGGCGCTTCCATCCTGTTGCTGTGGTGCCTCGCAGCAGCAAGCGTAGTTGAAACGGAGAGTGCACAGAGTTTCCCGCTCGTTGCGCTCTCGCTCTCCATTTCTCTCCAGCCTCGTGTCGGCCCTCCTCCATCCAAGTTGCCCACTCGGGGCGGCGCGGTCGCGTCGCGTTCCCTTTTCCGTTTTTTTCCCCTATTTTTTTGTTCCTAATCGTTTTGCTTTTTCTTTTTTTCTTCGTCCAGATAGAAAATTATGCGACAGAGGTAAATCAACATTCAGCTGGAGTGACGTCGCTTCCGCACAGACGTAATAGATACACTTTTTTTTTCGAAGCAACGCCTTTTACTGAAGGAATTGGAAATGCTGAAAACCGGAACCAGTTTTATAGCTGACTCGAATAAGTATTATTTTCTCAAACTCGACCTGAATAGGCAAAATAAGTAGTTCAGACTTTCTTTCCATACTTTTTCCGAAGTAAATTGAGTCTAATTCCGAAAATGCTGCGTGAATGCAGTTTTGTCTCCAATTTTGTACAAAAGTTTTCTCCAGTTGAAAAATGATTTAATGGTTTTGAAATATTTAAATTCGTTTTAACCAAACTTTTCGTTTTTAAAGAATAAATGAACTCCCGATCTTCTTTGTCCCTTAATTCGGCGATAGTTGTCTAAAAATCGACAGAAATCATGTTATATAAAGCTCTGAATCTTTGAAAAGTTAAGAAAAATATGATAAAGCTTATTTTCTCTAGAATAATTTTTCCTAGTGTTAGAACTTCTTGCAATAAAAAAAATGAAAAGTCTCAAATAAATTTGAACTTTTTTGTATATTTTTTGTATTTCAGTAATGAAACTCTCAGTTTTAAACCAGTAAGAATTTTGCTTTTTGTTCTATGAATTGGCTTCAATTCTCATTACGTCAATGCAGAATGCGATAAATATAAAAACGAATACAATTTCTTCTAAGAAGATTTATATCTCGAAGAAGGAATTCATTAAGGCTCAAGGCACGCGAAAGAAAAACCATTTCATCATCCTGCTTTATAAGATAAATTGATCCTTCATGCTATCTAAGCCTCGATATTTTCTACAAATGTTTTTTCGTCTATTTTTTTACACCCAACCACCTGTCCAACTTCAAAAATAGCTTGAAAAATATTTTGAACGTCTGACCTTTTTTAATTCCATCGGAAGCCTTTTAATCTCAACTTTGAAGCAGAAACCTTGTCAAATTGCTGTGGTTTAAAAGCATTTATCCGATTCACGTGTGCGACAAAATGGTGGAAATGCCTCACAACGGATCGACAATACGAATGAAAACAAAAATAAAATAGAAACGAAGATGAAAACAAACAAATTCAACAATAAAACACAGACGACTCGTGAATGAGAAACAGTGAGAACGTTATTACAGAGTACAAGTGAAAATTTTACAAGGATGCAGAGAGGAAGCTTCTTATGTGTGAAATCATCATGCTGAGGGTCGATGGAAATTGCCCAAGTCGTTTCGTGAAGCCGTCATTCGCCTTTGTACAAAATCCACAGACGGGGGCTTTCAATATGACCTGAAAAAGAAATCAAAAATCAATCATGAATATGAGTGAAAGATTTCTGAAAATTTTAAAATACTTCATCGTTCAAAATTCTACAATTAATCGTCCATTGTTTCTGAAACACAACTGGAAACCAAATTTTTGTGGAAGAGTAAGACTTTCTGTGTTTGAGTTCCAAAAAGGGAAAACTCTTTCTTTTTTTGCTTCTTGAACCAAATTGAGAGTAAAATTACGTTGATTCAGGGAAGAATGGTCTATTTGAACTTTCTCTCTTTACATACGTTACAAAAGCAGTACCCGAGAATTTAATCCCGAAATTTCTCACAGTTGTTCCCAGGCTTATTGTTAAGACCATTTTTCATTCTGTGAAGCACCTATTTTGGTTTATTCACACGTGACTTTCCCAAAAACTAGAAGAGGAAAAAAAGAAAAGAACTTTTGCGCTTTTTTCAAACTTTGCCTGGATATTATTTTTTTTAATATTTTGGACTCCTGGAAGTCATAGATCTTGAAAAATTGAAGAATCCTCCCAACTGTATTGATAATCTTTAAAAATTGACATTATTAGGTTTAAGTTTCTTCAAGAAAAATAAACGAACATTCGTGATAATTACCTCAAATCGAAAAAAATAAGTTTAAATCAATTTTGCGGTAAATTAAGCGTTTTTTTCTCTACAATTTCTGTATAGGGGTGAAAAAAATCACAACCAAACAAAATTAATATTAATGTTCTAAATGAACATTTCGAAAAATTAAATAATCTTGAATGAAAGTACTCCTGAAAAGATTGAACTTCTATCTATTCATGAAAAAAATTCACTGAACCATTCAGGCCCTTAAAAATTCAAAAATGTTTCAAGCTCGTATGAGATAAGTCAGATGAGTTTGATGACAACACAATTCAGTTTTCTAGAATGAAAATTTGATTTTTTCACAAGATGAAAGAGCTTTCAAAAAAAAACGGCAAAAACCTGTTGGATGGTCGGCGGAAAGGTAGCCTCCGTGCTTGACCAGTGTGTGATGCTTCAATTCGCACCATTCCGATAGCTTTTCCTGACAAATCGCACAGACGTAGCCGTGTTCGTCGCGTGCGTGATCCTGTAATCCGATGCTTGGTAGGTTTCTTTAAAGTCGCCGGGTTCGCAGTCATTTTCTTGATATTTCGCTAATCCAGATTACTACAAACGTCAGTAGGATATAATCCTGTTACATAAAGCTACGAAAAATGTTCAAATTTCTAGCCAAAACATCGAAAGAGTATATGAAAAAAAGTAGCTGAAGGGAACTTTTTAGAAGATTTCCCAAATTCAGAAAAATCAAAATTTGATGATGGTCTTTGATTTTCATTTTTCAATATTACCCCAAAACTCAAGTGAATTCCTATTAGTATCTGTAGCAGGATAAATCTTGATATACATTCGAAATGTTGAATCACCTCCATTTGGGTGAAACGATTGGCCTTGTAGTCACAAACTTTGCATTCAAACTTGATAATTCCTGTGTGGACCCTTTCATGCGTCATGACCTGCAAATTTAGTTATGATATGAAAATTCGACATTTTTTTCAAGTTCAAGAAGTTTCTTTCGAGTTGAAGATGCGGAGTTATTGAAAAGTTAGTTTTTTACAAAAAAAGAAGTCAAAATTGATTTTTTTAAATTAGTATCAATCAGTGGAACGTAGCGAACTTCCGAAGAAGCAGTATAATTTGAAACTCTTAGCTCTTATTTTCTGAGCTTTCCCACACGTACTTTGAGAAAAATGACTCACCGCAACTTCGCTAATGAAAATTTCTTCACAAAAATGACACTGGTAAGTCTTCGTAAACACATGGGACATCTTCTTGTGCTTTCGAAGCTTTCGAGGCGTCAAAAACTTCAAATTGCAAAAACTGCAACGGAATCCAGAGTTTGCGCCTGGAAAAACATATTTTTTATATTTTCTTTGTGAAAACCTTACCTCTGTGGAACTTTTTCCGGTGGTTGAGTAACCTCACATCTGTACACAAGTTACGAATAGGAGTACATTCGAAACATATATAAGTCTGAAATAATATTCTCATCATTTTCATTTCAGCAGATACACCTACCAGTTCACAATTATGCGTCTCCATTTCATCGATATTCAAGCATTTGAAGCACTTGAGACATTGATCGAATTCCAAAAGCTCGGGATGTTTCTTCACAAAATGTTTTTTCAGAGAGTATTCGTTCCGAAATCGCTTGTCACAGAACGGGCATTGGGGAGAGATCTGAAGTTGTTTTATTCATAGCGAAGTTTCAAAAGAATGACTACCTTTCTTTTGTAAGGTCTTTTGACAGATTTAAGCCTTCCGAAGGAATCGAACCGCGGGACGACGCCGCCATTGTTCTCGCCGGGCAGAGGAATTCTGTAATTGGATTCTAGGCGATTTCAGAGAATTTTTCTTGGAAACTGACACATCTACATTGACATCAAAGATATCGACGTCAATTTCAGATTCTGGCGGAATGAAGCCTCCAGTTTGCAGTTCTTCTATCCGATTCGCCTCGATTTCTTCTTGCCGTTGTTGTTCCATTTCAGCTTCCTGAATTCATTTTGAATCAGAGTGATCAACAGAGTTTTGAAATTTCGATGTTTTATTTTGCTTTCAGTTACTTCACATTGGTAAATACCTCGAAATGAAATAAGTATGCTCTGGAAAGTTGAGATACATATGTTCAGGGAAATTTTTTTCAGTGAAGTAGAACCTCAAAGAAATGATGAAGTTGATAGTTTTCCGCTAAAATTGTGAAATTTTCATTTTTTTGAACTGATTTTGTAACCCAAATAATTTTTTTCAACAGTGACTCAATTTTTTTATTTTCAGAAAAAAATCTGGATTTTTTTGACCTTGTCTTTGTTGAATATTGGTTTTTTTAAAAAAACGTTATAATATTTGCTGTTCTCTATAAATCATTGAAATGCTCATAAGACTGTTAATCAACTTTTAAAAAAAATTGACGTCAAAAACATTCAAAAAGCCTAGTAGCACTTATGGAGAAAAAGTAATCATTTTTCGAAATTCCTTTTGAATAAATTCCTAGTGTCAATTTTTCTGAAAACATACCTGTTCAGCAATATAAATAACGTAATCGTCATGATGGCGGTCTCGCAAATGTCGTTCGTAGAGGTTCTTCTCAACGAATCGGTTCTTACATCGCTTACACCGGATCATTTTTGATCGGATCATCCTTCGGACCTGAGAAATCACCAGAGATTCTCATCATGATCAACTCATAAATGATTTACATCTTCAACTTCGGATGGCATATTGTGAAGAACTGGAAGATCGATTCCATCTTGTGAATCGGCCAGAGCGACTCTTTGCCGGACTTCGCCTGTAAAAAATATAATTGTTAGTTTATTATTAATTTATCTTTTTTCACCAGACACGATCTTTTCTTCACGAAACTCTTACACATCGTAGATGCTACTGACTTTTTCCAAATTTCGAAATTTTAAAAAAATTATTTTTTTAACTATCCGGCTAACCTACTGGAAAGTAGTTGAGGTTTTTGATGAATTAAAAAAAAAGAAGTTGGAAGTTACACGAAAAACTTTGTTGGGAGGTTTACGAGTCTTTCATTTTTCAGAAATCTTCATAACCAGTCATTGGATATTTTTGCAAAAAATGTAAGAGTTTCTCGAACTAAACCAAACGACATCATAAAAAAAACTAACTGATGCGGCAAAGCGGCAGGCCATCGGCTCGTTTTGGTCGGATCGGGACACCAAACTCATTCAACACGATCCGTTTTTTCTCAACTTTCGGCTCTGTTCCTCGCAGTCGCGCCAAGATTTTTTTCCTGTAAATTTCATATTAATGTCTGATATTACTAATAGGATATTTAATTTTTTTCGAAGAACTCAAAATATATTTTTGCTGTCAACTTGATCACTTTAGTTGATAAAAAGATATTCAAATTAAACTGGAGAAATAATTCTTGAATTTTATGTGATTTTTTTATCCACGTAATCATATATAGTCTTGTGAATTCTATTGCAATTTTAAAAAAATTCATTCAAACAAATAAAAACTGGCATACTTTCACATGTTAAAAATTGAGTTTTGTTTAACTAGAGCGTGTTTTTTTCGTTATCATCTTTTTGAAGTTATGAAATTTCTCTCGCGACTCTTATTAGGATAGATTAACTTCAGTCTTATTTCAAAAATAGGGTTTATGTTTTTTTACTGAAAAAAATTAGTTAGTTTTTAGATCATGAATTGAGTTTTGAATCAAATATCAAAATGTATCGTACTGTTAAAAAACTTAAAGTTAGTCTTTGGTCAGTTCAAAACGTTTTCCAAGAATTTTTGGAAAGCGGAAAGTTACGCGTTAAATTTTGCTCAAAACTTTGAACTTTGGCAACATTTCCTCAAAACGCAAAAAGCAAAGTTTTCAAGCAAGCGATAGTTACAAATGAGGTTAGAACTTTTTGAGGCCTAGTAAGCGGTTTTTAAATTTTAGACATTAGACAAAAGCACAATACTAATCGCTCCAAGAAGAAATTTCGAACTTTGAAAAAACCTTACCAAGTCCATCGAGTTTTTTAGGCTTTGGATCGCCGCTCTCAGCGAAGATCTTTTTATCCCATCCGTTTGGGTAAATGGGTAAGGAATCAGGCAAAGAGATCGAATCTTTCTCCGAATCATCGCTGAAAGGATATATTAGCACAAAATCAAACAGTAAAGGGAAATAAAGATAAAATGTTGGTGAAAACCAGCAAATTCCGAGCTTTCTTCGGAATAACAACATCAAATTGATTATCAATACGAGCCAAATTTATTTACAGGCAATGTGCAAAATTCAAACAAAATGAACAAACTTTCGTTGGCGAAACTTACTAAATGGTAATTTTGAGAGGAACCATCGGGCTGCTAGGTTCGACAGAAATTGTCTCCGACTTCTCATCATCTAACTCCTTGAAAAAATACTCAAATTTGAATTTTAGGCACGAATCGATGAACTTACTTCATTATCTTCAGGGGAACTGTCGAGGTAATCCGGATTGGACGTTCCATTGACGTGAACCGCCATTGAAACCATTTAGAGAAACAAAAAGCCACGTGAGTTCAAAAAATTGATGCAGACAGCAATTTCGAAAACGCGCTCGTTGCAACCGCGAAATTGCGTCAGATGAGGATTCTTTGCCGCGAACCGCGACGCAAGCCGCGCGCACGCCGCTCTGAGGCAACAACTGCGAGGCTCCAAATGCCGACGGCGCGTTGACCTCCGCGCCTCTTTCGCGCCTTTGTCCCTTTGTGCCGGTTTTGAAGGTTTCATCAGATACAATATATCATGCAAGGGCCGGTTTGTCATCTCTTTGCGAAATTCGAAATGGTTTCTTTTTTTCATTACGAAATTTCACATCAAACAAAAAAATAATATTTTTTTGAAAAACAGGATTTTGTTTATATTCCTGCAACTCGAAGTGATTTGAAAAAGGCTTGCCAATGATGATGAAATATCACGAGAAATTCCAAGACACATCAGAATATTGAAACTTTTTGAAAAAAAGAGCACTTTTTGGCGGATTCGTTTCTGTGAAAAAAATCTCAGAATTTGATTTGAAACTATTTTTTTCAAATTAGAAAGATTCAAGCTTACAACCAAAGCTGCATGAAGCTCTTGAATCTTTTCTTATGAATTGCTGTGAAGCTCGTTGAAATTGTCCAGTTACTCCAATACGATCTCAAAAGATGCGTTATGAAATTTGTCATCAGGAAACACCTGACCTTTTTGGTCAGACTTTTCAATGGAATTTTCCTACTGGTAAACGAAACTTTAATGTATTGAAAAAAATAATAGCTCAAATTCTAAAAAAATTGTAACTTTATGTCGCTGCATTTTTTTCATAGTTTTCTTTGAAGAAACAAAAATTTTTCGTTATTCAGTCTGTTTCAGCTTAAAACTAGCGTCGAATGTCGATAACAAGGCTTGAAGGGGAAAGAGGATATTTAATTGTTTTTCATCAGCTTTTGAAATTTTAAACGGAAATATTTTATCAAATAGGCGTTTTCAGGTTCTATTGGCCTCATATATTGAACTTCAAACGATATTATCAATTAAACTGTCGACAAATATCTCTTTGCCGTGAGTCGATTGCAATTTTCAAACTTCAGTTGTTGAAGGCAAATTTTCTCATCTTCATCAAGCTTTCTTCATTGACAAATAAACAATGACAAGGAACAAAAAAACACCAGCTTTGTTGGCGATTCAAAAAAATAATAATTTCTACATAAAATTATCGTTTCACTTTTTTTGAGATGATCCACGTTCCACCGCCGTATGGAAGAAGGGAAGCCCGAACCTAAAAAAAAATCCCCACAAAAACATTCTCAAAGGAGATTAAAATCCAAAGGACTTATTCGAAAAAGATAAAAGCCACTCACCCTGGCGTCTTGTTTGATTCTTATGTTCATATTGCGTATAACGCGGTCTTCATTGGTCATGTTGTCAACTCCAGATAGAACTCCTCCGCCGTTTAATGCCTGAGTGAAACAAATGAAAGTTAAGAAACGTGTGATGTTTTTGAATAAGCTCCTCGAAAAAAACTTGAGCTTAAAACAAATTTGCTCGGATATTGATCGCAAGGTATTACAAATAATTTTGAAGGGTTTTCCTCTTTCTCTGAAAAACTAAGCGGCTAAAAAAACTTCAAAACGTTCTAAACGTGAAAGTCAACGTTTTTTTAAATTTAAAAATTGTTCTATTCAAGGATTTTTCTTGACATCGTTCTAAATTATAAATGTTTTAAGATCAAACATTAAGATTTTTTGAAAAGTTTTCTCACCTGATTTATCACAAGAAGACCTCCATTTCTAAGCAATCGGATGGCATGTTCGTAGTCGTCCAAATAGTTATCTCTTTTGAAATCATCCTTAAGTTTCTTTCTTCTTCCAAGGATTTTGGTGGAACGAACCAAAAACACAAAGTCAAAAGTATTTGGTTCATTTGCGGCAAGCCTCGGCAGAGACTTTTCAATACTCTCTGAGGTACGGATTTGAATTCGGGACATTTGAGCGGTGGTGAGCTGCGAAGAATTTTTCATTTAATCGTGAATTAGATCTGAGTAAACCTTCTTGGCGTGCTTTTGACCGACGCGTTCCCAGAAAACTGCATATCCTGGATGCTCCAAAGCTACAACAATACCACGAGAATCAACATGTTCAGCTACTCCGAGAAGTCCTAATCCGGTGAAAACTCCTGAAAATGGCATCAAATTTTAAAATTGGATAAAAACTGCCAAAGTACTTTCTAAAAATTTCTACTTACAATGGCAATAGGCCAAAAAATTGTATTTTTCTGTGTAAAAAAAACCCTAACAATAAATGGTTCGTACCGATGACTAGACATCTAGAAGGACGGTACAAAGCCATGATCGTCTGAACGAGTTGAAGAACTTCAGGCGGAACGGATTGATGCCAAGTCACATGGCTTGGAAATGAGCTTGTTTGGGTGTCCTGAATTGCCTTCAAATGATGAAATTGATAACTTTCCCACTCACTCTCAGCAAATCTTGCATGCTCTCGTCGATCATTGTGGAATGACTGTAGCAGTACTGGAAAATTGGATCCGACGTTTCAAAGCTTCTCAAACTGACGTTACATCTGCTTCCAGGTTCTGATCGCGAGAAAAAAACTATTCATAAGAAAATTATATTATTGGCTCACTGCAAATTTCGCATTTTTGGGAGATTGTGGCCGGAGTTGTGATTGACACGCGGTCAGAAACAGGAGGTCTTGTGTATTTTCGAGCCTAGAAATTGGTTTGACATCGAAACTGGGAAAGAATGAAGAAGAATGCGGAAACGAGAAGAAAAGAAAGACAAATTTTGCTGTGCAGATTTTCTTGAAATTATAGCTTCCGATCGTGAAAAATCTCTCCGTAAAGGTTTATTTTCCTATTGCAGTTAGATTATAAAGACTGACACCTCCTGAGAAAAAAAAAATCTACTCAATGCGATTTCGAAAACTTTAGTCTTCTTTTAAGCGACTTAGCAAAAAAAAATTGCTTCAAGCTTCAACGCAGTTAGAAAAAAAATGACAAAATAAAAACCACTATGAACGGTTTTTTTTTTCGAATTGCAGTCTGTAAATATTCAGAAAAATTCACGACTTAAGTGTGAACTATTTTTCCACACTATACAAGTTTACCTTAACGATGTGAGGAATCGCAGCTGTTACTGTAGTAGAAGCTTCGGTTATAAGTTCACTAGTCGCCATTTCATAATCGTCCGTCGTGAAGTAATCCGGCAAAGAAGCTTCAGAAGTCAAGGAGCTTCTGACGGTAGTTGTCGTCGTCGTCGTCGTCGTCGGCAGTGGCGGCGTTGGCGTCACGACCTTCCAGGGAATCCATTTTCTTGCCGTCACCACTTCTGGAGCTGATGTTGTGGATCTGAAATGCTTTGACCATCAAGAAGCGAGTGTTTTTGTAAAATGTTAATAATTTTACTAAGAAGTTTATTCAAAACTAGCAGGCTGGGTTGTTTGAGAGTTTAGAAAGGATTGTTAAATTTGACATTTTGATTTGAAACTGATAAAATCTCTCTTTTGCCAGATCAAAACAAAAAAAAAGTAGAAACGGTTTGTCTTATTCTAAGGAAAACGATTATAGCTAGTTTCTTTTATTTCTCTAATTATATCAATAACCAACGTGATATTAGAAGAAGTGATCTGCTTCCAAGTGATTGGAGGTCGTCGTGAAGTCGTCGGCCAGATGGGATAAGGGGTGGGTAGAGTGAAGGTAGAAGTCTTGGGAGTCGTCATCGGAAGCGTCGTCGTTGGGGCTTCTGTAGCAGTAGTCGTGCTCGGTGTCGTGGTTGGTGGGACTGTCGGAGTTGTAGTTATTCGAGGCCACGTTTTATGATGAGCTATAGCTTGAGGTTGAGGAGTTGTTGGCTCAGGAATGTACGGAGGGAAAGTTGGGGGATGCGGGAATCCTGTGGTGAACCGGATGATGCCTTAAACAAAATATTATCACAGTTTCCGAAGATTTCAACTATGTTTTTTTAGTTTTATTTGACTTATCCCTAAAATCTGTTCTGCAACTGAAATTTATTTAAACAAACTATTTCTGCCAATTTTTTCAAAAAGTCTCCTGAAGAAATATCTTTTCGAAGCGTGAAAAGTGTTTCGAATTTTCAACTTTTATTCTCTTTCACGAGCTCAATGTGTGTAGATTATTTTGCAATTCGTCTTTTAATATCACGAAAGAATGAAAAAATGGTCGCTTGAAAATGGGTAAATTGGGGATTCTCATTTATTTTGAAAACAAACATTTGAAAACTCGACTTTCCTCATTTCCATCAGTTTTCTCAATTTTTCTGTTAATTCTTATTTCAAGATTAAACTGAATTCATTTCTGTTTTTTTTTCCTTTTCAAAAGTTGTATCCTCAACTTGAAGATATTTAAACTGAAAAGGGTCTTATCTCTCACCGTCTTCGTTTGTCGTAGAACTTGTTGGCTCTTGGGTTGTCGTGCTTTTTATAAACTTGATGATTGCTTTTTCTGTAGTCGTGGAAAAAAGAAAATCGGGTCTTGGATCTCTAGTCGTGGTGATTCTCGGAGTTTGTGTCGAGCTTGTGAAAAATCTAGGCGTCGTGTAAGGAAACGTGAATTTCTTTCGTGAAGCCTCTGTCACTGGTACAATTTTCGGAATTTTTCTAGTTGGTTTTGGAGCATCTGAACTAAATATGTATTGAGTTATGATAAAACTTTTACGTGTTGTCGTGACGTTGAAAATCTCTCTCAAGCCGTTGGCAATATTGAGTTTTTCAGTTTCTTCGAATGAGCTGGAGATGAACTTTCCCAGACCATTCAAAAGTTCCTTTCCTAAAGTTCGTTAGGTCTTTTTAAAAATAAGCTGTGGTAGACCGAATTCAAAAATGGACAAAGGTGAATGGTTGTGATCTTCCTTGGCAGCTTCAATGGAATGTTTGAATGCTGCTTCCTTGATGGTTTCAAACATTGATCCGAAATTCGCCTGAGATTGAGAAATATTTGAAAACAATCTCAAATTGATTTTGAAAAAAATTCATCAAATTTCTTTTCAATAATTTTTTTTGTAGCTCCAAAATAATCACAGGTTTCAAAGATTTCTCTAAGTTGTTCAAAAAAACTCATTTATACATTTTTTTCGTTTTTTTCGTTATTGAACGCAGTTAGAAGGAACTTTACAAACAAAACGAAAATTCAAATTTAATGTACTACCAACATAACGCCACGAACAGTGAAAACTTCAAGCCAAGGCTACTTTTCTTGAAGCTTCATTCTACCTGTGATCTAGATTGATTTCTCAACTTCTCAGGAAACCTTATAATTGTAAAACCCAAAAAAAATGAGGAAAAAAAAATTTTTTCAGAAGATTCCAATCAAAGTTTCCTCAAACCACTTTTTTGAAAAAAATCTCAAAATTAAAATTTTTGTCAAGCAGCAGCTGAAAATCAAAAAACGAAACACTCAGAATACAGTATCCCAGTATTAATAACTCACAAAAGGAAGCCATAGCATGGTGTGGACAGGAGCCAGCAAACATAGGAGCACGAGGAGCTTCATCGCGTCCGCACCAACTGTTCAGAACGTCGGATTTGGGAAGACCCAAGCGACTTTTCCTTGTCACTTCTTTTCACGCGCGCTTTGACAGCTCTTCCCAGCGCCGCCTTGCACTTCCTACCTTTTTCTGACGGTCGTCAATAAAAAAAGAGCTCTGGTCCGCTTCATGCAAACAAGTCGCCCTTCGGCTGTGTTCCGTTTTTCAAAGTGACCTTAGCTTCATCCAATTGGGAGAGGATTTTGATTTCGTGAAGTTGAGCAGGACAAAGTTTTTTTATCCTCAGGAATCCTTTTTTGAACCAATTGCTGTAGTATCACGCATAGAAGCAGAATTACTGTTTTCAACTTGTTTCACTGCAGATTCCAGTTTTCCTGACGAGCTTGGACCTGCGGCTAGTGAAAAACTAGTTAGAGATATTCAAACACATGATCAATATTTGAAAAGAAGTCGTCAGTAAGAAAAATTTTATGCACACTTTGTGGAATGTGAAATTTCGCTTAAGGGAAACTTTTTTTTTAACAATTTCAAGAAAAAAAATTTCATCTTCTTTTATCTTCTTTTTAAAATGAGCTCTGTTCCTGCAAACCTTGATTATTCAAAGCATTGAGCTCCTTTGTACAAAGATAAGTTTTTTCCGTCAAGTTTTTGGGATTCTCTGGAAAAATGCTTGCCCCTTGTCAACACAGAAAATTCACAGAAGGAACTCTTTTTTTTTTTTGAAATTCAACTTGAACATTTTTATCTCATTTCTACCACCCGAGTGGTCGTCTTTTCTCATTATCTCATTTCTACCACCCGAGTGGTCGGTCTTCATTTCCGCTCTCGTCCGAGATTCAATCCGACGCCCGTCAGCCCTGGACAAGCTGGGCGCCGTACTGTTCCTACATGGAGAAGCAGTGATCGTCGGAAACGCTCGAAAAACGTCTACTACTAGCACAAGAGAGGCGAGATGCTCTACGCGCCGTCTACGCTTGATCAACGACATTATCGCGAACCGACAAACAACTCTTCAATTATTCCATGATTCAGCAGAGAACCTACTCTGAAGACTGAATAAAACTTTCAAACTTTCAAACTTGAACATTTTACCATACATTTGTATTCAAAAATTTCATCGTCAAAAAAAGAATCTTCCAATCGTTCTTGGAGTGGCTCGTAAATATGAGATCTCTTCAACGATTTCTTGTAATGGGAAAGAATGTGAAACACGTTTAACCCAAAAGACAGTTTTTTGCTTTGTTTCAATTAATCCGCTATCCTCGCATGAAACGATTTCCGAAAAGTGATCAAATTAAACGCATGCCCCTTTTCAATAACCAGTTGTAATCTCAGGTGTCTCGCTGATTATTTAACGATGCGACGGCAATTCGCGTCGAGAATGTATTATGCGAATGACAATAAATTCACACTCAAAGGAGGCGACGTGATAGGTGTAAACGCCTAAAGTGTTATGAGTGGCGAAGAAGGTTTTTTCTTTTCCTTTTTTTCTTCTCTTCCCAAAGGCGTCGCTTGCGGACACACCCTCGCCGCGTCCCAACATGGGTCATGTTGTAAATCAGCTAGCGCCTACAAACGGTGGAGGCCAACTCGTTCCATATTAGAACAAATTGCGAGAGGACACAAACGGCAGAAGGAGGAACCACCCACCTACGGCCAGCCTCTTCTCCGGTCTCCGCCACGTCGTCTGTTGGCGTCGTCGTCCGGTCATCTCATGAACTACGACAAGCGATATTCGCCGGGAGCCAACGATCGCTCCTACTCCAGGCAGCCGGCTCAACCTAAAAGTGGGCCTGAAGCTCGGTCAGCCTATTATGGTCGAGAATATCCACCTCTGAGGTCGCGCTCCCACACCAATGTCGATGCTGACTTCAACGAGCGCCAAAATGGCGGGTTCTACGACAACCGCGCATTGGACAGATCTTCAAGGTTGGTTAACTTGTGTTGATACAACTTTGGCTGGAGAATCGATTCGAAAATGACTGTCCTTTCCATCAGAGATGAATTTTTTAGTCGGTGAGCGATCATTGAGAAACAAGTTCAGCTGTGTCTCATGGTCACTCGCCAACTAAACAGTTTTTCAACATTTATATAGCTTCATTAGGTTTCTACTGAATCATCGACTATTATGCATGGGAAAAGAAATTTAAAAGTGACTGTTGAAATAAAAAACCCATTTTCAGTAGAATTTTTGTGATCCAAGCTAACCAAACTGTGTCATAGTTCATTCAGCATCGGCTTAAAATAATATTTCATTGCAGTCTTCACTAACGGAGCGCGTCGATTTGAGTAAACAATTCTAGGATTTTTTGAAGTTTTGGATGGTTTTTGTTTGAACAACAGCTTCCGATACATTTGATGAAATTATGAGTTATTTAAAATTTAATAACCCTCACTACTCTTTTTTTTTCTTTAAATTTTGGAACTTTTTGAAACTTTTTTCGAAAGTTTGTCGGCTGTTTATTGACCTACCCTTCAAATTTCTTGTTTTTGGAAATTGAACTTCTCAGAAAAGAGGAATGGAATGTTTTGATCGCATAGTCTAGCAGAGCCATTCACTCTCATTTTCACTTTGTTGTAATTCGCAAAGAAAAATGGAGTAAGAGTGAGTGATGGTCAAAAAAATGGAAAAATAATTGTAAACGAAAGATAGTCATAAAACAGACTTCTTTCAGAAGCAAATCATTGGACAATCGCGATGCTCTCCGAGAAGAAGTCAATGAGGACAGATACGGAGGGGGCGGTGCCGGCGTGATCATTCCAATCAAGAGGGAGCCCGGAAGATCCAGAACATTCGACTACCGCGAGTCGCCAATTTCTCGGCCGAGAGAATTTGAGCATCACCAATCGTTTGATCGGGACTTTGACTACCGCGATAGACACAACAGAGATTTTAACCGCGACTTCACTCGTCGTAGTGGCTATGAAGACAACAGAATCTCCAAGAACAGAGATCCCTACTTTCCACAAGGAGGCGAAAGTCCAAAATCGTACTCTTCAAAGCAGCTGGAGCAAGTCCGTCGTAACGTTGACTATGGATTGGATCGCGGCTATGCAGACGATTTCGGAAGGGACGACTTCCGAGAAGCTGGAGGTCGAGGGACCATTGCCACAATCGGAGGAGGAGGAGGAGGAGGCGGAGGAGGTGGCGCCAACTATCGCAGCGGCAGCCATCACAGGTCCTGGCACGAATCTTACGGTGGAGCACACGATTCTTCTTTTGGTCCAAGCTCAGGCCGAGCTATCACTCATCAACCAGGACCTTATCAGACCTCCACAGGCCGTCCAATCAGACCTATCCAACACCACCGAGTCCAATGCTGCTGCTTCAACTTTGTGTGGCCTCCATGGAGCGTTGAGTCATCAGCTCCTCCGCAGCAAATTTATAGGAACATTTGAGTTAGACCAAAAAAACCGTCTCACTGTATGCTACCGTAAAAACTTTCAAAATTCAAATTTTTTCATGGAAAATTTGAAGGCGTTGAGCCGACGTTTCTCTTCATTTTGTTCAATTTTTGTATTATTTTTAACTGTGAACGTTTGAAAAGCTCCCCTTGTGATTTCTTTTTCAATATTTTTCTTTCTAAATTGAATTCGCTCCTCACTTTTTTTGTAAGCTGTTCTGAAACGCCTGCTGGGCTTTTTGCAATCGCTCGAATTTTGATTATAAGATCATTAAGTTTTTTTCGTGGTTCTTGAAACAGATAAAGCTCTTTCGAAAGCTCCCGCAAGCGTTATTGAGTCTTCTTTGATGCTTTTTTGGATGAAGTTATAAACTTTAACTTCTTTTTTTGTTTTTAATTGGCTCACTCACATTTTTTTCATGGTGCTTCTATTATTATAGACTTATTTGAGTGCTTATTTTTCAGCTCGGTTTTTTTTCTCGGTGATTTTTCTTTGACCATTTTTGGGATACAAACCAATTTATTTCCACTCAACTTCCTGCCACGTCTATGACATGTCGAGACTTCTTATCGATTGCCAAAAGTACCTAGGTTAGCGCGCGAAAATTGAATAGGACGTGTTAGAATTGGACGATCGCGGTTGTGATCAGCCAGCCGCCGCATTTCAATGATTTGATGACCTTGTTTTGTGCAGCAATCGAGATAGAGGTCGTGTTTCTACGCCTTTTCTCCGCCGTTTTTTTCTTTCTTTTTCGTCTTCTCTCAACTGCGGGCAAAGGAATCTCACGCTTCGCCTTTTAACGCCTTATCATCCTAAACAGTCCGTTTCCGATGGCGATCCTTTGCGCCCATTTGACCAGTTTTTTCCGTTCTCCTTGTTTTCTCATAATCGATACAAGTCCCTCATTCAGGTTCTAAACATCTCTCATCATTTAATTTGTGCTAATAAACGGTTAACGTAAAGAGAAAAAAGTTCATAACTTCATTAAAAACAGTGTACAATAGTATATTTTCATTGAGCAGCTAAATTGCACGTGATATGACAATTTCTGGGGACTTGCGAGAAAAAAAAAAGAAAAAAACCAATGCAAGGGCAAGTTGGAAAAACAGACAAAAAAGAACAAGACAGACAAATTATTTTCGAAGGAAAGAAGTTGATCGAGTGCCTACCGGGGGCTTTCAGTAGCAAAAAAATGACATATCAGATTATTCTCGAGCTGATTTCTTCGAAAAAAATCGGCTCAGGCTAAAAAAAAGCATAATTATTATCTTGAGTTGAGTAAAGAAGCTATCACATTTTCGATAGATGTAGAAAACAGGAAAAATATTCTCAGAACTGTATTCGAAGCAAAAATAAGGGATTTCAGGAATAGGAATCCTTTTTATGAATTATTTTTGGTATTGTTGTTCGAATGAGGAAGCCAGATGGAGCTCCGAAATCTTGCTCAATTATTGTCAGACCAGCGGTCAATAAGCTGAAAAAAATTTTTTTTTAGTTCAATTTCGGCTTGTGAACAAAAAAATCTCATTCAAATTAGTAAAAAAACTCATTTTCAGAAAAAAATCGCCAAAAATCAAAAAATGGGTTTTGAAAAAAATAGTACCTTTTTTTAGACTCGGACTTTAGAGAATCACAACTTTGAGCCCAGATTAAGAGTAGTAGTTTAAAATAATATTTTCAAGTTGTTCCCAAACCTTGACGTTGAAATTACAAGTCCCCATTAATTATCTTTAAAAATAAAAATGAGGTTTCTCAAATGGTATTAAAAGGTTACTGTGAGAATAGCACTTTTTGTCAGTTGGTGAGGCGGTTTCTTTTTCAAAATCAACGAAAAAATGGTGAATTCAGTGCGGACAGGCAGCGTTCCATACTTTTTTTTTCAAAAAAAAAAACCTCGAATTTTGCTAATGTAGCAAAATGAATTCAAATTAAAGATGATAAGTCGCTTCGCGTGTTTTGTGTGGACTCGGGTTGTCGTAGTCGTAGAGATAGTCGAATTGGCTCAGAGCGTCGCGCACGTCTTCACCTACAACTTCAAAGAAACCATTTGAAACAATGATTGGGAGAAAACCTATGGTTCCATTGATACTTGGGCTTCGAACTTTGGTCCGACTGCTGCTTCTGGAGTCAGTTGGACCGTAGTTGTTTCCCAAGTCGTATCTGAGACAGATTAATAAAAAGTGACGGAAATATTTCGTTTCCAATGTTTTAAAATGTTCTGAAATAATACATATAATTGGCCCACCACTTTTGGAATTCCGGGAATCTCTTCTCATTCCAGTCATATTTTCCATGACTTCAGAATCGACATTCCATTCTCTCATAGCTAAGAAAAAAATTACTACGAGGTTTCAAAATGGTTTCCTAATCGTAATGAAACCACTTCAATGAACCACGTCAATCACTTCTCTCAGGGGTGGTTAGTAAAAACTAATTTTTTCTTCGGAAAAGTTGCGATCATAAAGAAAAGACCCTACTGAATTTTCCAACAGCTTCACTAGAAGTACAGTTTTTTTCCTGTGTCGAGTTTTTAATCCTAAAGCTGTTAATGTTCAAAATAAAAGGAATTATTAACGAATGCATCACGAAAAAAATTCTTTCTCCATCGAATTCTTATGGGAAAATCAGAAGTTTCACAAAAAAATGATTTAAAAAACGTTCAATAAATCATCCACCTTATGGTCTTGCTCAGTCTTCTGCCCCCTTCCATGTTGATGGGCACATAAACAACTTGTCCACTCTCTGCATACGCCTGTCTGCAAATCATCCTTCCTTGCAAAAAAAAAAAGTCTACTAGTTTCCTTACAACCTCGAGTCGTAATCAGATTCTTGTGGCGTCGATGGCGAGAGCGGACGACTGGAAACTTCGTACGTTCTCGCGTACAGAGGGGCGGAAAGCGGTCGATGTGCGGATTGCTGAAAATTATTTCTTTAAAATGAAAAGGCAAGAAAGGTTAGATGAACATCTAACGAAGAATTTCTGCTGATGAAACAATCAAAATTTGGGAGGTTTTCAGAAACTATTCAAGTTTTGTAGTAACTTCCTGTGTAAACTGGTTGAGTAACTCTGAATTTTAAAAAGAAGCAAAAGTCTTGCGTATGCTGAAATAAAAATAAAAACGGATGGTTGCCGGAAACGGCAGCTCTGAAGCCTTGAAAACTAGACTTCAAACTTTTTTTCAGAAATTTCATTGAAAATTTCTAAAAAATTTTTTTTAAATTAAAAAAATCATTCTGGATTTCCATTTTCACTTTTTCTGGTTCAGAAAACAGTTGTTTTTCTCTTGATACAACCTGTCCGGTGATTTATGATCGCCGTCCATTTGTTCTCTAGTTTTTTTTCTGAATTCTTTCTTGATTACTCTCCTTTCTGCAGTATACCTGTTGGATTTCCGGTTATGTCATTCCTTCCAAGTGATAAAACTCATTTACGTTGATTTTTAAAAAAGAGCTGGACTGGGACATTGTGAAAACTTATTTTCTTGACCAAAAAGTTCAATGACGCTTTTTATTTTTAGGTGACCATTGAAAATAATGGATATTTATAGTTTCCTTCCACATTCGCATATTCAAAGTTTTCGAGTTGGTGAATAATTTTTTGGGAATGGTAGAAAAAAGACAAGAAACGATTTTTGATAATTGCCGTGTTTTTTTTCCCAACTTTTTTTGGAATTCTTCCTTGACTCCCATTCATTCTGGAATATAACCTTTTTTTTAATGATAAATATATTTTTAAAAATGTCAACACATTCGGCGATTTTCGATCATTTCCTTTTTTTCTCAACTTTCTTTTCCGACTTTTTCGTTGATTACTCCCGATTCTTCCACATACTTGTTGCGGTTCCGGTGACAACGCTCTCTTGGGAACGACGCTCGCCACGACGGGTTGTTGTGGGAAGAGATAGGAGAATCCGGCGTGTGGTTGTTGAGCTTCGACGGTAGGCGGATCCGCGAACCGGGCTCTGGGAGAAAGTGCACTCGACATCCGGCGAGGAGTTCTGCAAGATCAGCTCAGTGTGTTCCAAAAAAACATGTTCTGGCACCTTTCAAATAGAATATCAAATTTTTTTAATAAACTTACTAGGCTTTGTCTTCAGAAAAAAAGGGACGTCTTATGACGAATTTTTTTCACAAAAATGAAGACGGAGTCGTCTTTTTCCAGTTTTTTTCATAAAAAAATAGTTTATTGGCAAATCATTAACAGATCTCAAAAAAATTTACAGGAATTTCTAAATTAAAAAGAATAAATTATACAACTGAAGCTTTTTCAAGCGAATAAACAATTTTTGAGAAATAGTTGTCTTTGTGTTTCACAGAAACATTAAACAAGTTCTTTTCACCACCTACATGTTCGAAAAAACAATGCTAACCTCTCCTCATGCTCCTGACGAATGATGGGAGAAACAGGCGGAGGTGAAACTGCTCTCATTGGAATTCGAGCATTTACAGAGGGCGGTCTAGCGGAAGACGGCCGAACTAACGTCGACGGGTCTTCGTCTCGTACTGACAAGTCGTGAACACTAAACAGTAAAAACTAAATATTTTCCACATTCTCTGATATAAAAACCTCCTAGAGAGAGCTTTGACTTGTTGGATCGGGTGATAGTGAACTTGTTCTTTGTTGAAACGTTTCAAGCCTCTTGGAACATCTACTGGTGATACGCTCAGGGGCTCTCTCAAACACAAAAAAACATGATAAGACTTTAGAAAATGAATACCTGTCATGAACTATCATCGCGCTCTCACTTTTTGCTCTTCTCATCGCTCCGAAAGCTGGTTCACGTCGTTCTGTAGCGTATCCAGCACGAGAAGAGCTGATGGGAGACGGGGCTTCTGGAAGAAAACATTAAAAAAAACAGCTCGAAGCATGATAGTAGCATTTCGTGCTAAAAGTTAAGAGTTTAGGTGAAGAAAACCCCTAAAAACAGACAAAGAGTCCGTGAGATCATTATTTAGATACCGATTCTTCAAAAAAGTAACAAAGAGGCATGGCAGCTTCCAGAACCCGATTTTTTTCCATGAGAGAATCGGAAAAGCATATTAACTGAGGAATAGTTTTCTGACCAATAATCTCAAAAAAAGCAGGCAAAATTCTGAAAATTTTAGATTAAAACCTCCATAGCCACGGTGAGAGAGAGTGTGAGCCCTCCGGTCACTGTTGAAAGTTGCCCGAGGTCCAGTTCCTTCTTGATAGTAGTTGCTGGCCGCGGCTCTACCTCCAGACCCAGCTCCTTGTTTTTTGAACCTTTGACGTTCCACGTTCTTTGCAACCATTGTGTTAGCCTTAAAATGATGCAAGAGATAATATGAAGTAAAAATTAGTATGAATTTAGAAATAAGTCTATTGGAGAACAAGAATTTCGAAAATAGCATTCTTGAATCGTAGTGAAAAAATTCCTTGAAGTCAAATTAATAATTTTTTTTCAGATCCACATATTTTCGAAGATTTCGAAAAGTTCGTTGGTTAACGTGAATTGCTTTTTCTCTTATGTTTATATAACGAAAACCTCTATTCATTCTGACCACAAAAAGCTCACCGGAAGCTTGATATTGCCTCGTGGCCTTCTCGTTCTCTCGGAAAGACTGTCGCCATCTTCAGAAAGACCATAAATATGATTATGTTCAACGTTGGTCGAAGCATATGCTTGAGGAGTACTCATAGATTTCCAAAGACTCAATTCCTCTAAAAGGACGTCTAACCCTCCAAAGTTGGTGTTGGGGTAACCGATCAGCTGAAAACTTTTGATTGATAATAGTTTCCTTTAAAAAGAACTACCTTCTCAACATATTCGGGAGTGAATTGTGACAAGGCGGCTTCAGATTTGATCAGTGCTCGGTGCATTTGAGTTGGGGAATTCGCAACAAGTTTATTAAATAGTCTAACTACCAAAATCTGGAACAAAAAATCTTTGGAGCCTTCGAAAAACTGGTAACCTGAATATGAAGTTTATTTGTATGAAGTCCATGTTTCAATTGAGCAACAAATACAGAAAGACGAAGAAATTCCCGATTTCTCGCTGCTAAAACTGTCAATGCGCGTAGAAAAATGAGAAATCCTTGGGGCTGATCCAAAAGGAGCAGGAGAATCTGAAAACCCAAGATCAAAAAGAAATGGGTTTGAAGTTTAGAAAAACCTCTAATGAGTAACATTTTGAGTCCAATTGAGGACTGTGTACTGAGTATAAGATGGCATCCAGGCCTGTCGATGTTTCGAGGAAAGTTTTCCAAGAAGCTTCCTAAAATATCTCTATTTTTTCAAAAGTTGAATTGAATTCAAACTGTCTTCTCGAGAAGAATCTTGATGCATTCTATACAATCTGCCTCCGCAACCTGCATAAATATAACTATGACTCAGAAAAAAAAGAGAAAAATTCACTCACCGCAGCTTTTCGTTTCCTATTGGTGTTGGATGTGTTCCTTGAAAGAAGGTAGGATATTTTTGAAGAAGATCCCTGGACGCTGTTGACGATTCCTTGCAGCACAATTACGACTTTGCTCAGGAGTTCCAGCCCATTTATCGGTTTGGAAATGAACTCGTGAGCGAAGTGCTGGGCTCTGAAGATACTTTTGAGCATAATCGTTTATAAAATCTCCTTTTCCATTCTTTTTCCAATTTAGACTTAAATTAAACTTTTGAAAAACAACTAAAAAAAAATGATCGATTTCTTCACAACGCTATGGTAACTGGCAATGAAAAATGTTAGAAATTTTCATTGTTTCGAAACATTATGAATTTCTTGATCTTTTGATTGGTTTTATCTATTCCTAAACCAGACGTGCGATCAATTTGAAGAAACCTGCAAAAAAAGTGAATCATCACACTTTTTGATCTTCTGATCAACTTTTTTTAATACTCAACCAAACAGGCTATTAGTTTGAGAGAACTATTGCAAAAAATTGACGTCAGCACTCTCCGCAGACACTTTTTGAGCGGCGAGTCTTGCTTGCTCGGAACATGGCGGCGTTGAACGCGCTGCCGCGCAAGAAGCTTCACGTGCTGAAGACAGAAGCTGGGGCTGTTTGCTTGCAAACATTAAGCGCTCAATTGGCCTTGGCTACGCAACAGTGAGCCAGTCCGATCGGCGTGACCGTATTGCTCGGCGACGCCCGTCTCGCTCCCCCCGAGGCGCTTTTCAGAAACAAGACACATTCATGTCGTCCTCATTATGTACACAAATCGGCTAAGGACAGGACATCTTGTACGGAGTGCTTTTGACCCGCTGATCTTGCTTTTGTTGCTTCTTTCTTCCTTTCTTCCTCCAGCAAGAACAAAGAACGGTTTCCAGGTGATTACGTTGGGAAAAAATTTGACAAAGAGAGATTAGGTGGCTTTGCGAAAATTCTCTTTGCCAACTTCAAGAGCTACGCGACAATGAGAAGAACTCAAAAAAAGCTTTGGCAGAACAAAAACTCCCCTAGTAAATAGAGGTTTCATAAATTGCAAAGTTTAACTTGAAAAAGTCGTTCAAAATCATAACTAGATCTTGTGAAATTAAAAGCAATCTAGCTCACTTCTCCGTTTTCCGACCAAAAAAATAGGTCGGACAATAAAATCCAGTAAAATTTTGAGCAAACAGATCAGCCGCTCCAGATTTACCTGTTTTTGTTATTTTTTCGGATTGCCCAGATTTGAAAAGTAGGATCGAAAGAAAGCTGCCGCCCATTATAAGATTTCGAAGAAAAACAATGTTTCTGTTGCATCTCTTCTATTAAAAGCGGTGTTATACTGAGTTCCTTCAGTAGGATAGTCAGAAAATCGGAGAAAGAAACATTGAAAAACTTTTTTTTAGCGATGATGATCTGTTCAAAATTAGAAAAAAGCAAATTTCTGCCGAAATGGATCAATTATACAATTCTAAAAAAATTCATTCAACTATTCCTTATGTTTTCCTAACTTCCGCAGACAGAAAAAAATAAATTTACTCACTTTGGTGAATCATTGAGGATGTGGTCTTTGAGCGTGAGTAAAACAAAGCCAGCGTCGGACAATGAAATACCATTGGACGCACCTTGGACAAAAAAATCATTAAAAAATGAAAAATGGCGCACCTGCAGGTGCATCCGTCAGTTGTACAAATCGCCTGAGTTGCTCGGCGAGAGAACGCGGCGAGCTTCTTTCCATTAATTAATGACCTGAATGAAGAAATTCGGAAGAAAATAACTGGAATAATGTTTACGCGAAAAAAAAGAAAAATTTGAGAGGAAAAGTTTAAGAAGCCATAGAGGCTATGAATGAAAAAGATCAGTTCAATTAAATTATTTTGATTCCATAAAAATGAAAAATTGTGTTGTCCCAAAAGACGGAGATCATTTTGATATAACCAAAATTCAAAAACAAATTTGTGAAGTGAGAAGTAGTGAACTAATTTTTTTCATATAGTAAAACTTCGACAAAAACTCAAAACGAAATATTCTGGACGTAGCGCTTGAACTGAACTGGAAAAATCTACGGAGGTCATTTTCAAAAAAACAAGTGGAAAAAAAGCAGGAAAGAAAGAAAAAAAGCTTCTAAAAAAATTTAATGAGTAGAAATCGAAAGCTTCATTAAAATAATATGTAGATACATATAATAGGAAACAAAAAAATGTTCATTATCGCTGGGATTGGAAAAACCATAGTTTGAGAATAAACAGAAAATGGAGGAAAAATCGGAATATTCAGCATCAAGACTTTCAAAATTGCAATTAATCAAAAAATGATGTTCTAGAAAAACAGGAGCAGTTGGAAAATTCGAAGCGTCGCTCGAAACAGAATTGTTAGAAGTCAGCAAATTAAAAAAAACGATTTTCTAACTGGTTCTTGAATCTGAAAATTCGTTAAAATTATAACATTCAACAGAAGTTCAAAGCAAAAACCGCTCAGTAAGATGACCTGAATTATCTCTAAAAAGTTACTAAGAATTAAATTTTGAAACAAAAGTGGGGACAAACACTTTATTTTAACATTTTCAAGGAGCTCAGCACTGAGTGAACCCAAGAGAGAGTTTTTTATTTTTCGATAGCCCTTCCAGGCATAGCTTTTTTCAGTACTTCACACACATTCTATGCAAATCGATGAACAGACCAAACGTCACAAATAAGTTCGTCAAAAGGCAAAGACAAAACGGTCAGCACGGGAATCAATGCCGGTGGTTAGCACAAGTGGAAAGGGCTACAGTGCGCGGAACGAAGAAAGAGCAAATAATGCCTCCCTCGTTGCCTGCCGCCGGCTGCTGCTGCTGCTCCCAGTATTGACGGTTGGAATTCCGGAGCTGCCGAGAGTAGGGACAAGAATCCGCCGGTTCACGTCTTCCGCAAAAAGAATCGCATTGACAGCTCCCTTGATGTAACGTCTAATTTGACAAAAATTGCCCGTTTGAAAAGATTTCACTTTAGTCTGCTTACAAGAAAAGTGTTTTCCCTTTACGCTCAGAAAAATCTCAACCTTAAGGTGAAATGATTTTCCTCATCAGAAAATATTTAGGTTTTAAGTAGAAAATAAATTTTTTCCAAACTGCAAAATATATATCTTGTATAATCATGAAGTGTCTTTTTGAAGTTTCTTTGAAGTTAAAGTAGATAAAAGACGCCCATTCGATCCAGAGTTGTCAATCAAGATGATAAAAATCGAAAAACCAACGGCAGATGGTGGCATTGAAAACTTTTTCATTTGGAGATGAGATTATGAATTATTGAAAATTATGAAACGAAATATAAATTCGATCATTTGTTTGATCTTTTCAGACCACGAAAACTAGTGATTTTCAAACCACTCAAGGGACCACTGATTTCTTTCTAGTGCTCAATCAGAAAACAGTTCACTTTATACTGTAAAATCAAAGACAGCTGAATTACACCGCATTTCTGAAGCAGTAAAGAAAAAAAGTGATTGAAAAGAAATCATCAATCTTCAATCCAATTGATAAATGGTTTGTAAGAATCGAGAATATAGAGTATATTTTTGATCAAAAACTGATTAATTAAAAAAACGATAAAGATATTCAGATTTGGAGGAACGTCTTGAGGTTGAATAAATTAGCCGTTGTGTTTGGGCCTCTGTGCAAACATACGATCGAACGCCATTCAAAGACTGGCCGGCGAGGTCGCGGAGTCACATTTCGGTCTTAGCGCCAAATATGGGTAAACGGGGCCATAAGACACCCGGAACTGTAAGAAGCTTAACCGAGTGATTTTTTAAAGTTATATGAGCTTTTATCCCATTTCTAACGGCCTTTTTCTAAGCGCGAAGATGTACACAGGTTTTGAAGATTTTTTTTTTTGAATATTTTAGCACGTTTTCTTTTTTGACAAGGCAGTGTATTAATAAATCTTGAAAAAAATATTCGGAAATTAAGAACCTCTTTCGAAACCAGAAGAAAAGGCTCAAAATGCTGTGTCTGCAGACCTGACGAGATACCTTTGCACTGGGTCTCATAATAATCGTTTCTATTATATTTCTGAAAAATTTTGTCTGAAAGTGTTTGAAAAAAACTTTAACAACTTGTTACCCAAATACGATTGATATTTATGAATAATTACATTCAGTTTTGCATAGAATCTGTTTCTGATCAGCGATATTTCTGAAGTGGTTGATGAATCCTTCATTTTGTTCATTGCAAACTTTAAAGTGTAGAGGTTTTTTATATTACAATCTCATTAACTGTTTCTTATCATCACAGTAGAATACCCTTCCATTATAAATTATTTTTGCCAGCCCTGAGGCTGGCTTAACCAAAAATGGACTGCATTCTGCTGAGACTGAGTCTCACCCAGAAGGCGCCGCGTGGAGGCAGCAGTCCAAGCCTTCCGGCTAAGGATCTTGATTGGTTGCGTTAGCAAATGAGCCTAAACAACGTCCGACCCCACTAAACCGTTCACCCGACTCGCAGTGGCTTTCGCGACCTTGCATCTTATATCGGGAGGACAACAGAAAACATTCACCTCGAAGCATAGTGTTCCCTAACGGAAAACGTTCACCTCGAAGCATAGTGTTCCTTAAACCAAATGTTTGTAAACAAAACGTTCTCGAAAAATATTTTCGCTTCTCTTTTTGATGCCGTGGAATAAAATTTGTCCATATTTCTGAAGGCGCCTATTTAATAGTTCCGAAAAGTGTGGAAAACTCAAACGAAGACATTCCAGCAGCAAGATGTCTGAACGCCGAATCGACGTGAACCGCAGCAACTACTCGGTGATTGACAACGAGTTCGGCAACATGCGCAATCGTTTCGAGCAGGAAAGGCACCGCGTCGAGGAGGAAATGCGTCGTCTTCGCTCCGAGTTCGAAGGTACTTTATTTTATATAAAAAACGGGGTCATTTTTTCCAATAATAATGATAACAATCTTCCTTGAATATATTAAAACATCAGAAAAATATAATGATAGTACAAATTATACAACAAGAAAAATAATTTAGATGGGTTTTAAGTTTCCTTACTGCAATAAATGGTTTGCATTTTTGAGATAAAGGCATTGAGTAATAGTAAATGTTTCGACTGAGGTAATGTGGAAGAGATAAGTATATATGCAAAGCAGGGATAAGTATGTTTGAAACGTGTATGAACACATAAATATATTTGTACACGTTTCAAACACGCTGAGATCGATGAGGTTATTTTTTTTAACATATCGGAGCAATAAGAGAAGGATTCAGGAGAGACGCTCAATATCAAAAAAAGAAAAATGGCAAAGTCCGATTAGGAAAAAGGATTGTTTTTTTGAAGATCACGAAGACCAGCAACTGAAGGGATGTTGAAAATGGAGATTTCACAACCAAAAACGGCCTTCTTTTTCTGCGACATGTCATGGAAGAGTCGGGCATTCAGCAGGCATTATCTGGCATTGCTCACGTCTTTCCTGAAAATGGATCGAGTCTAAAAACAGTTATTTTAGTCGGGACTTCTCTACTCTAGTCTTGAAATCAAGAATGAAAAAAATGTCCGTAAAAAGTCCAAGTTCTAAGAAATGACGATTGAAAAACTCACACCACGCTGAAAAAGCGTCTCGCCTGAGATTCTTGATAGCTTCCTTGCTGCTCTGGCCACATTGAGACCGGACGAGGGTCTAGCTGTCGTTTGGTCAAAGACAGTAGGAATGCGAGCATTCCGATCCGCCTCTCCTCGTCTTCCGTGACCATATCCCGGTGTTTGCGTACGAGGAAGAAGTCGGGAGTTACCTCTTCCTGGAAAAGTCATTGACATGACTATTTGAATCAGATGAACAAAAAAAAACGAACCCCGTCTTTCATCTCTGTCGTTATGAAGAAAGAGCCGTGTGCGGCTCCAGGGAAGAAGCCGAGCCAAAAATTCCGCTACGCAGTTTCTCGCGGTCGTTGTTTATCGTGAGCCTGCAAAATATAGATGAAAATTGGGAATTTTCAAAAACGCACAGATCCGCATTTCTTGGCGACCACGACAGGAAAAAAAACTCCTGGCAGTAATTCATTCGGTAGTTGTAAACCGTCAGGTTGTTTTCGTTCTTGAGAGCTCTGGCGATCGCAGAAAAGACGCCTTAATATAAGATAGAAGACGGTCCAGCAGCTTTTGTTTGGAGATAAAATAAAAATTCATAGAAAGCCTGGCGTTTGTTGGACCGACCTCTCCCGCCAATAAAAAATTTTACATAGGGTTTTTTGATAGCAAAAGTGTTCAGAAAGGGTTTTAAATATTTCAAATACTTTTCGATCATCTGGAAAAAGTCTGTTTTCTTTTCCGGAACCGTTTTCCAAAACAGAAAAAAAAAGCAAAACTTTGCTCGTTTGGAGGTCCATTAACTTTCATTAGTTTTATGTTTCCAATGTATGGAAAAACTGTCTACACTGCGTTCAATAAGGATAGGACCCCCCTCGATTTCGGACCTTCTGGCAAAATACGGAAAGAAATCAAAAATCTGTAAGTGCCATTCGATTCAAAGTGCAAAATAACCCCCAGAGCCGAACTTTCATTATCCTAGCACCTTTCCTACAAAACTGCCATCGAAAAAACGGTTTTTCGACCGTTCAATAAGGATAGGACCACCTGGAATTTTTGACTTTCATTGGTAGTTTTTTATCAATTTCTCTTTTTGATGAGTGGTTTTTTTGTTCTTATCATCACAGTAGAATACCTTTTCATTTTTAATGATTTTTGCCAGCCCTGAGGCTGGCTTAACCAAAAATGGACTGCATTCTGCTGAGACTAATTCTCACCCAGAAGGCGCCGCGTGGAGGCAGCAGTCCAAGCCTTCCGGCTAAGGATCTTGAATGGTTGCTTTAGCAAATGAGCCTAACAACGTCCGACCCCACTAAACCGTTCACCCGACTCGCAGTGGCTTTCGCGACCTTGCATCTTATATCGGGAGGTCAGCGGACATCGTCCAACTCTTTCATCTTATCCTATCAGAATCGAGTCTATAAGTTTGAAGAACTTGCAAAACTGATCAGTAGCGAATTCCGTCTCTGAAATAGTGCATGAATCCATCTTTTTGTTCATTACAAACTTTAAAGTGCAGAGGTTTTTTTTTCATATTACAATCTCATTAACTGTTTCTCATCATCACAGTAGAATAACCTCTCTTTGTAATTTCATTTTGCCAGTCAGATTCGAGAGTTTATGAAATCGTGCATTAGTTTCGACAGGGTATCACTCTATTCGGAGATCTGGAGTTCAAATTTTCAAACATTGTATTGCGGGTCCTCTTTCTGCAGAAATAACCTCAGGTTCCTAAAAAAAAATCTCGGTGTGTACACGATGCAGGACCTTCGAGAGACCGTATCAATCACTTCCCTCGTTAACTTGATTACAAAGCTTCCGTGTGGATTTTTTGATTGATAACTTATAACTTCCAGATTTTCCCATTATTCATGTCCACAGAGATTTTTTCGGCTGGCTCAGCGACATCACCTCGATAGGCCGATTTTCGGTTCTGATAAAAAAAAAACATTGCACAGTGTTTTAAACGGGTTTCGTCACAGAAATCCCCATAAAATGACACTTTTAATGACAGCTTTTTTCGCACAATATGTTTCGTTTCTTTTTTTGTTTCAGATTATTCAAAGGATTTTCTTTATAGAAATGCTTTGTCATTTTTTTCTCAAATTTTTTTCTCGAGGCATTATTCGACGAATTTATTCTCGAAAATGTCATTTTGGGTGACAACTTTTTTCCGCACAAGCTATTGTATCTGTTTTTGTTTTTAAACGTTCAAATGGAGTTTCTTGAAAAAAGTGCTTCGAGCGTTTTTTTCAATTTTCTCTTTGGAAGTTCGATTTTTTTTTCCTTAAAAACGACCTTTTGGCAGATATTTTGTTTTGAAAAAACTTTTTCGTCTTTTTTTTCCATTTGAATTTGATCGTTATAATTTAATACACTGCGCGTAATAGTTATAGACGCACCCCCATTTTTGCAGTTTTCAAAAGATATGTTGAACTTCCTGCAATCAAATCTATTTTATGATGAACCTTAGATCAAATGGCTAACATTGGAAAGAGAACTAAAAAAGACTCAGATCAAAAAATTTTCGTAATCCGTCAAAAACAGTTTTTTGACCGGGTCATGATTATAGACGCACCCTGGGTCACAGCATTTTAAGTAACTTTGAATCAAGCAATTTTAATTACAAACCATGCGAAAAGCGAAAAAAATCGAAAATTTCAGAAAAAATGGTCTCTTCTGGAAATATCAGATAATTTATATCGGAGTTTGCGCATTAAATTTTCAAATGATGTTGTTTTGAACAATAACTGAAAAGTTCGAGAGGAAAAAATGCTTCTGCGGTACGAAAAATACCTTTTAATTAGGTGGATTCACTGTTCATAGAAAGCCTGGCGTTTGTTGGACCGACCTCTTCCGCCAATAAAAAAATTTTTTTACATAAGAATTTCTGATAGCAACAATATTCTGAGTTTCACTTTGAAAGTTTGGAGCTGATTGTCCTTACTGGTATTGGTTCATTCCGTGCTTATAGAAAAAAAAATGAAACTTCTTGTTCATGCAAATCGAAGACTTTTTTGAAAATTTGATTATAGACAGTTTTTCCATACATTGGAAACATAAAACTAAGGAAAGTTAATGGACCTCCAAACGAGCAAAGTTTTACTTTTTTTTCTGTTTTGGAAAACGGTTCCGGAAAAGAAAACAGACTTTTTCCAGATGATCGAAAAGTATTTGAAATATTTAAAACCCTTTCTGAACACTTTTTGCTATCAAAAAAACCCTATGTAAAATTTTTTTATTGGCGGGAGAGGTCGGTTCACCAAACGCCAGGTTTCCTATGAACAGTGAATCCACCTAATTCAAAGATATTTTTCGTACCGCAGAAGCATTTTTCTCTCGAACTTTTCAGTTATTGTTCAAAACAACGTCATTCAAAAATTTAATGCGCAGACTCCGATATAAATTCTTTGATATTTCGAAAAGAGACCATTTTTTCTGAAATTTTCGATTTTTTTTCGCTTCTTGCATGGTTTGTAAATAAAATTGCTTGATTCAAAGTTACTTAAAATGCTGTGGCCTCCTACTAATTCAAGTGTTTATTCAAAATAGAAAAAAAAAAGACGAAAGTGCCAACAAAAGTTAAAAATGAGCCCTGACCCAGGGTGCGTCTATAATTATGACCCGGTCAAAAAACCATTTTTGACGGATTTCGAAAATTTTTTGATCTGAGTCTTTTTTCGTTCTCTTTCCAATGTTAGCCATTTGATCTAAGGTTCATCATAAAATAGGTTTGATTGCAGGAAGTTCAACATATCTATTGAAAACTGCAAAAATGGGGGTGCGTCTATAACTATGACGCGCAGTGTACACATTAAAAACCTTTGAAAACTTGCGAGAACCTAGGAGAAACATCATTTAATGGTCTTTTTTCAACCACTAAATCCACAAAACTTGACTCTCATCCCCGCGCCCCTATAGCAATAAACCGTGCCGCTGTTGCAGTCAGCCACGCCTACTGACCACAGCTGCCGCCCGTTTGGCAACACTGTGAGTGGAAATGAAGTGCCGATTGCAGAAAATTTCGATTGCCGCACAGCGCTGATCCGAATCAGAAGAACATGTAGGCTAGTGGTTCAAACCTACATTTGAAATGCCTTTTTTTGAAGTCTCATCGCACAAGGCTTTGTGAAAGCAGTCAACGTTCGAGTAAGCCCATCGATTGCCTGTCCGAATAATCATCCATCGTTAGGGATTCAACGATGATGAGTAATTGGACAGAGTGAGTCCTTCAGTATGAAACACAGAGGAACATTTGAAGTACTCTAGGTATCTCAAAACATCTCCTTTCCTTGTTTCCTCAGTTTTTCCTTAGGCCTACAGATATCAGTTTACGAGTTTTTATTTTATCTCCAAACAAAAGCTGCTGGACCGTCTTCTATCTTATATTAAGGCGTCTTTTCTGCGATCGCCAGAGCTCTCAAGAACGAAAACAACCTGACGGTTTACAACTACAGAATGAATTACTGCCCGGAGTTTTTTTTCCTGTCGTGGTCGCCAAGAAATGCGGATCTGTGCGTTTTTGAAAATTCCCAATTTTCATCTATATTTTGCAGGCTCACGATAAACAACGACCGCGAGAAACTGCGTAGCGGAATTTTTGGCTCGGCTTCTTCCCTGGAGCCGCACACGGCTCTTTCTTCATAACGACAGAGATGAAAGACGGGGTTCGTTTTTTTTTGTTCATCTGATTCAAATAGTCATGTCAATGACTTTTCCAGGAAGAGGTAACTCCCGACTTCTTCCTCGTACGCAAACACCGGGATATGGTCACGGAAGACGAGGAGAGGCGGATCGGAATGCTCGCATTCCTACTGTCTTTTGACCAAACGACAGCTAGACCCTCGTCCGGTCTCAATGTGGCCAGAGCAGCAAGGAAGCTATCAAGAATCTCAGGCGAGACGCTTTTCAGCGTGGTGTGAGTTTTCAATCGTCATTTCTTAGAACTTGGACTTTTACGGACATTTTTCATTCTTGATTTCAAGACTAGAGTAGAGAAGTCCCGACTAAAATAACTGTTTTAGACTCGATCCATTTTCAGGAAAGACGTGAGCAATGCCAGATAATGCCTGCTGAATGCCCGACTCTTCCATGACATGTCGCAGAAAAGAAGGCCGTTTTGGTTGTGAAATCTCCATTTTCAACATCCCTTCAGTTGCTGGTCTTCGTGATCTTCAAAAACAATCCTTTTCCTAATCGGACTTTGCCATTTTCTTTTTTGATATTGAGCGTCTCTCCTGAATCCTTCTCTTATTGCTCCGATATGTTAAAAAATAACCTCATCGATCTCAGCGTGTTTGAAACGTGTACAAATATATTTATATGTTCATACACGTTTCAAACATACTTATCCCTGCTTTGCATATATACTTATCTCTTCCACATTACCTCAGTCGAAACATTTACTATTACTCAATGCCTTTATCTCAAAAATGCAAACCATTTATTGCAGTAAGGAAACTTAAAACCCATCTAAATTATTTTTCTTGTTGTATAATTTGTACTATCATTATATTTTTTTCTGATGTTTTTAATATATTCAAGGAAGATTGTTATTATTATTATTGGAAAAAATGACCCCGTTTTTTATATAAAATAAAGTACCTTCGAACTCGGAGCGAAGACGACGCATTTCCTCCTCGACGCGGTGCCTTTCCTGCTCGAAACGATTGCGCATGTTGCCGAACTCGTTGTCAATCACCGAGTAGTTGCTGCGGTTCACGTCGATTCGGCGTTCAGACATCTTGCTGCTGGAATGTCTTCGTTTGAGTTTTCCACACTTTTCGGAACTATTAAATAGGCGCCTTCAGAAATATGGACAAATTTTATTCCACGGCATTAAAAAGAGAAGCGAAAATATTTTTCGAGAACGTTTTGTTTACAAACATTTGGTTTAAGGAACACTATGCTTCGAGGTGAACGTTTTCCGTTAGGGAACACTATGCTTCGAGGTGAATGTTTTCTGTTGTCCTCCCGATATAAGATGCAAGGTCGCGAAAGCCACTGCGAGTCGGGTGAACGGTTTAGTGGGGTCGGACGTTGTTTAGGCTCATTTGCTAACGCAACCAATCAAGATCCTTAGCCGGAAGGCTTGGACTGCTGCCTCCACGCGGCGCCTTCTGGGTGAGACTTAGTCTCAGCAGAATGCAGTCCATTTTTGGTTAAGCCAGCCTCTGGTCTGGCAAAAATAAAAACTGAGACTTCAGTCATTTGTTATTTGCAAAGTAATGCAAAAACTAAATCTTGTTGGGATTCTTGAAAAACTCATCGTCTATTTTTTTTCTAGAGAGTAAAATGAAAGTCTGATCTGCTGAGAAAATAGCAATTACTTCGAGAAAATAAGTTTCAAAAAAAACATGTTTGCTTTTAGTTATTTTTCTGATATTTTTTTTGTTCTATAATCTTTGTGTTCGATCTTTTTCGATCTTTCGTATTCAACTCTACTTATCAAACAACTTGTATTTGGAGATGCAACTGTCATATCTAATCAGTCAAAATTTAGGTCAAGTCCTCACAATTGTGATACCGATAGTATCAAAAGGCCATGTAACGGGCGAGATAAACGATTGATTTGAGATCAATTCGAAAATAAAGGTGATAAAAATAGACTAAGAAGGTTTGATGATTTAGAATCATTATTTCAATAGGTTCCTTTCATTCAGGCAGTTTTATGATGGAATTGCGTACATTAACATGGTACTTTCAATATTAGAATTGTCTAAAAAAATGACGTCAGAAAAAAATTTTTTTGGGTTAGAGACATCAAAGCATCGAGCAGTTTTTTCCAAAAGTTTATACAACTTTTTTAGGGTTTTAAAATTTTACAGTCTTTTTTGGAAGTTCAAATTTCTCATTCCCTTTCAAAATTCTACTGTCGTTTTCGGGCGAGCTCTTGGGACTGAGTAATTAGAAGACCCTCGCGCAAATGGTAATCTGTCAAGAAAAGCGAGCCGCCTCAACCTTGAACACAATTTAGACCTTCACCCTCATTCAACGATTTCGATGCATTTCGAGTCAAAAAAAAACTTAGGAATAAGGATTTTATTAAATTGAGAATGATATCCATCTTGTGACGTTTTGGCAGTTTTGAATGCATTTAATCGATAACTCAAGTATATACAAATTCAGAAAAGGAAGAAGTTGAGAAAATAAATATTTTCTGTAAGAAAGGAGAGGTGGCAAATGGAGTATCCCTTGTAAATGATATTATGAACGGCAGGCACGACTTTTCAGGAACATGAAAATATCAAACTTGAACATCTTTTCAGTCTAATTGAAATCACTAAACAAAAAAAATGACCCAAAGCTGAAAATGTAAAATTTTTGTGTTTCAGTTTCGGCAAAACACAAACAGGGCAAGACTTTGGAGAAACCAAGAAGTGAATTTTTGATCGATAGAATATTTTTTCTCAGAATTTGAGGAATGGGCACAACCTAATGGTAACAAATTATGTCGTCTAGATCAGAACTAGCATCGGATTCTTAAGAAAAAAGAAATGAAAACAGTTACTGTGTAATTACTCGTCGAAGTTTTGAGTTTGTGGAGAAATTGATGAAAGATAAGATAAAGTTGAGCTGGATTAACGACCGTAGGTCATGTAGCCATAGTATCCCGCCGTGTTGTACTGCGTGTAGTATGGGTACGTTCCGTATCCTGCAAGTTGACGGATGACTTTTGGAGTTGTCATTGGAGAAAAGCGCGTTGCTTCATATTGGAAAAAAAGCCCCTGGACATCTCAAGAATATCCGTTGCTTCGCGGTTGGAAACTTCCTAGAGATTGGCGCAAAACCTCTTTGGTCAACTAACCATAGTTTTTTAAGACTTGAGCCTAAGAAAAGGTGAAAAACTAAAAAAAAGAACGCGAGGCTTATGAAAAGCCATATTCGCCAGCTGACTTCTGAAAGTTTCAGGCTTCGAAATGATTAACATTACGGCTTATTTAAAAACCTTCATTTGGTAGAATATTCTGACTAATTCTCAGAAAAGGCGCAAATAAATGCATTTTCTTATTATCAAAAGGCGTTTTGCTTTCACATTTTTCCAGTTTTTTTGAGAGTTTTTTTTTTAGCTTTTTTTAAAATTACCTTGAGGGATCAAAAAAATGTTTTGTAATTAAGCTAGTGATTTTTTTGATCAACGTCTAGCTATAAAAAAAGACTTTTCTAAGAAGGAAAAATGTGAAAAAAAGCAATGAATGAAACTGATAAGAAGTAAATTTACTTGTTTTTGACTGAACTACTCTTTTTTTTTGTCATACACACCTGCATAGGTTCCATATCCATACGGAACGATCGCTCCCTTGTCGTAGTAGTTGGGCATCAAGTAGGCCCCATTCTTCGCTGATAGAGCCATGTCTTCTTCTTTCTGAAAACCCAAACAACCGTTTTACTTGCTTGACCTAGATTCCAATCACCAATGGCGCCAAGCGCAACTAACTAAAAGGAGGTGGATTCGAGATGAGATTTGGTATTATTGGTTGAACTGAGAGTTTTGAAGTATATTGTATTTTGTTCATTGACTTTTCGGGATTTTTTTCATGCTTTCAAAATTTCGAGATGAGATTTGGTATTATTGGTTGAACTGAGAGTTTTGAAGTATATTGTATTTTGTTCATTGACTTTTCGGGATTTTTTTCATGCTTTCAAAATTTTCATAAAGCTGTTATCTTTTAATTTGGTTTATAATTTTGATACTTTTTCAGCTCGAAGATAAGATCTCTTGGATAAATGAATAGAGAATTTTTGAATATTTTTTGGGAGTTTTCGAAAACTTTTCGGAAATATCCCCGAATCAGTGATTTCTTCCATTGTTGAGAAGAACGCATATCTGGGAAAATCTCCAATAAATGCGACATTATTTGTCGGACGGCCATTACGCCGTTTGTGTGCCACATTCCGAGGTGGGAGAAAACATCCGAATGGGATGCGCTGATCCGACTTACCCACTGATTTCTACTCGCCGCTCAAGGACAATGGCCTCTCTGCCGGCCTCAACGCCGAAACTGATATATTTACGAGATATGATGGAATGCGAAATGATGGATTTGCCTAATATCGCGAGTTCATCGAAGCAGTTTGGAAAGGCAATATTTTGAGCTGGCTTTTTTTTTTGAAGATCACCCAGCTTCCAAGATAAAACCAACTTCAACAGCAAAACTATTGGATTTAACAGTATAAGGAAAATAAATAACTTTGGAAAAAGAGCCATAATACTTCCGTTCGTGAATTGTCTAACTAAAAAAAAATCAAATTTTTGAAAAGTTTGACAAATTCAAAAATTGTATAGTTCTACACCCATTCAAGTTTGTGTTCAATTCGGCTTCAGAAAAAGTTTTGATGTTAAATCAAACCTTGATGGCGGTGTAGGCAAAGTACATTGAAGCGCTGCCGAGTAGGAGGAACACGATTCCGATCCAAGAAACGAAGTAAGACCAGCCGTAGTTTTGCCGAGTCGTGAGTTTCAAGACCTGAAAGATTTCTGGATGATTTGCGACATTGAGGCATCTGGAAAAAAATACGTTTTGCAATCTTGAAAAAGGATTATTTTGATTGGAGCGAACCCTAGAAATAAAAATTTAATTAGGACGCAATGCTTTGAGATTGTTTATGCTAAAAAAAGTTGCCAAGAAAGTTTTAATAAAACTTCAAAAAAATCAATTTTTTTCAGAATAGATAGGAAAAAAACAGATTGACGAATACCAAACATTTTTTTCTGGAAATTCCCAAAAACCACATTATTTACCTTCTTCCATAATCATAAAAAATGATCTTTAACTGTTACTGTAATTACACAACCACATCATCCAAATAGGTACTTCTACTAATGCGGTTAAGAAACCAAGGTTGAAAAAATTGTTGACTTTACCCATGTAGGTAATAAACTTGAAGAAAAGTGTCCGGTTACTTCGTGGAAACTCCGAGTTTTCGAAGAAGATCAACGTTTTTCCGAAAAGGAAAAATTTTTAATGCAATCGAATCAAAGTAATTTATGAGGAAGTGAGAGGTTTACAAATTTCGAAATTTTGGATAGATTTTCTTGTAGAAAGCGTTTGAGATTTCTTAAGAACTTTTACGGGTTTTAAAAAATTTCGAATAAAAATTTCGGAAAACCTGAAATCTCGACTGTTTATTTGCATTTCGAGAGGCAACAGAGATCCGACATTTTTTTCAGTCCGGTTACCTTTTTTTGACTTATTAAACTGCCCTTCTAACTGTTAAAAAAATTTTTTTAAGTCGGTTTGTAAGACAAATTAAAAATTAAAGAATTAATAAATCTTTACCCCATTTCCATTTTTCGATTTTTTTCCTCAGTAACTTTTCTTTGAACTGTGGAAGCGCTTTTGAAGACCGCAGCAATAATTTTGGAACAGGCTCAAATTCTTTTCATTTTTAATTTTCAATTGAAGGAAAAAAGTTTGCCCAAAAACCCAGAAAAAAAGCCTTCTTCCTCCCTAATTGGAGGCAAGTCCTACTTCTACGCCTCTGAACAACAGCAAATCGTTCTGAAATGACTATACTCGGTCTCAAAGTTTTCTTCTTTTCCTAACGTCCCTGACCCATTGACACCGCCAAAAACCAAGCGTGGTGTAAAAATAGGAAGAGGAGGCGGCTAAGGAGACAAGTGTATGTTTTTGATAGAAGCCGATGAGAGCTGTTGTCCGAAGGAGAAGAGAGGGGACCAGGGTGTTGAGGTCTCGTCTTAAGTGTCGTGCCACTCGAACGGTCCCCCAGGCGGTCGTCTACCGCTCCGTGTTTTTGCCTCTATTGACCCGATCGGTCAACACTGCTCCGTGGCAAATATGTTGGAGTTTCAACGGGAGCGAACTTTTTGAGCAAACATAGAAAAAAATATTTATAAGATCAAGGATAATAGTCGATCCTTCGAAAAACAACTTCAAGTGATTTTTCGAAGTTTTCTCCTTTTCCAAATTAATCGATAGCCAACTTGGGATTTGAAATCATGAAATAACTTCAAAGTAATCTTTCAGCCCCTCAATATTTTCTTCAACCACTTCCGAAAATCTCCAACACCTTCCCGAAAGTTCTTTCACTCTCAAAAAACATTTTCAAATCATAACCTTCAAAAATTTTTGTTCAAGTGCCCAGCGTCTACATCATGAAAGAGATGGACCAAAATAGAGTAACTGAAGTTGGAGAGGAACACAATTGGGTCGAATAGTAAACAGGCAAGGCTCTTGAAAGAAGAAAAGAACGTACCGGCTCCCAGGACTTGTAGTACGGCTCCATATCAAGAACATTGCGGTCGGTGTAGGCGACGTAGTGCCATCCGAACATGGCGAGGCTCATCGCGAGGGCTGGAAAATCCTTTTTTTTTTGAAATTTTTGAGATAGCGAAATAATTTATTCTTTTTCTTTTTGCGATAAGCTTTAATGACGGAAAGAAACATTATTAAAATTGATTTTTTTGGCGATTGAGAAAAAAATAAGATAAAAAAATTTTCAATAAGTTTTTTTGATAGCTTCTCTGATTCAAAATCCAGTCATTTCACTGTTCTCAGTTACAAAACAATATTCCTTTCCAGATCCAAAATAATTTGATACTAAAAAAAGGGAATATACAGTAATTTAAAACCAATCTTGAGTTTTTGAGATTCACTCTATTTTTTTGAAGGTTCATTTTTTTGTTTATTTATTTTTTTCCTTGACATAACTGAAAAACAGGACCAAACCTTGGAATTTTTTTCATTATTCGAAAAAAATCTCTCCAACCAAAAATTTTTCCTTTATCATGTTGAATATCATGATTCAGTCACTCACAAGCAACGAGAAGAAGCACCGAAGTCACGACAATGAGCTTCCGAGATCTGTTCCAACATCCGAAAATCCCGCTGATGAGGCTGATCGCAACGATCGCGATTCCTGAAAAATTCTCCCTCAGTTCCTGAGGACCGATCCAATCAGGGCACGCGCCGTGTTTTTGCAGAAACAAAATCGAAACTTGTCTCTTTCGGAACGCGTTTTGCAGGCCTCGCCAAAGCAAAACGCAATTGGTTCGCGCCCCTGCGACCCCGCCAAACGGCACCCAAATAAGGAATCGAATGGAACAGCAACCAGATATTCTCCAGTAGCAATCCGTTTTCGATTGCGACACATTTTTTCGTACTAACTGACTGTCAAATCTTGTTAGAGATGACTTGGAAATGTGATAAATGGAGAAGGATTCGTACAGAAGAAATGATTGGATAGAAGCTAAAGTTTTTTGATTCAATGTTCAGGAAAATTTTGATTTTTTCTGAAAGTTCATTTCAAATATTGATTCTCTCAATTTTTTTTTACAATTGAAATTGCGCTGTTCACAGGAACATGTAGATCAAAAATTCGCTTAAAAACAGTAGCTTCATGGATTATCTGGCTATCCTGATATCTGAACTAAAATAACCAAATCAAACATGTTTTCCTCTTCCTGCAGTTATCGAAACTCTTCGGAATAATTTTTTCTAATTTTTTTTCTTGAAATAAACAGAGAAAAATTTTATCTGATACCATGAAAATGAAATTGTTACGTTTTATTCCACATGTCGAATATTGAAATTTGCAAAAAATTCAAGCTTTAGAAAAAAGTGAGCGATTTCAGATTTTGAAAGTTCTTCAACGACGTTTTCAAGACTCGATTATTTTAAGATCTTATTATTTTTTCAAAAATATACCTGCAGCATAGCAGACGATCGAGCCCCGGTAGGCGTATAACCGGTACCATTCGGCACTCGTGAAATGCTCCCTCTTGGCTTCCGTTGGCGTGAACTCGTTGTTCCAGATGCATGGGGAACCAAACTTGGTGAAACTTCCGATTTCTGAACATTCATCTTTCAGACAAAGATCGTGACAGGTAATTTTTCAATCTCTAAACTTCAGCAGCTAGGCGTGTCAAACTTCGCGGCCTTGGCAAGTTTTATGTTTTTTTTTTCTCCCATTTACTACGTGACCAGTTTTCCTACGATTGTTGGTTTTGTACTGTCTCACAAATCAGACCTTGATAGTATCATGAAGCTCTGAACAGAAAAAAAGTTGAAGCGAATAAAAATCGTTTCAAATGAAAATAGAACGAATAAGAAAAAACTGACCTTGTGGGACCGTGTCAGGGAAACAGACGTTGAGAAGTCCGTAGGTCCGAGAGAAATACAAGATATTGTGGCCGAAAGCATTTTGGAGCTTCACGTTGAGTTCTGGCTCTCGTTTGAAGGCATTGATGATTTCTCGACGGTTTACCTGAAATAACAAAAAATGAATTTAAACAATAGGAAGAACATAGATGATTATATGAAATGGAAAAAACTGAAAGTAGAGAAATTTGGTTTCCGGAAAAGGGAAAAGAAATGGGGAATTATGAATTATAATATCCGCAGGTTTCAATATTTTCTCATTCGGCAAATGGTTTCTTGTTTAAAAAAATCGCATTTCGAGTTGTTAAAAAAATAATGAAACTAAGCATAAAAAAAGCAAAGATACGAGGAGATCAAAAGGAACCTTGAGAAATTTATGAGAAGAATCAACAAGAGCGAGTTTTTTTTTGTGTTCAGATTAGCCCGATCTCAAAGAAATTTTTTCTATCGAAAAAAAAATTGCACTCATTTTTCGAAATGTTTCATCATGAACGGCTTATCCTCAGTCATGTCCTTCTGGAACCTCCGTACAAAAAAAAAACAACGGGATCAATTCCTCCCAGTCTCTAGCTTCTATATTTTTTATGTCCACAAAAGATCCCGCCAAGTTTTTCCGCAAAAGCGTATTTCACAAGTGGACTCTTGAAAATTAACACAAGACGCTCTCCTCCAACTTCTTTCGGACACCAAAAACGATTGCCCTTTGTACACAGAGTACAAGGTCGAAATTTGATGCGAACTAACCGCGAAAGGATTAGTCTTAGACTCTTAAAATCAAGCGTGACCTTTTGAAAACTGGAGCGTTGGTCAGGTAGAAACGGATTTTTTTTTCGGATTCTATCGATTTTTATAAGAAAAATGAGATGAACATTCTACGCTGGTGGTTGAAGAACGAAAAATTCTCACAAAACTCAAGTTTTCGGTTCGGAATTTTCAGGCTTCAGCTCAATAAAGGTGTTAAAAGCTAAGGTGACGCCGAATGAAATTTCTTTTTTTTCAAAATGCGTCAGTTTTCTTTCGACTTTGTTATATCAACCAACTTGGCCAACTTCGGAGAATGAGCTGAGATATTTTGCGAGGTGTTTTTTTTTCAAAAATTTCAGTTTTCACCTCAATATTTTTCGCTGATCTTTGGCCTGGTTTTTTTCAGTCTAATCCGATAGATGACTGAAATTCTCCAAAAGATCTTTCCATGTTTCTGAACATTTTTCTCACACTTCCGGGGCTTCTTTTGTTCTCAATAAATACGAGGTCAAATTTTGATGCGAGTCCCCCGCGAAAGGATTAGTGTTAGGCTCTTAAGATCAAGCGTGACCTTTCGAGAAGGCCAGACCAGGTAGAAAAGAATCATCCAAATTGCGTGGCCAAAAAGAGACTGCGCGTGCCAACCTGACCGGCGGCCGGACTATTCATTCCGGCGAGGGCAGCCATTCTTTCGGCCTTGTCCACAAACCTCTTGGCCGGCAGCCGAGTACCTTATTTGATCGATGGGACAGCAGAGGTCGCCAGGTAAAGGGGCACCACGGCAATAAAACGGATGGACGCGCTCCACCTCACAGAAAGATGCCCAAATTAGGGATTGCTAGGTTTGGAAAAAGTAAAGGAGGGCTACAAGTGAGATGACAGAAATAGGACTAGTTTTTGATGTTAGGTTAGGTGTTTCGGACTTTTCAATCACAGTTGAATGATCCTACCTCTTGCAAAAAAAACGAATGGGAAGAATAAAAAAGGTTTAAGTTTTGCCTCACACATTTTCTCGTGTTTCAGAACTGGTAAATTGAATTATTAATAAAAAGTTTATATTTTATGAAAGTTCAGAGAAATAATGGCGAAGTTATAACAAAAACATGTTTTGAAAGCATCAGTAATTTCGCGGAAGTTTAGAACCAGGGCTACTAGAATTCCGGAAAAAAGAACGATTCATGAAGCGCTGTAAAACAAATGGCCTCTTTGAATAATTGAAACAGGTTAACGCCAACCGGAATTTGCCATTTTGACAATTTCCGTTTTTTTCCATAAACTTCTGTGGTTTATTGCAGGGCCGTTTAAACACGTTGTGTTGCCTGTGAAAGGGTCGTATAAGCTTTGAATAGGTATTTTTTATTGGAGAATTCCAAAGGAAGAAAAATATTCATGTAGAAAAAGAAAGAAAAAGTTTGATGAAAAAACTTGGAACGCGGATTTTGAAGATCAGCGATAAAGAGCCATCCAATTTTTTTCGTTCTTTAATTCGAATTAAGATTTCATAGATCTTCCAAGCTTCATTGAAAAGCCTGTTATAGCTCTTATCTCAAATTCGCAAAGCATCTAATGAGATTTGAAACTTTTTTTAAAAACTTTCCACTGCAAAATTCTAGAAAAACTGAGAATCTCATCGCTTTCCAGCTTCAAAGGAAGGTCCGTTTCACCTCGATTCCTGACTTTCTCAGAATGTCTTGCTAGATGCGAAACAAAGATAGGAGATTTTTCCTTTCATTCTTGGTTCTTTTCAGGTCGACCCAGCTAGGAGACCAGAAAAGGATCCTCCAGCCAGCGCGTTTCTTTGCTCTCCGGTCAAGCCAACACTCATCTTACCTTTGCTCTTGTGCTTAGAGAGGTGAGAGAGGAGAGGTTTGATTGAATCGAGACGTCACGTCAATGGTTCACTAACACCATTCGGTCGCCGTTCCTCCAACTCGTTTGAAGAAAATTCGAACATTTTTCTGTCCCTTTTTTCATTAGTTCTTTTGCCAATCTTGGCTTCTTTGTGTGTTCAAACAAGGCGTCGTGGAACTGTTTTAGTCAGGACGTCGTTTGGCCAGAAAATGGCGGAAAAAGACAACAATGAACTCTTAGGGCAAGAAAAAGTCACGCTGATTGGTCGACGTGCCGACGGAAATTTATCGCTTTTGGCCAAACAGTTAATCACCTTCTTTGGCAAAGAAGGCAAAAATTGGTTGGCGAAGCGTGGATTCTCGAAATGAACTCAAATTTCAAAAATTATGAGCCTCATGCATTTATAACAACTGAAAGGAATAATGTTTTCAACAAGTTTCGGTGGCAAAAATACCACAGAAGCGTTAAAAAGAGGATCTTCACAGAACTGCTAGAAATAAATTCATAAAAATGAGTTTTAGCTTCAGAATGGATCAACGCAGAAAAATGTGAGCATATGAGAAAAAAAGATAAATTAAAAAAATTGAAAAAAACACATACATTACCTGTCGCAAATAACAGAGAGTAAAACTATATTTTTCAATCATATTCGAAAAGTTTTTTTCACTCAAAAACTTTATGGAAATTCAGAAAAAGACGAGGAAAAAAATTTTCCAGAAGTCAGTTTTTCAAGAAACAGAGCAAAATGAAGCTCTTCAAAGAAGACTCGTGTCAAAAAAAGGATTTCTAATCGAGCAAAGGAAAAAGAAATTCCATGAAAATAAATGAACTCATATACAATGATTGAAAGAGTTCGGATTTGAAATAGAGAAAAGTATGATTTCATGAGTATTGAATGAAATAAGAAAAACTCGATAATATTGTCCTCTTGGAATAGATCTTCAGAAAAAGCCAAAAAAAAATGGAAAAAAAAATTGATTACCTGGACTTCGTTCCAATTGTCGGTGAGCACAGCGACGCTAACGAGGGTTAAGCCGATAAGCGTGAAAACAGATGCCAATGAAAGGAAAAACGGTGACGACCACATGCTGGTGAGTCGTGTCGTGAATGCGAACAGTGGAAGAGGCGGGGCAAGGCGGCCGCACTGTGCAAGGCCACCCGTCGCTGCAGACATTCCGCGCAGCCATCAGATATTGCGTGCAAGGGCATCCGATCGGCTCGGCGCTCCTTGATATGCCATCAGACGTCGTATAGTCTCTAAATGGCCGAATTTATCGGAATATGACGATGAGGGGGGATGTTGAAGGGGACAACATTAGAAAGGTTCAAACTGATTTTCAGTCAGGAATGAAGAAGAGAGCTCCAAGAAATCTTTGCCTTCTCCGTCGAGTAGCAAAAAATGATCAATTAGTTGAATTGTGAGGATGAAAAAACGACGTTGCACGGGGAGTTTCCAGAGAGCCCAAAACTTAACATCCGTCGAAATCGATGAAGAAAGCTCCGAGAAGTCTTCGCTGACCGACGTTTCTAATTGGCCGAGTTTGTCGAAATATGACAATCAGGAGCACCTCAAATATGACTCAGACAACGCTAAAAGTACTGAAGGTTTCAGAATAGACATATTATTGGATAAGTTTTAAGAGACTCGTGGAAATATAATGGTTTTATCCCGACTCTCTTACGAAGTCTCCAAATAACCAAGTTTATCAGATTATGAAGGTGAAGAAAGAATTTTGTAGGAGAATTTGTTCGAAGAATCAAAACTCATCGTGTTTCAAAATCCACGTAGAAAGCTCCAAGAAACCTGTGCCTTTGCCAGAAGTCGTATATTTTTTGAATGGTCAAGTTTCTCGGGTTATGAAGATGAGGAAGAGATGTTTTGCGGAAAGTTATGAGATCAATGAATGTCATTTGAAATCAAAGAGAGAATTTAAAAGGATCGTTTTCTCACAGCCGTGTAGTAAAACGTTTATCGGGTTACATATGGCATTGGAGAGGGATTTTTTTATGATGAAATAATGAAGCAAGAAATCTAATTTTTAAATCGAAGAGGGTAGATCCGAGAGCTCTCCGGCAACAAATGTCATCAAATGGTCAAGCTCATCAAAAAAACGTTAAAAAAATGTTCTAGTGGAAATTATTTGACAGTTCAAAACCGACGAAAGAAGCTCGAAAAAGTTTTTCCTATCAGACGTCGCTCAGTTTCTAAATGGCCAAGATTTCCAGAATTTAACAATGAAAAAAAACTGTTGTAGGCGTGATTACCTGAAATTTGAAAACTTTATACTAGAAGAACTATTTGCCTTTACAGTCGTATAATATGTAAAGCCAAGTTTCTCAGATCATGACGTTTAAGAATGGATATTGAAAAGAAAAACTGCGTTTTCTTGATACAGCATTATAAGAAGTTGAACAATTAGTAACCTAAAAACTTTGTGATTTCCGGAGTAGGATCATTTTCAAATTAAGAATGAAGCGTAGCACTAATTGTGAAAAAAAATCTTTGAAAACCTTCAATCGAAGTGGTCGTTTCCATTTTGAGGCTTCCACCTAAAGCACCGTCTCCTGGCTCCGGCACAAGACCCACTACATTTTGAGCTCGTCAGGGCGCTTCTGGATGGACTACGCGCAGAAGAACGAGGCGAAAGACCGCAAGATCATGCTTTATACTTTATCAACTACGCGTTTAGACTTTTAATTCGCCAAAGGCGGTTGTTCGTTATAATTTCAAAAGTTCTTGTTTGTGCTTAGTCGATTACATCTGACGGAAACAGCAAAATAAATTATTTTCTGAAAAAATCTTGAAGACGTTTTTTCGGAACAGCATCAAACGAGACGAAGATCAACGTTGTTGATTCATCTTCCCAGAAATCTCAGAAATAAACCATTTCCTCTACCTTTCCTTAGAATTTGCCTGCGAAGTATCATGCTCAGGCGCTCTCTGCAACCGTTCACCTCTTTCCGTGCGACAACTTCTCATGTTTATTTTAGAGATTATGACGCTAAACGCCCGAAAAGCTGGAACTGAAACTTGTCTGGGAATCTCGACGTTCGGAAACTTCTTTAATGTTCATTTACCCTCAAAAGTTCGTTGAACTTGAAGTTTAATCGGGTTATCAAAAATTCAATTTTTTCGATTGTTTCACTGATTCTTGAAGTAGAGAACGCATCGCGATGTACTATTGAAAGAAGAAAATGGTGTAGAACACATTTCAAAGCAAAATTTATAATCTGCTTACTGATAAAGAGAAAAAAATTGAAAGTAATAATAATTTATTTCTCTGTAGTAAGTATAAAAAGTATCCCTTTAGCAATAAGTAATCATTCAAAAAAATAAACTGAAAGATAAATAATATGCTAAAAACACACAGTTTGTTCATTCAAAAATAAAGATTGTAGCAAAAAAAGTTATGGATAACAAGCGTTGAAAAATTGCGAAAATGTGTATTAAAAAAAGTTGAGTTCTTGAACTTTTAAAGAAAAAAATAAGGAAAAAAATTGAGAAAGAACCCGCGAAAAAAAGTTCAGTTTGAAAGAATTAGATTAAAAATAATGTTAACAATCAAAAAAACAACATTGGAAATCAAAAATGCAGGGAGAAGTTGCCAAACTGGGAATATGAAAAGTTTTTCAGATGTGATCAATTTGTGCAAATGAGGTAGTTATCAGCCAAATTTGAAAAAAAGAAACCGGCCAAGGTTTTTTTACAGATTTACATGAAAAATAAATTTGAATTATCGATTACAATAAGTATGAAAATAAACCACACGGAAAATAGAAAAAAACAAAAATAAAATAAGCTGACTTTGGTTTATGTAGCGATTGTAAATAATTTGGTTGTAACCAATATTTTTCAGTTTTTCTATTTGTCGTAGTTCTTCGTTGTTTTTCTCATAAATTTGAAGCATTCTGATAATCCTAACGACTCAGTTGATAAAAATTTGGTCTGAACTTCAAATGGTTCAATCGTGAAACTGCGGAGTACCATTCAGATATGATTTGAATAATTTCCTGAAAACAGTAATTATTCAAAATTTCGAATATTTCAATTGATCCCAATCCATCCCATGAGGGGAATTTCCGACGGTTAAAAGCGAATTTCAACAAACCTTCATCGTTTTCAAGCAGTTCATATTTTCGGCTGAAGGTTCTGTTAGTTCCATTTCTGATTCGCGTTTGGTCTGGAAAAATGACACATTTAACCATACTTCAGGATTTACCTCTTGAAAAGGAATATTTGTGGCAATTTCTTGTTCGTAAAGCCCGAGTCTTCTTTGTAGAACTCCTTTGGCCAGAAATTCTCGCTTCTTTCAAAAATTTTGATCAATATATTCATCTTTTTAATTGAATATATAAAAAAATTTCATGGCTTTTTATTAACTTTCAGAGATCAAGTGCAGCCCAGGCGAATAGCTTTTTATGAAGATTTGTTGTCCAAAATATTTAATTTTTCACGTCATTTGCCGTGTTCATTGCCTACTTTTATTAGTTTAGGTCTTTCCTAAGAGCAACAACAATAATAGCGTCTATAAAATCGATAACTCTTTTAATTTTTCTATGGTCTTCAATTTTTTTCAAAAAAATTGTTAAAAAAATTAGCCTTCGCTAAAACTTTCAACACCGAATTTTCATCCAAATACTTGGTAGAAAAATCTATACTTTCATTTTTTTAATCTATTTCTTTGCATACTATTTACTGCTTAAGAGTAAACTTGCAAATGGAAGCTCATTTTTTTGCTGTATATTTGAGGTGTAGAGTAACAGATTTGAGGCCTGTAAAGGACAGTCAATGTTAAGCAATAAGTGTATATTAAAAAGGTGGTATGAAAAAAAGACCAGCGAAAATTCAAACGGCGACTTTTCCGATTTTTTCATATCGCCAGGGAACTTTCCGACGGCCACCTTTCCGACGAATCTTTTTCCGACTTTTTTTCTCGATAAAATCTTCGTTTTTAATATTCCTACATAAAGAAGGTAGTTAGTTGATGATTAAAACACAAAGAAATAGGAAAAAAATGTTAATGTTTTAAAAAAACCGAAAAAAAGATAAGGGAAAAAAAGTCGGAAAGGGATCCGTCGGAAAAAGTGGCCGTCGGAAAGTTCTCTAGCGATATGAAAAAAATCGGAAAAAGTCGCCGTTTGAACTTTCGCTGGTGTTTTTTTCATACCACCATTAAAAAAACTACCAACAAAAATATAACGCCCGTACTTGTTCTTTGCGTGCGGCGTCCAAAGAAAATGATGTCTGATTTAAAAAAATTTCTATATTAATGTTTCCAAAATGAGATTAAAAAAAGCAATTACAAAAAAATTGAAAACGTGAAAAAAACGTTGAAATTTCTTTTTTTCATGTATCGTAATAACAAATATTTTTATTGGATGTTAAAACATTCTGAATTGAAAAAAGCCAAAAAGTTAAATATTAAAAAAATTGATAATTGAACAAAAAAATCGTCAATGTTCTAGTTAAAAAAACATTACTGTGAACATCTTGAAAGCAATATAACTTTCACAAAAAAATTTTTGTAACCCTATAATAATTGAAAAAAAGTTTGGCAGTTTTGCGTAAATCGGATTACCGTAAGATTCTCAACGCAAATTATCTGCAAACACCGCGTCCTAATTGAGTCGCCGCGAAGATAAAATTTTAAAAGAGGCCTTCTGGTCTGGGCTTTTTATATCTTTTTTTGAAATTTCCTGGTTTTCAGTGCTCCATTTGTTTGAACATCATTTTTTATTAAACAACTATTTTATTTATTCGTTAGTTGGAAGTGATTTTTTATTTCTGAAGCTCAAGGAATTATTGGCCGAAAATTCCCTTTTTCTATAAATGCTTTTTGAAATTACTTTGGAGTGTGCAGTTGAATGACTATGGTTGGGAATGACATTTATTTACTACAAAAACGGACCTTCTTTTGTTATAACTCTATTGTTCATATACTCCATTCACCTTTTCCCGTTAAGGAGAGTTGACGCACACTTTCTTCAATGTCCTAGTTCTTAAAATGTAACGATTCAAACGGATTAGAACAAGTGTGAAAGTGATTTAGTACTATTGTTGACAAAATAATTTTCATTAAGAGCTATGAAATCGACCATCTGCTCCGAGTGACTTTTGTTCGTTGAAAATCCAATTGAGCGCAGTTTCTCTAAAGACAGCGGCTCAGTTTGAATGGAAGAACGCTGTTTGAAATTTTCTAGAAGAGAAAAAGCTGAGAATTGCAATCATCGTCCTTTGCGTTGTTTAATTTTGGCGGAAATTGCACTCATAAGCTCGTCTTCCAGTTTTTTTTTTCGCAGCATTCCTAGCATTTCGCAATTTTCAATCTTCTCGTTATGTCTTTCAAAGAGCTTTAAAGTAAAAAATTTTTCTGTTCCGGCAAGTTTTATAGTTTTTAAGACGTACTTCTGATAATAATTGGTTTTACGTAGGGCGCCTATTTAAATGTTCTGAAAATTGAATCAAAGTTTCGATTGTTCAAATTCATCGCATAGGTGATACCAATGCATGATTCGAAAACGGTATCTTAACCAAGTCAGGCAAAAAAGAACAGCTTGTAAATTTGTTTTTAATAATTTTTGAAATTAAATTTAGCAATGTCTAAACTTTTATATTTTTTTAAATTTTTTTCCGTTCGAAGTATCCACCGAATGTTTTATTTTTTTGCGTCAAAAAGGTCACATAGCTCTGTTTTTCAGTTTCAGCAGGAGTATCTGGCTGTTATGGCTTGTGTATAAGTCCAAAAAATTGATAAGCTTTATTTTTTTATGTCGTCGTAAAATCGCAAACCTTCCACTTAAATTTTAAGCTCAAAAACACGCAGTTTTTTTTAATTTGAAGATATTGCTCAAATTTCCATTTTGTGAAGGCCACCCAGCTCTATTCTGAGCTTCAGTCTTAGCTTTTTATTTGTTGTCTTTCTGGATGATCAGAGCTATCTTGCAATGAACTCCAAAATAACTGATCATAGCCTTCACAACACGTACCTTCCAATTTTATTTCAATAGGGAATTATCTCAAAGAAGCTCCCGGTTTTTCAAAGTTGTCCGTATAGATTTTGCTCAAATTTTTCATTGGATATATCCAAGTCAAAAAGGCCATCCAGCTCCATTCTGACTTCCCAAACGAGTCCCAGAGATGGCTGGATATGGGCTGGACGATGTGGAGCCGGACGGACGCAAGCGTGCATGACATACGAGTCCCTGGCCGTGTGAGTAATTGTGGTGAGGAGGAGGAGCGGCGGTCACTCGTAGAGGTCCTCGCGCATCGCACATCTGGCTCTCCGGTAGATGCAATGACCAATCAATAACATTAACGCCGCCGCCATTCTCTTCCAAGTCCTCCCATGTGTTGGTCCTGACTTTCCTTGTGTTTTACACCGTTTTTTCCGTTCTGAAATTATTACATCTTCGCCATTTGGCAACAATTTGCGCTTTTCTGAGCTCGGAATCGACCGGGTCTTTGCCTTTTTCTCCTGTACCCGATTCTCTTGGTTGCACAGTGAACTTGTTAACTTGTAGAAGTTAGATCAAAATTTTTAACTTTGAAAGCAAGTACGAGTCTTCATTTTTTGAATTTTTTAATGAGAGCTCAAAATTTTATTTTCAGTTGATCTACTTTTTTAAAATAATAGTAGTCTCGTGAGCGTACAATGATTACCAGAACTTCCAAAGAGCCATCTAAGTTAGAACAAAAAACATGATGCATTTTCGAGATTTAATGTTTTTTTTTTTCAGATATAACTAGCCTTCATGAATCTAAAAAAAACTTATGCCTGAGCTATTTTGTTCTTAATATTTGTCCTTCCTTTTGTCTTATTTCTAATTCGCATAACTTATCGATTAACCAAATGATATACTTCACCCGTACTAATACCTGATTTTCAGTCGCTCACGGGTATGTCAGTGGTTTCGGCTGGCGGCCGGCGTGGTCCGCCCAAAGATGCTCGGTTTCGGTACGATCCTCGGATGAAGAACCCCCGAGGCCGCGGATATGCACAGTCCGACGTCGGCGAGCCTTTCATTCCTCGCTTTTCCGCCGTCGCTAATGAGGTTCGCGATATCGTAAATTTTTTATGACATTGGTAGGCTAGCGGTGTGATTCAAATGAACGACCGATGTTGAAAACGACATTAACACGTTAGGATCCAGGGGATTAATGGGTGCTACGTAAAAAGAAATCGTAAGTAAATTGCTTGATAGGCTGGAACTAGGTTTTTTTTTTGAGTAAAATCCAGATGATCTGGAACTAGAGCTGTTTGTTGCTTCAATGAACTGGTCATGCAGTTTCAGTTGAAAAGTGACCCTTTGAACTCAAGGAAAAGTTCCTATGAGGAATTTTCGAGTTTTTCACACTCTAATAACATGAATGTGAATTTTAAGTTTTTGTAAACCACCACGAACCTTTTTTCAGAGACTTACTAAAAACGTTAACTTGCATCTGAGTTCAACTCAAATTTTCAACCGTTTTTTTCCAAATTAGCAAAAATTGAATTTTCGTGGAACAATTTAAAGTTCAAAAAACTCGAAAAAGTTAAAATGAGGAGGCTCTGAAGTCTCTGCAACAGAAATTTTTAAATGATTATAAACTGAGGATAACTATTCTGATAGTTCTTTTTATAAATCATTCGGACTCTCCGAAAACTGTTTGAATCAGAGATACTTGCTTCAATGGACTAACCTATCATATTCATCATCAATGATTTCATGAATTCAAAAATTGAAATCGTTACAATTTTCAGTTTGAAAAACGTCTTAAGAATCTCTCATTTAGTAAACTTCTCATTTCAAAATTGCACCCAGGCAACAAATCTTATAACTTGCCCTAGGCTATAATAAAGGGTTTTTTGTTTATTCCATCTCAAATGAAATTTCATTGACCTTATTTCAAACCCCAACTATTCGCAGTTTGATGAGCTTCCAGATTATTTAGATTCTTGTTATTTAAGGTTTATTTCCAGGGTGTCAAACTCAGTATGCCGCACGATGAATGGGGTGACAACACTACAGTGATAACCGGCGTCACCTCAGAGCATTCATACAACGGAGATGAAAAGTCTGCTTTTTCTCCTCCAATTGGTCGAGTTGTTGGACGAAGGTTTTTAGAAATACTAACATAGAGTTTTTAACTTCAATTTCGCAGGTGTTCCCGGTTATTTTGGCTATTCTCCTCTTGTATGATATGTTTGATAGCGATGTTCAGCGCCCCGGCTATGTGTAGCATACCTGTTATAGCACCATACGTCGGATTTGACACTCCTCCTATCGTCTGCGATGTTAGTTTTTTTATCTTTTATTTTTTTATTTTTTTAATTTAACACAACCACAAAAATAAAAAGTTGAAACTGAACAAGAAGAACAGTCTACAGAAGGTCATTTGAAGCCACTAAAAATCCAGAAATCAGTTAGGGTTTTGATGATCACGTAGAAAGGCTTTTTTTTCCACAATTTCAAGAACAGTATTTGGTTTCAACAACTAATATAAGCTTTTCCGAACTTGAAACTTGAAACTCTCCAAGTCAACCATTTTTATGAGAATTCAGTTTGATAGCTTGATGAGAAATCATGTTTTTGATAAGTCGAATATTCAGGGCTGAAAGATCTGGTTATCTTCAAAAAATAGAATCGAAAAGTCTGCACCCATATAGGGTTATTTTTTGAAAGTCGATTTTTTTGAAAAAAAGTCCATTATTTTTTTAGTTGAATGAGTTAGTTTGAACTATTTACAGGAATTTTCACTTTTGAGTTTCAAGAAATAATCGTGCAAATCCTAAAAATTCATAAAAATTTTTCCATCCAGATCGATTGTCAAGGTCTGCTTCTTCTGCTGGTTCTGAAAAGCGTCCTTCTCATCGTGGCTATTTGGGCCCTTTTCTGGCGTAAATCACTGGCTGATATGCCCAGATTGTAAGATTTCCTCACTTTTCTCTTTTAACTTTTTTTTATTTCAGGTATTTATCAAGAGCTGCGCTCACCTTCTTAGTTCTATTTATTCTTTTTGCGTTTTGGCTTTTCTACATTGTCCGGATACTTTTTGAGAGATATGATAATTATAAATACATAGTATGTTTTTTTCGAAAACTTCAAACCTTGAATGAATGATTTTCAGGTTTCTTTTTCACTCTCATTACTTGACGCCCTTCTTTACACTCATTATTTATCAGTGGTTCTTTTGGAGCTCAGAAAGATGAGGAAACAATTCATCGTTACTATTGTTCGGGATCCTGATGGTGAATCCAAAACGATGACAATTGGTATAAAATCTTCACTTTTCAATATAAAATGAAATTCTTCAGGAGCTACATCTATCCAAGAAGCGGCGACAGAAATATTGCAATTTTATATCTCTAACTTTCCTTCTTACAACTTCCACTTAGACAAGGTAATTTAACTTTTCCATGTTCCAATGGATTTTTTGAATTCTAAAGGCTCGACACTCCGCCACATCTCGTCCAGGAGTTTCTCAAGGCGGCGCTGGCTTCAAAATGTACAATATCGAGCAATGCAGTGGCCAGGAGATGGTCAGCGAGGTGATTATTATCAATAAATTGTAAAAAAACGTCTTTTTCGATCCACAGGTTAACACAAGAGCTCTGATGGAAGCTGCGGCAAGAAGGAGAATCGCTGGGTATTCTGAGATAATGCAAGAAGAGATGGATTTCGAGCGAAGATTGAAGAAGAGAAAGTAAAATTTTATTTAGTTTCGAGAGGTAAATGTTTTTATTGAAGATATCGTCTGATGGCGGCTGCTGAAGACGCTTTTTCCCATGTTCAAAGTGCCGAGCAACATGGAACGAATGGAAAGGTGAATCAGCTTCAGAAACAAGGGTCTCAGTTTTGCCCAGTGGTTTCTATTCAAAAATAAAAAAATCATTTTTTTACCGTCAGCAGAGTTGAGACTTTGGAGAATGACTCAAACTAGTCAAAAAAATTTCATAGTATCTGCAGTTTTCGGTATTCATATTTTATAACTTCATTTTTTTCAGAGTGTCCAGAATCAAATGGACTCTTTAACCGCTGCTCAAAACGTCTTCACTTGGATCGTCCGACCACTCACCAAATACCTCAAAACGACCCGTTTGCTTCCGCGACATCCTTCGGAAGTTGTGACCCGACATATAGAAAGGTACCCTTTGTTATTCTGAAACAAAAATCTATTTAAATGATTTACAGATGTCTAACTTTGAAATTGTCGCATCGGACATTTTTGCAACGATTTTTCAGTGATAGGATACCAACGCAGGTTTGTGAATGTCTTTCTTTTCTGAGAGAAGTTTCCATTTTCCAGGACGTTGTGACGGAGTCCAAGTGGTCGCTGATTTGCGCTGAGCCTGTTTCGGACTCTATACAACATGGAATGACTATTGTTATGCGGTCACATAATCAGGTTAGTTTATGAAAAATGTTTTGGTTAAGGAACTTTTTTTCGAAAATCCATTTGAGAATTAAAGAGTCGTTTTCCCCCGTTCTTGTGAATTCTTTGTTGAAGTTAATTTTTATTTTGATCATATCGAAAGTTTTCTGAATCTGATATCATAATTTTTCCGGGCAGGTATAGGAAACTTCTTTAAAATTTTCGAAGCTTTCTAAATTTCAGTTATAAAATTCAACTTCGCGTTAATTTTCTATGAATACCAAAGTCTTTCCTCTGAAATTTTAGACCTATTTTTTCAACCTGCTTTTTTTCAGGATGCTGACGTCGGTATCCAACTAGTTTGTACCATCAGCAGTATTCCATTCTTCAACCTAACCGAACAATCTCGAACTGCCGTCAACAAATTCGCGTTGAGAATAAGCAACGAATCTTCTGTATGAATTGTTACTGTTATTATTCTTTGTAAATATTAAAATCGTTCAAATCTCAATTTTTATCATTCTCCTGTCTCCAATCGTTGATCGACGTTGTTCAAGCTGTGCCTTCTTTTTTCTTTGTCTTGTATGAACTTACTTCAAGTTGAAGTTGAACTGAACTATTCGGTGTCATTTGCGTTGTTTCTTCCCTGCTTTCACATTTTTATCTCAATTATCTATCTCAAGAACATTTGAAATGATCTACTCACATCCAGAATCGCTATCAAAATGACGTGTTACTCCTATATTTGGCAAAAATTGTGATGATTGATTTGCTTTTTACAAAAAAATGAATCAAGTATTATTTGAAAAATAATTTTATTGCATGAAATATAAAAAAAGGACAGAAAGAATAGATTCAATAGGAGATATGATGCCAAAGAAGACAAATTTGAAAAAAACCTTAAAAAAATGCGGTAATGGAATTCGGCTAAAGTTTGAAGCGCTAGTCATTCTTATCATGCGTTATATTTGAAGGGATAACGGGAAAAAAATTTTTGATTTATGGCTCCAATATTAGAAGAATGACGCAGTTTTCCATTTTTTTATTGTTTTTTTCAAAAAAAATTTTCTATTACTATTCATACTAAAAAAACATGAAAGCCGAGAAAAAAATGACAATTTGAGATTTCTTTTTAGGTTTTTTTGAAAGAAATTTATAGTGGTGGCGACAGAACAGTAAAGACAATTGAACAGTAAAAAAAATTTCAAAATACGAAATTTCCTCGCTTACGACCGATCAGAACGATTACGCTATGTTTCTTCCCACTATTTGAACTTCAACGTGAAACTGCCGGTGATGGTTCGCTCGAAATGATGCGTGAACGAAATGGAGAAGTCGATTTCGGCCTGAACGCACCCGTCAAAAGGAATTCCAAGCGGGACGCCTACTTCAATGACTTCGCCGATCGGTAAAACGCACATCATCCTGTTGGTCGGCTCCGATTTCTGATGGGCCAGCGAAAATCCTGGCAGATCGAATGCGCACTTCTGGACTTTGATTGAGAGTTGCTGGAAAAGGCAGGGTTTTGTGAAACAGAACTCTGAAGTACATCTTAGAAATAAAAAAATGGGAAAAATTCAAAAAGTTAATTCAATGTCGACTCTGTTGTTTTCAGTTTCAATCACGGTCAAGATGGCTTTTTTTTTTTGCGTTTTTTTCTAGATTTCGAAAAGTTTCAAGCTCGAAAAAAAATTCCTGAATTTTGTTTTAGAGAACGACCGTTTTTTAAAAAAGCTTTGAGCTCGGAAGAAGGAAAAAAAATACTTGATCGGTAGTCCACATGGTGAGGCGAACATCATGAAGAGTTTCTACGTGTACGTTTGAGGCCGAGATGATGAAAGAGCGGATCAGACTCTTCGGATCAAGTTTTGTCCTGCAGTAAAAAAACCCAATAGTTTATTTTTTGTTTTTTCAAGCCAGGCTGGCCTCTACAAACACGGGTTTTTCTAACATATTTCACTTCAATTTCATAATCGAAAACTCAGAACGGTTTAATTTCTGTAGTATCCGACAAATTTGAATATTATTTGATCAATTTTATTCTGTTCCATCAAAGATCACCAATCTCTTACCAATAAAGCACGACGCGGATGTACTCTTTGTCCAAGATGACAACTGGGTCACGAAAATCTGAGTCGGTTGATTTCGAAAAGAGTTCGAATTCTTTCGTCTACCTACCTAATTCCACTTGATTTGGGTCAAAAGTGATAGTCTCGGGAAAGATATTGGCCGGCGTGCGGAAGTAGCCGTTCTAAATTCCAACAAAGTCCATGATAAAGTGGGCGGAATACTCACGTCGTGATGGATGGTTTTTGAACTTGACGTGACCGGAAAGGCGCTGTCCAGTTGATCAAGCAGGAAGGCTGACGAAGTCGCTCCGGAATGACATAACTCGTTGAGAGTTGGCTTTTTGGGCTCCGAGCTGGAAACGTCATTTTTATTTGAGAGGAAGATCAAAGGAAAAAAGCAAGTAATTCGTGAAACTCACAAGGTGTGGTTAGTATTTTCCTCAAAAATTCCGACATCAAACAACGGCTTGACGTTTTTCTCTAGTAATCTCCTTGAGTCAACGCTTTTCTGGCCGGATCTTCTTGGCAAAACGGGTGTCATGTTCTGAAAAAACATTGGTAGGAAATTTGAAATCGGATCACGTCAATAGTTTGAAGAAGTTATTTCTAGCTCAAAAAATGATTAATTATTAATCTTCTCGAACACTGTGAAAAAAGAAGCTCAGTATTTTATTCAAGACTATGAAGTCTTGAAAACCTTCTCGAAGCCGATGAAGGGAACGTCAGGTTGTTCTTCAGGAACAGGATATTGTGCTTCCAACAGCTCTTCAAAGTTCTCCGATCGCTAAATTTTATCCAAGTTTTTATTCTCAAGTCGTTTCAATACCTCATTGACGATCGGTGAAGAGGTAATAGGCTCAACGTTCGCCAAATCCAGCAGCATTTCAGATTCGACTAGGCCTATACAATTTTGATACATGAAGTTTTTGTAATTTCCAAGATTACTCCTTGAATCGAGTTCATTCGTGCTTGGTGTTCTATTTTTGTGTTTCCCAGCCAGCTCAGCGCCGTACTTTCTGATGATTTTGTTGACCTGAGACTCCAGTTTAGACTTGTAGGAGGTAAAAAAAAGACTGACGTAGTCATTGACTTCTAGGACTTGAACCAGAGCTGGGTCTTCGGTCTCCGCTAGCTCCCCGGCGTATCTGTACAAAGTTGGTCGGATAGAAATGAGATCATCGTAGAGTTTCTAAAGGATATATAGATAAGGGATCAGTTTTTTCGATCAACCTTCACATCTTCGATATCCCCATCAACCAGCCCTAAAGATTGGGCAGCTTTGGCTACTACACACTCCTCAATTTTTCGACAAAGTTTACTGGCAGCATCCAAGTCTCCATTTCTTTGATGGACTTTTGCGATTTTCTGCTCTTCCTGAAAAATTTCCTTCATTGAATGCATAGGACTTCGAAATCTTATTCTCCACAATATACTTTTTTCAGACCACCCTTTGAGATATTTTCAACCATTTTGGTTTTTTGCGTACCCTTTCTTAAGATTTCACTCTTTTCACACATTCTTATCAAGACCATTCCTGTCAAAAGCAGTTATCATTCACCAATATTATGCATTTCAAAAACTTACAGTCCGCACTAAGTTTTTGATCATTCGATTAGCAGCTTGTAGATCTTCGGGTGAGCCGCTGCTCAACAGCTGCTTCAAAACGCGGGACTTTTCTTCGTCCTCAAAAACAGCCGAACGCGGAGTTGCTGGAAACAGACACATTAAGAAAATTGCATAAAAAAGCAGCACTCACATGGCGCAATCGCAATCTCTTCTTCGGGAATGGAGGGATCCTCAGTAATCAGATTGTGCTCACGGAGCGAATCGTAGACCTGAACGCGAAGAAAATTAATCTGCTGTTATCGATTTGATTGATCTTCCCATTTTTCATAATGTAAAACTAGGAGGATTTAGGAACATTTGAATCAAACATTCGATAATATTTAAGTACTGGAATCCGAATTTTGGAATTGAGTCTCGACCTTCAGAAACAAAATGAAAAGTTCATTACAAAAACCACGATAAATTGTTTTATAATTTTTCTGAAATTCTCGAACGAATAAAACCTCTTTGAACTTCCCAATGTGTTTGATAGACCTTTGCCAAGTGTAGAGCAGCTTGATCGCAAAGTTTTTGACCTAAAAGTCGTTATTGAAATTTAATTCAAAATCAATCTCAAGGTTGGCTCTTGCCAAAAATGAACTAATCTGACGCAAACTTACTTCTTGAGAAGTTTGAGCACCAAGATACTTCGGTGTGATTATTTTCACCAGCTGGTTCAAGAACCGGTATCTACCAAGGCGGATGTGAACTTTCTCCCCACATCGACGAGCCAACGCGTCGACAGTCTGAAAATAGAAAAATAGATTGGAAGACAGGTGAAAATATCACCTGGAGTGAATACAACGCTTCATCCTGGTCTGGGCTCACAACTTTGTGCGCAAGGATTTCAATTGCAACGCTGGCGCCGTCGGCCTGGAATTTTCACCTTTTCGAAAAGAGTAAAAACTATTCTTTGAGTATCAAAACTGAAATTGGAAAAAAAAAAGTTTGAAAAAATTGGACTTTGTGCAAACTCGTTGATACCAAATTTTCCATTCGTGGATGTTGTAAAAAATATTTTCCAGGTATTAAAACGAACCTCTAAGTTCACCCGATTGCACAGCGTCTCCAAAAACCCTTGCCTTTCTTTTTATTCCAAGATAAGGATCAGTCGCTCGGCCTGAAAAAAAGTTTTCAAGCTTTTTTTGATAATATTCTGAATTATTAGACCCCAGCAAATTCATTCTAAATTAGACTTGTTTAGATGAAATGGCAAATTTCGAGAATGAAGAGTGATTTTTTTCTTTTTTTCAAATTAATATTTTTTTGGCTGATAACAAAAATTTTTTTAATATCAAGTAGAAGAAACTAAATAAAAAGCTGTGGAAGTCAATTAATTTTCCAGGAGACATTTCAATGTTTTTAGTTGTAACCAGCTGACCGAACTATGCGGTTTTTTATTGAGTAAAAAAAAAGAAAAACAAACTGAGCCAATACTCGATAGGTTTCTCAGCCATTTGCGCTCCAATCGACCCTAAAAAGAAGGCTTCAGTCAATCAGACAAGTACAACAGAGCGAAATCTTCGAGTTGAAAAGAGAAGAAAACAGGGATGTTAGTTGTTCTCCATAGCAACCAACTAATGAGGACGTTGGAAATGTGAAATTATGACAAAACAAATCGTAGGATGTAGTCGTAGACATGCCATTAAAGTGCGAACAGTAGTGCAGGAGAGCGTTATTGATCGGAGTGGGGGGCTCAGAGAGCCGCCACACGGCTTCTGCCTTCGGGGCGTCTCGTTTCCTTCTCTCCGGCCTTCGAGTTTGTGAGCGCAGTTCCGTTCTCACATACATCTAGGAGCATGAAATAGATGAGCAAAGATGGGCCACTAATTAACATTGAGAACAAAGTTTGGAATTCGGAAAACGTTTGAAGCGGAAGTTTCGATTGTGACCCTATAGAATTTCATTTTTATGAGTCTTCCGAAACTTTTGAGACAACTTCGAGCATCAAAGACAGGTGAACGAGCAAATATGAGATTTCATTGAATCCCTGGAAATACGGAAATTCAAGTTTTTCAAAGGCAATAATGCGTCAGAAATTTTTTTACGTTTTATTCAATTCTAAAAACTCTTCTACTGAATAATTGTTTCTGAAAAAAAAATAAATAAACTGCCAGTTTTCATTGTTCTTGATCGCTAAAAAGCTCTTGTAATTATTTTGAAGAGTTAGAGCTGCACAAAAAAATTTTTCTAAATTAAATTCTTGCTGAAAAATCTCATTAAATAGCACTGAGAAGACCGCTGAGAGAAAGAAGCTTTTTTTCGACTTGAGTTAAAGATTATCTCAGGAGTTTTGCCTACAGATGTTAGTCGCTTTGAATAAAAAACTTTGTCTTCCGCTTTTCCTGATATGAAGACTTTTCTTTTTCAACAAATGAGTAGGAGTTTTATCGGTCGCAATTTCGTATGAGAGTTCAGATAATAAGCTAACTTTTGAATCTTTTTCCAAACAAGATAAATCTCAAAAAAAGATAAAAAAATAGATTTTCTCGCAACAGACGCAGGTGAAAAAAATTTTTGTTCAGGTTAATTTTTGAATTTATTTCAGTAACGTTTTATAATCTTTAGATCTTTTTTTAAGTGATCGTATGAAAAAGCTCTCCAATAAGTTTACATGTTTTCATCAAAAATACCGTTTCCAGTCCCTAGGAATTCTCTTTTGAAGTCTCTCCAATAACTTCTCAACTCTTGAACTTGCCCTTTATCATTCCCTACCGAACTTTGACGAGAACTTACACACACGAGACAGTTCTGAAACGGCCTCGGCCTAATTTTTAACGAAGACTGTGCTCCCGTTCGATCAGCCTTATCTGGAGAACCAATGCTAGATCAGTCCGAAAATCGTACCACCCGCAGCGCTGTACAAATTCTCCACATCTTATCTTTCATTGGTCTTCAGATCAAGGCAAAAAACCGTATCATGATAAATTTTTCTGGGTTATGACACGAAACAGACGAGGAACATGAAATATTCAAATTAGGTTCCGGACCTGGTTTCAATCAACTACTGTTCATTGGAATTTATCGTTTAGTTTGGGTCATCAGGTCGAAAAATGGATAATTCAGAGAAAATTTCGAAGAAAAAAGAGAAAAAAATGTATTTGTTAGCAGCGGCTTTGAGAATTGTTTTTTTCACCAATTAACAAAAAGAAAAATAGAATTTGGAATGCTTCTAGGAGCTCGAAAAAAATCCTTATGAAAAAAAGGTGAGCGAAGGTTGGGAAAAAAATATGATGTCTTCAGAACTATAAAAAAATCTGGCCTTAACATTTTTTAAAAAAAATGTATATTTCAACATTATTTTTTTAAGATCAAATAAAAAAATAAAATGATTGATTTTCTTGTGTTTTAAGCTTCTTTTCACTTCCTTCAAATTCTTCAAATGCAAAGACATAAGGCTGTGTCGTTTTTTACCATTCTCACATCACACAATGCACGCAAGACAAGCGCAGAGACGGACACTTACGCCTGTCCTTCTGCTCTCTACGCCGTGTCCCATGTGGTCTAGTGGTTAGGATTCGTGGTTTTCACCCACGCGGCCCGGGTTCGATTCCCGGCATGGGAAGATGCTTTTTTGCCGCCTTATTGAATTGTTTTTAGTTGAACTTCTTCGATATTGGCAAGCTGCCGTTAAACTTTTGGTCTCTCGAAACTTCGCTTTATTTTAAATTATATGTTTGGAATATTTCTAATTTCTCTCAAATTATAGGAAATGTGCGTAGTTTTGTCAAATTTCGAAGTTTTTTTCACAAAGTTTATTTTTTCATTTTAAAAAGTCTGTTCTGAAGGTTTTACTCCTTTCAGTTCAAAATGCTTTCAATAAATGAGGAATTTTAAAATTTATTTATTTTCCTTTAATTCTTCGATTGTTCACTATCTTATTCGAGTTTCTGTTTGTTGACTGCTAATGGTTACCCACAAATTACGTTACTGAAAAGAAAGGTTTACGCTATAGCAATAAAACTGTCTGCGACGATAATAAATTCTACGAAAAAAAACGGACTTTTTGAGTATTTTTTTTCAAAATGAAGGTGTTCATAAACATTTTCTCGTTCCACTTTTCAAATATTAAGACTTTTCTGAAATTTTTTTGAGAAACCTTGTTCTAAAAAAATTTCAGTAATGTTAAACGAATAAAGTCCAATTAAAGTTGATCCTCTTTTCACAATTGTTATTTCTCCTCGAACAATATTTTATTTTTCATCGTACTGCTTCAACTTTCTGTTTTGGAAAATAAAGGAGGGTAATTTTCATGAATTTATTAGTACTGTGAAAGATCATATGAATGCTGAAAAAACGTGGAATGTAGTTTGGGTTGAAAGTTGTCTTTGTGTTGAAAGGTAGGATGACCCGGTTGCAGGTTTTGTCTTGAGAAGACTTTCGAAAGCGTTATCGGCCGGTACCGGAGAAGGTCGGTGTGTACTGACACGCTTCGTAGTCGACTGGCGAGATCATGTTGAACGCCTTTGTCATCACGTTGATGTAATCTGCAACCGATTTTTTTCTCAAAGGAAGGACAAGTCTTTTTGTTGTCTGCGTTTGAAGGTTGAGTGGTTTTTTGAATGGCGGCGCGAAATTTGAATCTTTTCAAATCGAACAAATGCGTTCGAAATTTCAAGTTAGTAGATATATTCATTCGTTGAGGTCGTGCAAATAAAGTTGATGACCTTTTTCAAAAAAAAAAGTCCTAAGAACTTATGAAAAAACGGAAAATAACTTTTTTCACAATGCAAGTTTTTCGGTGTCGGTTATTAAACATCCAATTGAAAAATATTGGAGCTTTAAAACCACTATCCTTTTCCTTTTAAATATCAAAGGGTTTTGAATCATTTTGAAAATGGGCTTTTCGTCAATATATCATTCAGATTATCAAGTTGTGGTACCGATATCGACAACTTGATTTTATCCAAAAATTACCATTTCAGCTCAACTCGAACATTTCGAAAAACCACTCACTGTTATCTTCTAAGAACTGGAGCACATTCTTCATGTGCAATCGACGGAATCGTTCAGGATCTCTGGCAACAACGAAAACTGGGAATCGAACCCAAGTGGACACGATGGCGTAGTCATACTGCTTGTAATCATTCAAAGGACCTTTTTTGATCACCCAGACTGTAAAAAATCATTGTTTCCTTTTTCGGCGTCATTTTCCTACATGGTTCGGCGTCTGGCGAATTGCTGTTGTGAAGCACGAATTGTCCAGTTTCTCCCGATTTGAAACCGTAACCGAGAGCGTACCTTCAATCAAAACGCGTTTTTCACTTGGCCATCATAAGCATCGATTGAGAACAAACCTTGGGGAACCGTTGGGGTTTCCTTCGCGGTAGAACTTCAAGATGGTGAAAGAAGCAGAGTAAGTGTTGTTGGTGAGCGCTCCGACTGCAATTAGTTTCTATTTTCACTGTTTGAAAAGTTTCCTAAGAGTTGAAAAGGTGATTACCGCTTTAGAGTTCGGTAAAGTTCGAGCTTCTATTTGAAAAGAAAAAGTATCATCTGTGACTTCTGATCACTGTTGATCACTATTGTGAGAAGTAGGTCAATACATGGTTTTTTTATTTCAAGAGTCCCTTTTCAAAAACGATGAGAAGCTCTTTTTTTTTGGGGAATAATTTTCAAACTGGTCATTATTTCAGCATGAGGACCCTACAAAATGAAAAATTAAACGAACAGTGGGACACAGTGCAGGCTTCGCGGATGACATGAGGCGAGTTGATAACTTGGAACCAACGTCCCATCATTCTGGCGACGTCAACATTCTCAGCGGCTGGGTGGACTGCTCTGGAATTCCATTAATAAGTAAAAGTATATCTATACAATTTCCAACCTGAAAACATCCTTCGCAATATTCTTAGCCGAGTCCTTTGGCAGAATGCGGCTGATAGAAGATCCAAGAAGAGTGTTAGCTGGAGGAATGATTTGAGGGAAAAGCTGGCCGACGAGATAGTTGAAGTTGCTCAGGCCGGGAATAGTGTTCACTCCAGGGATAGTGGGGGCGTCTTGAGGTCCTGGAAAACCGGGGACTGGAATTGGCGCTAGGCCTGGGATTTGGCCAGAAGTGTATCCTTGGAGGTCAACTCGGTTGGCGTTAGCTTCGGCGTCAGCAACAAGAGCGCTCAGGTCTTCACTCTGAAAAATTGAGGTTGAGAACAAACTTCTAAATATTCAGAACCGCAAGGATCTTCCATTTGTTTTTCATTTCTTAAAAATTCGGTCGTGAAAAAACAACTTGAATGGTGAGAAAAACCTTATGGTTTAGTTTTTAGAAGTTATACAACTAATAAGATGAATGGTAAAACATCCGAGATAAAAAAATATTTAATCAGCAACTCTTTTTTTCTTCCTTGGAAAAACAATCATTCGGAAAAATTGAAAAATTATTTTTTTCGGAATGCCATTAAACTCGAACAATTCGATTATCCATACATTTTTTTAGCTGCTTCAAAAAAATTTCTCTTTTTGCCTTTTTTTAGCGTCCCAAAAACCTGCAGAATCGAGCTAGGAAGAGGCGCTCGGCGGATATCTTTCTCATCGCGAGTCGAAAAACCAAGTTTTTCCAAAATTGACTCGGCGACCTGTCCAACACGGACCAGACTAGTCTTTTCGTCCTGGCTCTGACCAATGATAGGCGCGACGGCCGGTTGTTCCTGCAAAAAAACAACAAGTTAAACAACTATTATGAATACCGGTACGGCGATACCTGTCCGGGGGAAACTCCGGCGGGAAGACTTTCGAAGGACGGCGCGTTTTGCGGATCGGCAAGCACGCAGCCGATGAAAACGGCCAGCAGCAGTGGAACGCGCATTGTATCCAACTGAATGTTCTGACCCACTTCGATCCACGGGTGTCCACTATCAAAGCGGCTGACCTCAAAATTCACTCTCCTCCAGCCCCTGGCCGATGTATCTTTCCACATTCCAGCCAGGGATGCATGATAATAAGTTGAAATAAGGAGATATTTCTGTAAGTGTTTTTAAATCAGGGATGTGCGCCGAAAACCTTGACAGTCGTTACCGGCTCGAATTGTAATGCACTCCTCAAAAATTGAAGACGCAGAGAAGCGCCCAATTACTGCTATAAAGAAAAGGAGCGCTATTTACTAAAAAATTCCATCATTCTTTTCTCGATTTTTTTTTCTCTGATTTATCGCAAGTTTCCACATGGAAAAAACTTGCGAATACCGAGGAAAAAAAAAACAGGAAAAGAGCCGCTTCGCGACTCCACGATTTGTCTTTTTCACGCATTTGAACGTCGTTCAAGCTATTCTTTTCAAACTTCAAGAATAGGTTATGATTAAAGAAAAAGTTTTAGAAATAGACTGAGAAATTTTATTGTGTTTCAAACGCATACCCGTTCTACTGCTTTTTCTCACTGTTCTATGAGAACAGAAAAAAAAACTCCAAATTTCAATGTCAAACAGAAAATAAAATGTCCTTGAGTCTCTTGAAAATGAAAACCTTCGGTTTTTTTTTTGAGCGATTTTAAGAGCGCTAAAATCTTTTTTCTTTTTTTTCGTACTATCAAGCGTTTATTTAAAAAAACTTGCAACAAACTTCATTTTCTTCTCTCTCATTCATTGACAAGGTTGAGAAAGTCCGAAGGCCGTCGTGCCTTGCACTTTCGGACCTGACAAATCGGCAAATCGACAGACAAGGACTTTTCTGATGGTTGTGTTAGATAATTGTCCGTTTGAGGTACCGATCGAACTTTTGTCTGGAGAAGAGAAAATGGTCAATAAGAAGCTATCCCTCAAGTTTTGTTTGAACAAGCTGTTGGTTTGAGAAAAAAGCATAGGTTTCAGTAATGCTTTGAGAAAAAAAAAAACCGATCTTCAATAAAAAACTTATATGATAGTCACTTTCGATTCAATTTGAAGCTAAGAGAACTCTGAGAGAAATTTTTAGCCTAATAAAAAAACTTTATAAATGCTCAAAATATCAGTGAAAACTTGTAAAACTCAGCTTTGAAATCAGCAGTGAAAGAAAACAAGAAAATTTCCGACTGGTGAAAAAAATAAAAAATAACGTTTAGTTCAATACACAAAGCACATTGTAAGACTGAAAAAATGTTGGTTTTCAGATAATTTTCAACTTCAATCACGAAGTAATAACCGAAAACCCAGACTACAGTGATCGGAAAAAGTTCCAGTAACAAAAATCTACGAATCATACTATAAACCTCGCTTTCCTTCTTTTTTTCTTTTTATTTAATCCAGTTTCAAAAACTTTGAACTCAAACTCAGTACAATCAATTTATTAAAAACACGAAAAATGACAAACAAAATCAAAAAACACAATAATACGCAATTTGAAAAATCATAGATAAATTATAAAAAGGGAAAAATGTTACGAAAAAAAGGTTCTATATACACGATAATGCACTATACCACGGCCTGGTGATTTGGAAATCAAGGATTCTGGCGTTTTTCAGCCGATCGCTCGTTTTCCATCTTTCGACGAAGCCGAAAATTCAATGGAACAAACTAAACATGATAAAAAAGGACAAAAAATGACGAAAAAAATGACAGAGGCAACACGCAAAGTAACATGAGTGGAATGTGGGATATTAAATGATCTAACGATTCACCCGGAGGTACATTTCGCGGTGATGAAAAAAATGGAAAGACATCGAGTGGACGAAGGCAGCGAGAACAGAGAAAAAAGCGAAAAAAAACACACAGAGAAAAGGACAAAAATGTGAGAAAATACCTAAAATGAAAGAATCGGGGTTCGAAATTGATTAGTTTGGTGGCAGGGATTTTCAGCCTTGGATGTTGAAGAGAGAAGGAGGGAAGACGCACATCGAATTGTCCACTGGGGCGACGATGTTGAGGATTCGGGAGAATCCGTTGACAAGGCCTTTCGTTTCGAGAATCTCTGTCACTTCCGTTTCGTACTTCTGCAGAAAATTCATTCATTACTGATTATTTTCTCATCATGGGAATTCATTCTCGTGTAAGTTTTCTATCAAATTTTTTACCATTGGGGATTCTTCAAGTGGAATTCCCTTATAAAAATTTCTTCAATCTCTTTTTTTCTCAACTGAACATGCTAGCAAAGCATGAGCTATTTTGAAACTTCAGCACTCGAGAAAAAATCTTGAAGTTCGCGTAGCCAGCCACTTTGAGAGACCTTCATGTTGACCTTCAGAAAATAGTTTGAGCGAAATTCTTGAAAAATTCGGACTTTCCACCAATATGACCTTTCTCGTAGGGTACTTCTGAATACTACATACCTGCTTGTAGGTGACGGCGTCACGAGCGAAGACGTACAGCGGGAAGTTGCAGTTGGTGGACATGATCGCGTATTCGTACTGGTTGTTGTCGTTCAGAGGCCCAACGTGCAGAACGTGAACTGCAAGTTATTTTTGAGTTCCGTTTGAAAAACCCAAAATGAAGGATCCTTACCAGTGACGTCATCCTGGTTGTTGGTGGTACGGTAGATGAGCTCTCCAGGAGACTTGACGATGGAGTATCCGGAGCTGATGACTGGCTTTCCGTAGGGAGTTCCGTCGGTCGTGTACTGGAACACTTCGAAGATCGATCCGACGCCTGCAGATCAAAATTGGAATATTGTCTCAGTTTCAAAAACATTTGGTTTTTTTCTTGAAAAGTAACGCGATATTAATCGAATTTTTTTTAAACGATAGTTTTTGGAGAAAAGCGTAGAGAAAGTTTTCTGCCTGAGTACTCAACTTTACACTCTTTCATAGACGTTTGCTGGGTCAATTGATAAACCTCTCTTAAACTTTTTCAACTCACTCGATTTTGAATGCCGTAGTGTTAATGTCTCTAAAGACCGCACGGTTACTCAAAAATCACATTGAAAAGTTTGAGTTCCTTTTTGCAACTCTTTTTTATTTACCTGTTTTTATAATTTTTCATATAGTCTTAATTACAGAAAGCTGAAAAGTTTTCGAATGAAAAAGATGAACCTCCATTTCCAACGTCGGAAAGCTTCTTGTAGGCGACCATGCTACATGGTCCAGTAGAGAGCGGCGGACTGTAGACGACCTGGAAGCCAAACTGCCGTTCTCGAGGGGAAGGAAAAAAGTGTGGGCCGTTCAGAAGAAAATATTTAGGTTGAGTGGGTGGGGCATCGACGGTTGGCACGGCGGCTTTTTTTTTCTTCGCCGTCGTTCGAAAAAGGGCAAATGTCACAAACCTGATACCACTGGCCCATGAACGACTCAAGGTTGAACTCGACAGGTTCGGGTTTTGAAGTGCAGAGCGGCGAAGATGGCTGGATGATGAGATTTTGAATCATCTCGAGATTTTCGCTGATGGCCGCCGATTGAGCTGGAGTCAGGACGACGGATTCGTTGCCTTTGCGTTCTTCTAGAGTGGTCTCATTACTCTGAAAAATTATTTCTAGTGATGAAACAGTGGTTTCTCTCTTTTTTCAATCTCAACCTTTGGTTCGACCGAAAAATTCATGTCCCTTTATTTCAAAAAAAGTCGGAAAAAAATGAATTTATACACAAAAAGCTATTATTAAATTTTTCCGAGTCCCTTTTTTTCAATAGATTTTTTTAATTTTTTTAAAAACTACAAGCGAAGTCCGAATTCAATACTTTTTCAAACAATTTCTTTTCGCACTTTTTTTGAAAAAAACTACCTGAACGCTTCCACTGGTCAAAGCCTTGTAAAGAACGTTAGAGATCATATTTTTAGCTGGGAGAGGGCTATTTTCCCCGCCCAACAGTCCAGAAACAGCTTTTCCGAGAGCATCTTTGTCCTAAATGTCATTCAAAATAAGAACTTTCTCGTTTTCATTTGTTTACCTCGTTAGTCGGAGCGCCATTGGCCGTCTTTCTGCCATTCTTAGAACCGAGTGTAATAAGGTTGAGAATAGTTCCGATGAGGCCACCAGACGAGCTTGACGTGTCGTCCGACAAGCCGCCGTACTGAATCGATGACTTCGATTTCTTCTCATTTTTCGGCGCAAATTCAAACCTCTTCTCCGTTGAAGTCTTCAGCCTTGCTGTCGATGGAATGAGCGACTTCAGAAACTGAGGCTGGGGAGCGTCGAATATCGGCTGGCAAGAAACCGCCTTCTGGGACTTCTGGAGCGCTGGCGATGGTTGGAATGGAAGGAACGTCAGCTGATGGAACAGACATGGGCCTCTTGAAAACTGCTGGCTCCGGCTCGGAAACTGGAGCTTTTGGCAATTTCGGGAAGACCTGAGATAGGAAAAAACTGAAAAAAAGATTTCGAAGCTTCAATTACCTTAGGAATGCCTTGAATGGAGCTCTTTTCTTCTCCAGATCCTTCAATTTGGAACTCATTCTGAAAATTCATAGTTTTTTGTGATAAAAAATCTTTTCAAGACTTATAAAGTTTGAAGCTTTTCAAAACTGCAAAAAGAAAAGGTTGAAAAATAATAGTTTTCGAGATTTTTTTTCTTTTTTCCTTTCGAACCTTTTCGAGACATTGAATCTATATGTATATATTATATGAATAATTTAATCCACAAAAATTCGGAAAAAAAATAAAAAAAGATTTGAAGCATGTCTCTTTATGAATGACTAAAAATGCAAATAGATGTTCCTGGTGGATTTGGCTATAATTTTTTTCCTAATGTCATAAGAAAGATTTGAAAAATAAAGAAAAATTGGTACTTACTTCAGGAGCGCGTCTGACGTCGCCGAAGGAAGTCAGAGCTTTGTTGTTGTTCAACAAAGAAAAACCACTGTTGAAGCCAGGAGGAAGAGCCTGACCGCCAGCTGGTGTCTCAGGAGCCGTGAAGAACTGCTCGAGGGTCTTCTCCAGCTTGGACACAACATGAACAGGCTGTCCATTAGGTGCAGCTGGCTCTTCAGGAGCTCCGATCTCGTAGGTCTTCTCAGGGAAGAGACCTCCAGGACGAGGACCTAGCAGAGAATCAACCAGTTCGCGAGCATGGCCGTCGAGTTCGAAGAACTTGGAGAACTCTGGAGGGACGGTTGGCTTGGCAGCGTAGCGCTGGCCCTGGGGCAGAGCGAAAGCATCAAATTGACCGTGGACAACTCCGATGAGCGCTGTCGCCAGCACGCACGCCGAAAGCATTGCAGACTGACCGTAAAAATTGGGAACGATCCGCGTCGAGAAGACTTGTGAGATAGCCGGCCCTGTAGGTCAGATCGTGCAAAGTTGTACGAAGAACACGAGGAGGCGGGTTTGGAATGTCCTTTATGACACAATTTATCGCGAGATACAGAGACACGAACAAACAGTAGCGAGAAAAATCGGAGAGGAGGTGGATATTATGGATGGAAAGGAGGTCATTGGCCTTGGAGGGGTGTCGGAGCGGCCTGTGCGAGGGCTTTTGGACCGACGAGCCTTTCGAGCGTTCTTTTTGGGTCACGGATCATGTCGGCCAGCGGCATACCGGAAAGTACTGGTTCGTCGGTACCGTTCTTGCTTCTCTGGGCCATTTCTTGGTTCTTGAGGACCCTAGAAAAATCTTGACTTCAAAGATATGAAGAATTTTTTTCAAACCGCCGAGTGAAGACTTCCTTCTCTGATGGCCATTCACAGTCAGGACCTTGGTAAATTGGCTTGGGACTGTTCCAGAAAACGTTTCCGCCAAATCCGTGTTTTTGCATGAAGTCGACAACTGGCTTGTTGTACTTCTGCAAAAGAAAAATCAAACCGATCAAGGTTATTGGAAGATCCTTGACCTAGCCTTCAATTTTTATTTGGGTCAGATTGAGTGATTAAAGAATCACCTGGAAAAAGACAAGTGGGTCACGGGCGTAAACCATGAGAGAAAGTCGGTTGGCGTCGGACACAATCAAATACTGGATAGGCTCTTCGGCTTTCAAGGTTTCGTTATCGAAAGATGGTCCAGCACCGATGACGTAGACTGAAACAGGAGATCAGCTTTGAATTATAACTTCTAGATGAAAAATCTTACACTGTCTTGGGTAGAAGTATTCCTCAGTGTACATCCAGTACTGACCAGGTCCGACCTTCAAACATCAGATCATTTCAAAATTCCTTCAAAAGTCAATTTCAACCTTGTTCATATCGCGTTTGTAGGTCTCAATAGGACCAGTCTTGGAGACCACTCGATAAGCTTCTTCCATCGAGAAACCTTCTTCTCCCATTATCGGATTTGGGTTAACTGAAAAGCTCACGGATGTTTTTCAGCAATTATTCCAGATTTTTCCCTGCATCGCGCTTCAAAAAAAAAAAACAACTTACAGTAAGCGACAGGACAATACATTTGAGTTCGGACGATGTCGAAGTTCATCGCAGCTTTATACATCTGAAAAAAATGTTGAGGATTTTTCAGTTCGGAAAATAAAACCTGGAACCATTTTCCCATAATCATTTCAGCTGGGATATTGATCGTTTCAATTTTGCTGTCCAACATCTTTCCGATCCCGCCAATGATACCAGTAATCGTATTGAGGTCCATCTGAACTTTTGAGGATCTGTCATTTATAACCAATGGTCAGACAATTTCCGTTTTTCTCTCATGAACGGGAACAAAAACAATATATTTTTTTATGAACAACTTTTTTCACTATTTCAAGCGAAAAAAATGCAAATGCATGGTTTTATGTAGATATTTATCAGTTATGATTAGAAAGTTCAGGGCTTTTTGCGCCCAATTTTTTTCAAATTTTTTCAATGCATTATTTTTCGAAAGATCATTTTATTGCAAGGACGTTTTCCTTGATTAATTTGAAAGCTGAGGGTTAGGTGTTTCAGAAATGTTAGCGATGCTGAACAAATAAGAACTTCAAAACTTTTCTTAGGGCATCAGACAAATCCCCAAAAACTTCAAGAGAACTCAGTTTTTTTGTAAATCGTAAAAAAATGACTTCAAAATAGTCCCTAAAAAAATTTTTCAAACTTTTTTTCATCAGCTTCACAACTTTTGTTTTTTTTAGTGAAGTGATGCACGGGATCTTCACTGCTTTCATAATTTCTCAAATAAAATGGGGAACAATGACTAGTGGCTTTTTTTTGAGCGAAAACATTTCAGAAAAGAAAATAATGAATAAATGTCACACAACTTTTTTTATGAATTTGTAATTTTTCATACAAGTTAACAGATTTGAAAATTCGAAAAGCACATGCTTTTTCCGATAATTTTTGCTCTTACAAAAACAGAGATTAAATACGCCAATCCAATGACTTCATTGTCTGAAAAAAACGGAGAAGATACAATCGGTGTCAGCTTTTTTCTAACCAAATTCACGATGAAAAAGTTTCTGTAAGAGTTCTATTTATCTTTCTTATATTTTATGTATCTTCTGAAAACTTCCTTCCAGACTCCGAACAACAGTTTTTATGCAATCTGATCGCGCAAGAAACTTTCAAATCTCCAAACGTCTAAATCCAGGACAGCTGGTCGGACAACCTTGGCGGCTGGCGAGATCTCGTCCTCGCGCAATAGAGATAAAAGTTGTGTCGGCCTGGATCGGACGCAAGGATGACGCAAGACTCACCGCATTTTCGCCGATGGCGTTGGCATGGGCTACCAGGACTAGAAGAAGAACGACAGAAGGCAACATGGCCACCAGATGAACGAATACAATGACTGTCGATATTGGACGCCTAATCGTGTGTTGCGACCTTCGTTATTGGGGCGGAGGCTGCTCACCCCAATTTCGGAATCGCCGTCTCTGACGCCCTCCATTTTGGCTGTTCCAATTGTTCGGATAGTGCAGGTATTGTCATGCGACGCATCGATTTGACACCAATTTGGCAATATTTATTACATCACATTAAGGATCGATTTGGATATGGTACATGTATGGTTGAAGGGAATGTGGGCGAAGAAGAAAGAGGTCATAGGAGAGAAGAGATTTCGCGGTTTTTGTTGGAGAAGGGTCCCGTGTCACGATACTTCGAATCACTTGCCGAAGACCTCGAAAGTGCTGTCGGCGTACTGACAGCTCGAGTATCCAGCGGGTTGAAGAAGGTTGAAAGCGCGGATGAAGCCGTTGATGAAGCCTTGGTCTTCCAACCAGCGGAGAACCTTCAAGAATTATTGAATTAGTCGACGTTTTCCGAAAATTTCGTTTAGTTTTGATGAAAATCAGCTAAAATTTTCGCTTTTGAAACAATTTTCCATTTTTTGTTCAATTTCTGGTTTTTCAAAAGTCTTCATTTTGTAAAAGTTGAAGAGTCTCCTTTATTTTATATTGGAGAGTCAAATGGAAAAAAACTTAAGTTCCAATTTTCTATTCAAAAACTATACTTACAGAGCAGAGCGGCTTCTACTGTTTCAAAAAATCTCAAAGCTCATTTTCTGATTTATCCCGGTTGTCTTCAAATTCTGCTCCACAAATTCATTGCTTTAGAATCAAAATTTTCTCTCAATTTTTAAACGAAAACTCAGTTTGTCCAACTTAAATCATACTGAAATGTTTAAAAAGGAGGCTTTCATATCATATAGCTTTCGGAAATTGTTAATTTCAAATTTTTTTTTCAGTACCTCTTTCTGATACTTGCTCTTGAAGGTGTCAGGATCGCGAACAAGCACCGTCACTGGATATTTGACCCAGTTGGAGACGATGGCGTACTCGTATTGTGGGTTTCCGAACGGATCCTTGCCCTCAGGGCCGAGCTTGTACACCCAGACTGAAAGTTTGATTGATGACTGACGTCGAGGGTCAAGGTTAACGAACAGGGCTGAGCGTCGCTGGTTTCGCTCGAGTGCAACTGCAGCATCGCGTCTTTGTTTCCGCCTCGGAAAGCGTAGCCGATGGAGTATCTGACTGGACCGAACTCAGATCCTTCGCGGTAGATCTTCAAGGCTGTGAAAGTGGCGGTCTTGTCGTTTCTCGTGAGTCCTCCGTCTGGAAAAAAATTCGTTCAAATTTGGGCTTTTGACAGTTAAGCGTAGCTTAGGACAACTTTTGGTTATGATATTCATCATGGATTATTTGTCTTTTCATTGATAAGACTCCAATTAACTTAAGACGCCATCATATCTTACTAAAAAGCAATAAAAAGTTGTTAAAGCCTTTTTTCTGAATTATTTTCTCTTGGATTTTCGAGAAGATTTTTTTCATTCGCATTTTTGTACATTTCAAAACCTTGCGTCAATTCTAAATTATCATAGTTAGAAAAACTGAGTTTTGATCAAAGCGATTTCTTCACTGATTTTTTTTAGAACTCCAAGCTCACAGTGGTGAACGACGCATCGTTGTTCAGTAGCTCTCGGCGAGTTGATTCCTTCGAACCATCTGCCCATGAACTTCGACAGATCAATATTTGGGGTTTCTGGGAGAAGAGCATCGGTGACGTTGTCGGCAAGAGTCTGGAGTTGCTCTGGTGGAAGAACGTCGGCGAGGGTCGTTCCGTTGGAAACTCGTCTCGTGACAGATCCTGAAGTTATCGAATTTTCTCTCGTACTCTAGTCTACGTCTTGAACAATATCTATGACCCATATTTCACGACGATTGATGAAGGCACAAACTAGAATGACTCACCAATCAGGTTGACAATGTCGATTTGTCCCTGGGAGTTGCGAGGAATTCCTCCTGGAAGAAGTGGGATTCCTGGAATACGTGGAAGACCGGCATGAGTTGGTGAGTTGTTGCCTCCTGAAAAAATTTTCCTTATTGAAACTATTCTTTATTTTTTGAACCTCCTCCGAGGGCGGCAGCAAATCCAGAAATGGCGCGTTGGGCGGCGCTTGGCTGACGGCGGATATTGGAAGAAGAAGTGGCGACTTGAGGGGCTTCATCGTTGGACTCTGAGATGGCTGGACTCGAAGCGGCGCCAGCGGCAGCGGCTGAGGAAGAAGCTTCAGAGGCTCCGGAAGGATTTCCAGCTCCAAGAAGAGATGGGATCGAATTGGAAAGAGCGTCTCCGACTCCGGCTAAAATTATCAATTTTGATCATTATTTATGATAAATCACTAACTGTCTTTGATCACTTTGCGGATGGAATTTGAGAGAAGTCCGATGAGACCGTTCTCTCCTGGAGTCTCAGCTGGAAGTGGGATGCTAGCTCCGCCTTTGTAGGGAGAAGGATTCTTGACTTCGTTGGCAATTTGAGTGAACTGGTCTTGGAAGTTGGGGTTTGCTTGAGCGAGAACGTCTTCAAATTTTTCTTTGAATGAACTTTTAGAATAAATTAATTACCAGCTTCGGTCTTGGTGGTGACGCCATTGGCAGCGGCGTTTCCTCCAGCCACGTTTTCGGCTGGAAGTCCTTGCACTGGAATTCCCGCGGCACGGAGCTCTTGGATGGCACCGGCAAATCCACGAGGATGGTTTCCAGTCAAGCCAGGGATTCCGAACGAGTCAAGTCCGAAGAACTTAATGAGCTGGTTCTGGACATCTGGAGGCATGGTGACTGGAGGTGGTGGCGGGACGGAGGCGCCGCTGCGGGGAACGAACTGTTGACTGCCTGGAGAAGCGGTCTGCAGAACTGGCTGCTGAGCATTTGGTGGTGCTGGTGGGCTCGCTCCAAAGAATGGTTGCTAAAAAAAATCATCATTCAAGCTGAAATATTTTCAGCCTCACTGGAGCAACAGGGACAGCGATGGCGCTTTCTTGAGCAGCAGTTGGTCTCTGTGGAACAGGTGGAGCAACTCCTGATGGTGGGGTGTTAACAGCGCGTGGAGGACTGACCTGGAACTTTTTCAAGTTTTTTTCTAAAAGCTTGCCAAAGTTCGAAAAATTTTTTGCAGTTTTCTTTTTTCAAGAGAGCTGAATGACACTTAAAGAAGATTTTCGGAAAGTAAATCAGCTAGAAACTGATAAGAAATTGATCCAGTTTTTTCGAAAAAATTAAGAAATACCCAAAAAACAGAGGATTTTTCTGCAAAGTTTTAAATGAAGCGTGGCTTCTGCTCAAGGAAATCTGATAGCTGACCTGTCCCAGGAAGCGTGGCCGGACGTTTGGTGGGTTGAGATGGATGACGACTGGGACATTGGGATCCGAGATTTCAGCTTGGACGAGTACCGCACAAGCGGCGGCGATCCACAGAAGCGCCGTCATTCCGAATGTGGACGCTTTCGAGGCTGGCAGAAAGAATGCGTTGTGCTGGAGAAGATTCGGTCAAGGCAGCCCCTTTTCTCTCGTTCTCTCGGATTGTCTCTACCTCCGGCGACCCAAATTGTCCTTTCACTGCGCAACACGCCTGTCAATAGAACTTAATCCAGGTCAGTCAGTAGCCGGGGTTTTGTTTGAACTCAAAGCCCGATGACTTTTCTCAATGGAACAAAGACGATTCGCCTTGAAGTGACCGTCAAGATGTCTTGGAAGTCATAGTTATAGGTTCCGAGAATTTCATGAGGATAGCCGCAAAACAAGACGGTTGAACAGAATTGCATCCAATAGGGAAAAATTAATCCCACGTTGAATTACTTGGAAAAAAAAACGTTGCAGATCAAGGGAGACATACTGAAGCTTGCTAGGTTATCGTCAACAATATAATTATCTAGAAACTTGAGACGGTGTTGGGAAAAATGAAAAAAATGTAGTGTTTGTGAAAAAAACAAAAGTTTTCAAACTGCTCAAAGTTTACCAATTTTCTGAGCTTTTTTTGAAAAATGACTTTTGAAGTCAGTCTATTTGAACCAATAAAGATATTCATTCAAAAACTTTCATTAATCTGAAAACTCAAAATGAACTGCAGCTTAGACTTTATGATTTCTTTCAGACTTTTTATGAAGATTCCGACTCGAACACGACCGAAAATACTACTTGCTAAAAAATTTTCAAAATAATAGGAGTCCGTATCGTTTTTCTGTAGAATGACAATCGGCACTGAAAAGATGATAAGACACTTTCTGATACACCAGAAGAAGTCTCAATGTGTACACTAGAAAGAGTCTCCTTTTCAAAACTCGAACTCTCAGCAAAATATTAAAATAAAAACGAATACTGCATCAGTTATCGAAATCGATCGAGCTCTGTTAATTTCGACATTCGGGATCTTTTCTTTCTCACGATGAACTTCCCACTTTTTCAGTTCCCTTCTCTGTATTTCTCGTAAAGAAAAAAATTTTTTTCACATTTCTAGCTATCAAACAGTCCGATTTTACAAGTAAAAAGAATTATAACCACTTTTTTATTCTGAGACACATGATATGAGAAAAAGTTTAATAACGGCCAAATGCTAAAATCGCATGGACCCGAAAAGTACAACATTGATGTCTAAGGAAAACCCGCAAATTTATAAGCTACATTTTCACATTTTCTCAAACTTCCATGCGATCGGGAACTTTGCTGAGCACTGGCGCGATCAAGTTGTCTTTTTTCGAAGCGTTGTGGGAGCAAACGGATTTTCCGCGAACTGTGACCTGAAATTTGAAAATAAGTAGAATTTTTTTGCTTTGTATCAATACCTCAAGAAAAGCGACAAGTTCCACGCAGCAGTACATGACCAAAGTAGGCCAGGTCATGACTAGATGGAAGATGTTCCGAATGAACCCGGTTTTGTCTTTGATTTTGCGAGGGAATACCTGAAGGTTAAAAAATTCAGATTGAATTGTTTCCAGAAGATTTACCGGTTGGCACATGTAGTTGATGAGAAAGACCATGAAGAACCAGAAATACTGGAGAGCGAGAAATCCAAACATGATGATTGTGAAGGTTTTATTATTAGGTATAACCAATCCATGGGCTCCGTGGTTCACGGCGGAGAGCATGGCGGGGGTCTGAAAAGAGATTATTGAAAGAGTTTCGAAACTTTTCTATCGGGGTAATGTTCACCATAAAAAATAAGTAAAATTTCTGAATATTCGATTATTTTTTATTGACTATTTTATAATTGAAACTTTTTCGTACATTCAGAACAGTTGCATTTCTTACTGCAAAATTGGAACTGTATTTAAAAGATTTTTGTTGACTTTGCAAAAAGAACAACGTTGCTTGGGTGTTTCACATCAATCTCACATTATCTTTTGGTTTTTCAACCTTTGTACAAAAATTAGAATGAATATGGTTGTGGAATGTAGATGCTCAAGTTTTTTTTTCTAAACCTTCCTTTGCCTAATTAAGCTGATCCTCACGATCATGTTCCAAATGAAGCAATCACTCACCACCAAAGGAGCGATGATTGTGTAAACTGAAGCGATGCAAAGCAGAAATCCATAATAGAAGACAAATTTGGCAGCAAAAGAAATCGAAACTCCAACAGGAAGTCGGAAGAACTTGATTGCAAAGTAGTGGAAAACCTTGGAAAAACCGTTTTGCAAACAATTCTTTTCAATTTTTAACTTACTTCCGCAGCGCCAATTGTCCATCTGCGTATTTGTCGCGCCCATTCGTACCATTCGTCAATGTAATTTTTACCTTAACAAGAAGGTTCTTTCTTTTGGGTTTTCGGTCAATCTCACCGCTTGTTGGTCCACTGAGAGTTGCGACGGGAATGGCGCGAATCACGCATTTCCTACGGACTGCGAGTGACCAGCGGATCAGAGCGATGATGTCATCCATCTGAGCAGAACATTTTTATTTCGAGTGTGGTCAAAGTACTTGTTCATATTCTCTAGAGACATGCTGAGATACTCTGAATCAGGAAACTTATACAACTCTATAATTTTGTGGAAATCGCTCAAACTCTTTATGTTTAATTTACGGCTTCTGTCTCAAAAAGCCAAGGATATTCAGAAATTTCATCAATCACTGGATCAGTATAGCTTAGTCAAAAGAGTTCTCAATAGTTTTGATTGATATATTCAACAAGAAAGTTCATCTAACATCGGAAGGAAAATTTATTAATTTCCTTATAATATTTTTTGAATCATTCAAAATTTTTCAACTTTCAAATCATTCATCCCTTTCATCAAATTATGTTGAATTTTTCTCTGGAAATCTGCAAAATCTCCTCTGGAAAGAATTCGTACCTGATATCCAGGATGAGTGTACTCTCCTTCCTCAAAAAGTTTCAAGGTCAAGGAGAAAATGCTCATTGTGTTGATGTTCCATGGGATCAAGTAGCCCATCATGAAGAATGCGCTGAAAATACATATTTGTCAAACTTCTTGCTGGAAACAATCGCAGACCGAAGCAAGCCGGTGACTCTGACGAAAAAGGGAGATTGGTCCAAGTTGATGCAATAAAACAGCGGAGATTGCCAGACTGTGTATTCACGTTGCTGGAAAAATAAAATATTTCTGATTCTTTCCAAAGTACAGTCCAACCTCTTTGGTCAACTTGAAATAATCTTCCTCCAGGGCGTCGAAGTAGCGATCCCCGAAAACTGAGTCACAATCTCCAGTAGTAACAAGAAGTTCGAGATTGGTGCTGAACTCCTCTAGCGGGTAGTTTTTATCAGATCGAAGCATTTTCACGGCAGTTCTGGACGAGTAGTTGAAGTTGGAGCATTTACCTGGGATTTGCGGTTAAGAACTTTCACGGAAAGTTGTGAATACCGGGAATGTCTCCAGGAAGACCTTTGGGATGGAAAGTGACGATGAAGCGATCGAAAAGAGGATCGTACTTTTCGTGGAGTTGCTTTTTTTTCTGACAAACTGCTGATTAAAACTTCATCTTCCTTTTCTAACCAACCGCTTCCTTATCGGGAGTACCCTGCTCCATTCCAATAACTACAGTGATTTTTTTCTTAGCGTCAGGTTGAGTTACAAGACTGTCGATCGTGTCCATGATGAGCTCTAGTGGTTCTTTGTAGATGCAAAGACCCACCAAGTGCTTGACTATGATACCTTGCTCCGCTTTCACCTGAAAAACTTTGTTTTAATCGTTTCACCTATTCATTTACCTTGTCCAGCTCGATTTTGTGAGAGGCGAACCGCCTGAGTCGCCAAGTATACCGCAAAGCGTTGAAAATTGCAATGATCCAGAGTAAATGGAGAATTATGGAGACGATTGTTACGATTTCAAGAGCGAAGTCCTAAAATAGAGTTTGAAAAGAGATCTGAAGTTTCAAGCTCACATTGAGAGCAGGAATAGCAGGAATCCAAATAGCAGAAGATATAAAAAAGAAGATAAGAAAAGTGAAGAGCAAGTTCCAACGAATGTAGGCGTTTGCAGGCTTTGCCAACCGACCGGCGTATGCTCCAATACTTAAATCAAATTTACGAATAGCTCAAAGAAGTCAATGAAAAACCTTTTGAGACTTCCAGTGACTTTCCTCTTCATCGACTTTTTGATACTGTGGATCTTGCTTCTTTCTGTGTTTGTCCTTTGTCGGGAAAACTTTTTGTTCTCGGACATTGTGAAGGAAAGTTGCTGAAAAATTTGTTTGAGAATTTGTGAGAAAGGAGTTGGCTTGTAATGGACAAATATTCAAGCTGTAGGTTTCCTCAAAAAAATTTAGAAAAAAATAAGAAAAAAAGAATATCTGAAATGTAAACAATGATTTTTTTGAAAAAAATATTTTTCAATTTTAATGCGAAAAAAATTATTTTTTTGAACAGTGAAGTGATAACTCAAAGTTGAACTATTTTGAGAAGATTGTTTCAAGCTTTATGGAACGTATTTCGTATTTGTGGTTGGTCTACTACTAAATCGCATTCTTTCAGAAAAATAAACCCCAGAGCGAGTAATAGAACGAATATTCAAAGCAGAACGACCAACCTTTTTAGCGAGCTCATTTTCGATGTTCTCGATGCGGATCTCCTCGATGGTCGGGATGTCGTCGTCTTTGACGCCGATGTCGTCCTTCATTTTTTGAGTTTAGACGGTTGGAGCCCGGAACGATAAGACCCCGAACCGATGCTCCGTTTAAATATGCAGTCGACCTCTGAGGGCGGAGTTTGTCCCGAGTTCAACCCGGCCGTTTCGTCTGAGCCGACGCATTTGAACTGCAAACATTCCTTGTTTTGAAAAGTTTTGTTGTTTTTCTCTGAATCATCAGTTGGTCTTAATGGTTTTAAATAAGCTTCTTTGCATTTTCAAACGTCTGAATTTCATTCTTTAACTATAGCAGAAAGGTAATTTAACAAGGTTCTAAAATTGTCCGCAACAACCCTTTATTGTAGTAAACGGAAACCCTGAAATTTGAACTTAAAAAAATAATAGGTTTCAAAAAGGAAATTCAATATGCAATATTAAAAATTTTTTTTACACTGAGGCTTCTTTTCTCGATAGCCTGAGAATTGTATGTTAGAATAATGCAACTCTACTTTTTAAAGGTTATTCTGTACGCTGAAGGCATCCACAGATTTTCGATAATGCGCCCAAAAAGTCCCAATCGAAGAGAGTCGTATTCGTATGGAACGCACTGTAGAATGAATATTTTATCAGGTAGATAATCCAGTATCAGAAAAACCCTTCAGACATTATCCAACTAAAAACACACATTTTTTCCTCTTTTTCTGAAAACAACTCAATTTTTGAGTTGGCTGAGTAAATTTTAGCAGACTTTATACTGAACGTGATAGACTATGCTGATCAAAAATCAGAAACTAAGAACCTGAATTGAACTACAAAATTTTTTTCGTCTCTTTTTGCGAATTTTGTAGAGTTTTCTTCTACAGTTCTTGGAAAGGATTCTTAGGATCCTTTTTAATGAAGTTTCTTTCTGATTGTCCTCATAAACATTATTTCCTAAAATTTGCGGAAGTTAACACTTTCAACTTCAACACTCAACAAAATATCCAATAATTTCGGTTCCCTCGCCTTTGTGCTCTCATTTTCTGGAAATATGACTCTTTTTATCATCACCTTGATTTCACAATTGATAAGCCAGCATAGCCTCCTTTTTTTGTTCAAATGTCATTTTTTTCGATTTCTTTGTAGAATTTTTTTCATTCTGGGAAAGCGGCTTGATAAAAAAATGATGAAAAAAATGAAACTTAATAGAATTTTCCTATTTTTTATATATTTACAAATCAACATTTATAACAAAAAAATTTATCAGAATTTTATTGGTACAGTTTTTTTGTTTGCATGAAAAATTTTCAATGAAAAGGTAATTTTTTTTTGAATTTGAATATCGAATGACTACTCCTTCAGTCACACCCTGCGGCCATTGAAAGATCAAGTTTTTCCTGTTGAATCATCAAATCGGCCGAAAAATACTAGAGAAGACTAAAGGGATATCCCTCCGGTCCGAAGAGACTGTAGGAAGGGATAAGCTGAGTCATGTGGATTGCACCGGACTTTGTGTTTGAGTGATAAGCGAACTCCCGAAAGCTAAAAAAATGATATCGAAATGGACAAGAACTGTCGAGCTCAAGGACGATCAGAATTATTGCATTATTGCATAATCCAGATCTTCCTGCAGTTTTCTCTAACAATTTTGAAAGGAGGCAAACTTTTTTTTGCCCTAGTAGTTCAGGTTTTTAAGAGATTGGAGACCATTTTATGAGTTTTTTTGAATTCATTTTTTTAAAAATAACTATCACTAATAAATTTTTTTGTTTTTTTCTTTGCAAGATGCAAAAAAAGTATTACAATATTTTCATAGGATTGAGCTTTGCTTGACCTTATAAAAAAAGTTCATTAAAAAAATGTTGAAGAGATATTTATTAGGCAGATTGTGTGAACTAAAAGCATTTGTAACGTTTTCGTATTCTCTCACTTTTTCTGAAAAGCTGAACTTAGTTTCATGGTAATTCAGAATGTAAAGTCGATGACCGTTCTCTTAAGCTCAAGGAATTCATTTTCATTAATTATTTTTTAACTGTGAATCAAGAAAATAGACCTCTTATTGACTTTATGAAATGTTGAAAAACTGCTACAATGACAATTATGACACTTAATCTCCCGATAACTGGGCACAAACTACAATCTTTCTACAAAACGCTACAATCCTCATAGGAAATTCATTCGATATAAACTTATCATCGATATTTCGAAATCCATGCAAAACACTTATTTATCATCTAAAAATCATCCCGGAAAGCTGACAAGGTTTTATAGCTTTCCAGGGAGTTTTCATTTCGAAATATCAACATTGTGGGCGACAAGCATTTTTCACACAGTTTTTGAAGTTTTTAAGGAATGTTTGATGGAAGAAAGACAGATTTTGAGAACAAATCAAGTTAGAACAAGGATCGCCCACGTTCCTTTTTGTTCTATTTCACGTGGGAAACTTCTCGTATTTGCTTTAGTTACAACACTCTATTCGACATGTTGTCAAACAGTCTTGACCTGAAGAATGTTACAAAATATGGAGGCTCATTATTCTAGATGCTAAAAAGAACCATATCCATTTAAGATTCCGATTTCAACTTTGTGATCTCGATTGGTTATGAAGAATGCGACACAGCCTTTCGGAAATAATGATTAATAATCATAAGATCAAATAAGCCGATGCTTTGGGAGAGAATAATACAGCTTACTCTCGAGTCAGAACTTTTTTTGAAAACTGCAACTTAAAATTGGTGTGAGAACTTGTTTTTTTTACAGCTCAATACTTTCGAGCCTCGATCTTAAAAATTAATTAAGCGCATCTCCCCGAAGTTATGTGTTTTCAATAAACTCTTATTTTTTCCCCAAGTTATGATCTTTTAATAAAAAACTGTTTAGCAGTCAAACTGAACAGTCTTCAGTTTTCCTCAGTGTAAAGTTTCCAAATAAAAAGCTCATCATTTGGAAACGCCTCAAAAGTTTTTGGAAGATTTTTGACAAACTTGTGTACATTAGGTTTTATTATTTTTTGTCGGGAACAGTCTTTGGTTTTACTCCGACAAACGTTTTTCGCCTCGTATTTGAAAGGCAAACAAGAAAATAAGCCATAAGCAAGCTTTTCAAATGAAGATTTGCTTAAGAGAAATGATTTTTACAGACACAACTCAGTTTACGAAATTTTTGCAAAAATGGAATTTATCGTATTCTTCATATCTTTCCTTCTTTTGAATCTGAACAAAAAAAAACTTTGTTGAGATTTAGTCCAACCACAACTTTCGATTACTCGGATTAGAAGAAGTCTTCGGAAGAAGAATTTTCTGAACATGGCGAAATTCTTATTTGTTGGAAACGATAATCGGTTTGGCTAATTTTCCACTTATTCGTCGACTTCAAAAACTCCATCTCAAAAAAAGTTTCCCAGTGCGATATCAATAAATGTAATCTGAAGATTTCCTGTGACAAGAAACTAATTCACTTCAATTATATCCTGTTCCGTCTTGAACTTTTCTTAAAAACAATCTTGATTTTTTGACCTGATTCATTTTTCCCTCTTCCGAAAAGGTTGATATTTGCATGTCGGTTTTGAACATTGTTAAGCTGTTTCATTCTCAGTTGACCTACCGTCTAGCGGGTTGCCGAGACGCGTAGGGCGAAGGCCGGTGCCATTCTTCGGAGTTGTATCGAATGTTTGTACATCCTCTGACTCATTCCAACATAGGAATTCGCATGTTACAGTAGCTTATTTTTCATACGCTCCATAGTGGAAATATGAGCTCATGTCAGCAAAAAGTTTATGTGTGACCGAAAAGAAAACTCTTTTTCTATTTACTAAAAAAATAGCGGCACACAAATTATGCCGTTATTTTTTTTTCTGAGTAGGACGCATAAGCTGTCATTTTCATATTCTGAAGTATTGGAAGTGATAATTATCAATAATCAATAATTATTCGAAAAAAATTTAAAGTAGAATAGTTTATTAAAGAAAGAAGAAAATTACAAATTTACGGGTTCACAGGCAGAGAAGCAAGGCAGGAGATAGCAAAAGATAATCAGGCGATTTTCAGCGAATCTGAATTCATAAGTTCATCGATTTTATGAATTATTTGCAACAAAAAAAAGCTTTTGCATTCAAAGGAAGAAAAAGTTGGCTTTTTTTCTCAATAAGGAAATCAGATTCTCGGCTTACTTTATGTTGGGTTCTCATTTTCCTCCTGAGAAGAGTCGCCGTTCTCGACCTGAGGACGGACTTCAAATGCAGGTAAGCCGTTGCCGTTGCCGTTTCCAGATTCCTCCTGAATTATAACGCTCAGAACAGTACCAAGTAATTTAAGTTCGTTCAAGCCTAAAAAACGTCTTTTTTGATATTTGAAAGTGTCGTACCTCTGAGGACAAAGCAAGCCTCATCTCCTCTTCCAGTAACTTGAGAGAGGCTTTAGCTTCGCGCCAGTTTTTCCTTGCCTCAGAAAATCGGTGCAGAGCAAAGTTCATCGCGTCGACTGTGAGCGCGGAGAAACTTTCATTGACTGCATCATTGGCTCGTCGTACGATATTCCGCCGGTCATCCATTATTTGATAGAGAAGAGAAACCCGTTCTCTGAGAGTATTCAGTTTCCGATCCATTATCTGTAAAAAATAAAAACTCAACGTTTCCATATTGTTGAAAATTTATAGCGTACACCAACCAAATAAAAAAGTCAAAACACACTCGCTCATGAAATCAAAACTAAACATGGATAAATTATAAAATGAGACTCACAGCGTAAATAAAAAAACTAAAAATTTATTCAATCATATACATGATTTCTTTCAATCCAGAAATCCAAGTTTAAGAAGAAAGAACTGTACAGAAACAAAAAAATTGGTTCGAGAGAAGAAGGCGAATAGCAAGCGCTTTGAACCATTCTTCCCTTTAAAAGCTTTCGAAAAACAGTTCCCACGGTAAATTTGATTTTACAGAATCGAACAACAAAAGCTTTGAAAGCATTTTAACTCAATTTATTGAGGGATATGAGTCATAGAAAAAATCCAGAACTTTCCAAATTTGGTGCTAGGATATAAGAAAAAAAAATGCGCCGCATTGAAAAAAAATCTAACCTTACACGACATCTTATCCTTCCTCCAAGGTTCAAATGATGTATGGTTGTATAATGTATTCTCTTAAATTCTTGATTCGAGTGATTTCATTTAGGTTCACGCTGATCTGTCAATAAATTATTAGGTACTTAAAAGAACATAAGCACTGAGTGAGCGAAAATGCTGAAGGAGGGGAAGTAGAAAATGATTTTCCATAAATTTTCTTCCTTTATCCTATAGTCTGTTCGCCACGACTTGAAATTTCATGGAACGACACTCCGCTGAGTGGCCTTGTGGCCGTGAAAGCGTCTTCGCCTTTGCGAATCTCGGTCGCGCTTTCAAAAATTTTTTTAATTTTTTTAATTTTTCATTATTTTTAATTATAATTTAGTTTGTTTTCGTGCCAAACAAAAAAATAATAATAACATAATTATTATGATGAAAAATCTAAATATAAGAAAATGAAAAATGCGACCGAGTTTCGCAAAGGCGAGACGCTTCGCAACAGCGCGCACAAGAACCACAATAGCAGCGGAGTGTCGTTCCATTAAATTTCTAGTCGTGTCACATCGACTATATAATTTTTTCGATTCTATCTGCTCATGCGGTCAGAATCAAGCTGGCGATTTCGGAAAAGTCATTTTTCTAACACTTGTATGACGAATATTAATAGCTAAATAACTCTCCTGGTAAGGAAAGCTAAAACCTCAAAAAGCTAAAAATCATCTATTTTATTACATATTTTTGGAAAAAAAGTTATTGGCTTTTTAACTGAAATATCCAAATCCCGAAATTGAGTCCTGCAGATTTTCATATTAACGTAGTGAATTCAGGGATCTTATCAAATGTTTTTTCCAAGAAGAAAGTTATTTTGCGCAATAACTTCGGATTTTTAGACTTCCTTCTTTGTGTTTACATTTCATATACAGATTTCAAACCCATTCATTTTTTTCATTTTTTTGATGAATAAAACCAAAACGACAGATAAACTTTTTATTCAGGTAAGAAAAAGAAAAAAAAGAAGAGCCCAGAAAATGAGACGAGAAGAAGGAGAAGATGAACGGCAGAGCGAGACTAGCACTTCTGAAAGTTTTTTTATCCAAATAAAAAGGTGTATTTTTCTATATACATTTTGATTGAATTCCAAAAATTGCTGATTGCGAAATTTCGCATACAAGATTAACGTACATCGGCCAGCGACTCGGTCGGAACCGAGGGCACCACCTGATCCTCAGAATCAGGAGCCTGAGAACAATCCGATGGTAGTTGCGGTACCGCGCTCTCGGTTGGCTTAAATATTTTCATGACTCACGAATTTCCAATTTCCAGTGTCGCATGGATTCACAAATTTGAAATTTTTTTGAATTTAATGCAGCCTCGATTTTTCCTCAAAGCCGCGTTAAAGTTTGGTATCTGTTGAGGGACTGTTAAACATATGATGAGGATGAATTGAATAACAACCTCCTCGATAGCTTGCTGCTGAGCGTCCTTGGCAGCCAACTGCTGAGCACGAGCTTGGCGAACTGATGCCCGAGCACGAGCGGCGGAACGCACAGCACGAGCGTGCTCACGCTGGCGAGCAGCCACGGCGGAGACTGAAGAAGCAGTTGCCTGAGCTGAACGCTCTTCTCGGCGCAGAAGCTGAAGTCGGCTCCAGGCGACGGCCCGACGGCTCTGGGCTACGATGGTAAGACGAGCGACTTGACGAGAAACCATCTGTAACAGATCCATAGTTGTTTCAACTCACAAAAGCAGAAAATGACACAGTTCGAGAATTCAACGACCACGCTGTCTTCCGAAATATTTTGAAATGCTTAAAGTTCCATTTTTTTTTCACCAAATAAGATTACGCTTGAGAAACAATTCAGCGAATTCCCACGAGTTTTCAATCTGTGTCATTTTGAATGCTTTTGTGAGTTGAAAGCTTTAATGGATCTGATGGAGATGAAATCAAGTTATGTCGCTCTCTCTCCACCACCTTTGCCGAAATAAGAATTTCCACACAATAAGGCTCTCAGAGTTTTGACTTTCTTAAGATACATCGAGTTCTTCCTTCCGGTTATAAAATAAACATCAACTTATAGAAAAAAAAGTTAGTGAAAAACGTTCGCTTTGGTTTCTGTTCGAAAACGATGAGAAAGGGCTTCGCATAAGAGGAATGTCCAGGCGTTTTAGCTTTCTCAAACTAAATTGATGATTAATATTCATGAGAAATAAGGATTTCGTCTGATCATTAATGACCCAATCAATATAGCGCATTTTCAAGAAAAGTTTTTTCTTCACTTCCGTTTTTCATTTTAAAATATTTTGATAACTATTTTTTCGAGCACTTTCAAACCACAGTTAAAACACACTAGTAGAATTATTTTGTGATAAACCACGGATCTATGAAATTGTCTTTCAAGTTACAAGTTTAAAAATTTATTCAGTTTTCAAAAAACATTTTCCTCTCATTCATAGAATAAAAGAAGATTTGATCGTCGGTTTGCGGATTTTCGTTGGCCGAAAATGACTCGTAGACCATTTCACACGCCCCCCTAGCGTCCCAAGCTGGCCATGAATCAGCTATAAATATCAAATAGTTGCGGAAACGAAGACCGACCAGTCAGAAGGTAGACATGTCATAATCTTCCAAGAAATCTTGTGTTTTGTTTTAGAGAGTTTCTCGATTTGTTTCGTTCGATTCACAAGCTGAAATTTTTTCCAATTCTGTGGCACTCAGAAATACCTCACTTATTTATTTTTCTCTGCTCTCCGTGGCCAACTGCCCTATTTCTTCTCTTTTCTGTGGGCAACCAATAATAACGCGGGTTATCGTCCGTTTGGAGCTGAACCAAAAAAAAAGAACGACTTCTTTTTCATTTTTCATTCGTATAGGATGTCCATCAGTGATATGTCAAATAATATATTTTTCTTCTTTCCGACGACCTTTAAAACTAAATATACATGAAATTTTTTTCGGACATAACTTACAGAGTACATGTCTAAAATTTATTTGCTTTTTGTGGAAAAAAGGAGGCCGTTAAAAAAAGAAAACAACACAAAATAAAAATTAAATGTGCGCAAAAAGGCAGATAACAACAAAAAATTTTTTTTCAAAATAGCGTAAAAACTTTGAGATCATGTATTCAATGAGTGTTAAAAAAAAACAAAGAAACGAGATTGAATGTATGAAAAGTAGAAAAATCTTTGACTTTTCATGAAGGCCGTTTCACGGTATGAAGTTGGTTAAAATTAAAGGTTCAATAAAAATAACAGTATATGTATATTTGAAAATTTGCAGTAGAATCCGCGGAGATCAGAAGGTTAGATTTTCTAAAAAAAAAATTTAAAAAAAAAACAGGATGAAAGTCACAGGTACGATTATAAATTAGAAGATTTCAGGCACGATTAAAAAAAACTCATTGAAGTATCAGGTAGTAAGGATTCAAATAAAATTCTAAAAAAAAAATGCTATCGAAAGGAATTATAAGAAGAAAACAACAATGTAACAATTATGTACACGGAAAAATGTTTTTACACAAATTTTCATATGCTCAAGAAATTCAACGACTGCCGGACGTGTGGGTGACAAGAACGGCAACAAAAAAAACAGGGTTGTTCATGGCAAACACGATCCAAGTTCTCCTTAAAATCTCTCATTGCACAATTCATTTCTCGAATTTCCGTTTTATTCAAAAATTCTCAATATCTCTTCTATTTTTCTGATAAAAATACGAAAAAAACTTACAATGAGCTATTGGACAGAATTGCAGGACCCGGCGGCGTCATTTGTGTCATTGGCCAATGAAATGTCCCTGTGGTTCTCGATAACCTAAAAGACACATGAGTAACTGTCCGCAGTAAAACTTTCTGAAAACTCACAGTATTCTGGACCATTTGACGGAGCAAGTCCTTGATATCTTGCATCTGATAAAAAGCATAAGCATTTTCCTCACGCGCTTTTTCAAGCTCGTAGGTCCAAAGGCGCATCCGATTATCTTTTCTCTTCTTGTCTGCTGGGAGGTTGGCTATGACTTTGGTGGCCCTCTTAATGGTGTCTTGCAGATTCGCATGAGCCGCCATTGCCTTCAGACTCAGAAGATCAGCAGCCTCCAGCATCGCTTCTTTTTCAGGCGCCAAGATCTGCAAAAAGGGAACAATGTCAGAATCGATCAATTTTCAAAGACAAGACAAATTACGAACCACAAAACTGGGCGTTCTGCGCAATTTTTCTCCTTCAATCGCGTCTTTTTTGTTCTCGAGACTGAACTTCTGGAGACGATGGACTTCGATTTGAGCATTCAGGGAGCTGGTCATACGAAAGTTTCTTTCTGCTCTTTGGAGCCACACGTGAGATCTAACTGCCATCTTGATGAAATCTTCGTTTTCCTGGTCAGTGGTCATCTAAAAAATCGAGTAAATGTCTTGAAAAGACGTTTTCCAAATGCAATTTAAGACGTACTTTGAAGTATACCATAGAGAACGCAAATAAAAAAAACCTCAACTCATTATCGAGTTGATCGAATAATTTTTTGAATCTCTGTAATCTCAAATGGATTTCTTGCAGGATTTTTATTGGAAAAAAATGCTTTAAAAAAATTTTCTATAAATCCGCCAATTTCGAAAGAGGTATGCATAAATCGCCTCAAACGCTTATATCTTGTTTGGCGGAAAAATCTCGACAGTATACTTAACATTTTTGGTCACGCTGAAGCCGCTTTACTATTCTCAACAGCAGCTATCAATATTGGACATCGAAATTTTTAAAATTGCTTCCAATTTCAATTCGTGGATAAAAGTTTCAATTGGAACATCGTCTTTAGTTGAGACACATATTAAAAAACCAACTTGTGATTTCTTTCGGATCGAATAGGTTTGAGCTGTGGAAAAATAACAGAAAAAAAAGACAGCACACTTCGAGGATAAAAAGTTGATGAGGCGTTGTCCGGACGACGAGTAACAAGAATGGAAGACAATCAAAATGACAGTCTGTCGGATAAAATATTGGCGCCAAGAATAATTTCAAGCCGCAAGTGCGCCCCATCCAACTCGGCTCGCTCCTCTCCTCTTCTTGTATCGACTTGAATTTTCCTTTGTACTTATTGATTGGGACACAAACATTTTTTTTTATTAGGTTTTGCTGCTAGTTTTCGGAGAAAAAGCAATTATTACAAAAATTGGATTCCGAGGCTTCTTAGCAGTCTTATCTTGCCTCAATTATCCTTAAAACCGAGCTAATATAGTTTTTTGACTATCTCCAGTTCATTTGAGCCATCAACTTTTTGAGCAGAAATTTAAAAGCCATGAACATCCTGCTTCCCTTTTTTTGAACCATTTAAAAACCAATCAGTTAAATCGAGAGTTCATCCCAGAAGGAGGAAAACGATGAGATTTTTTTCTTATTCGTGACTAATAATTGAAAGAGCGAGAAGGATCGACTTTCGATTTTAAGTCTTCGAAAAAAAATATGAGCGGCAAAATCTTGAAGCTGGAAAGTTGAACCAAACTTTGCACTCCAGATAACTTGCCTCACAACCCTAACAGCGGAATTAGCAAATAATTGGGTTTTTTTTTTCTCCAACCCAGCTTTCTCAGTTTTTCCAAAACCATTTCGAAACTTGTTAAAACCCGGTATGCAGAGTATCAAGACAGGAAAAATAAATGAAAGCTTCATTCCTTAATGGAGAAAATTTAAGCTTGATAAAACACGTTGCGCTCTGGAGTACACACCGCGGTGAACTTCCAGAAGTTTTCAAAGGAAGTCGAACACTTGTCGTTAGGATCATTTTTTTCTACTTCATTTCCAGTCGAAGACCGTATCCATGGTCGGAACATCCGTTACATGGTGCCATTGGTCTGCCGTACAAAAAACTTTGAATCCTTCAATTTCCTGTTTTTAATGCTAGTGTGAGTGAAAGAACATTTTCCTAATCAGAATAATTTTCAGAGTTTCCAAGATCATTCGAATATAAGTTCGACTTTCTGTTTCGTTATCGACTTGAAACTTTTTAATTCTAAGTAACGAGATTTTGTGGATTATCTCTGTTAAAAACAGCATTGAATCTCTGTTGGAATACAGGTGAAAACAAAAAGAAGTTCGGATAAAACGACGATTCTAAATCACAGCTATTCGATTTCCTATTTCCAAATAACGCTTTGGAATACACATTCAGCTTCAAAATAATGACCAAATCCTGCGTCAACTCAAAACCTTCGATGGCCCAAATGAGTTCTCTGTACTTTACGTGTTTTCATGATTTCTTATAACAAACTTCGATTATGACATTTTATTTCGAGTATCACATTTTATACCAAATTATATACAGTTGAAAATTTCTCAGGTCACTTTCGGGCCTGCAGCTGGGCTATTGGTCCGGTTCGTCGTAGAAGATGTCGTTGAAGTAGACCGTACCTTCCATCTCGTCGTCCTCTTCCTGGAATGCAATTCCATTTGAAACTAAGAACGAGAAGTGGATGTCACAACTTTCAACTTTAAATCAGAAAAAAACTGAAAAAAGGAACAAACCTTGCAACGAAATCTTGTTCAATTTGATTTTATTTCCTCGTTGTTTCGGAGCTGTCGAGGTGCGAGCGTCGCTGCGTCGGAAAGTCCACTCCCGGATCAGCACCTGCAAAGAAAAATAATTGAAAAAGCAGACAATTCGCCTTTTTTTCAATCTCAGGTTTCATAATTCTCTCGTTAATTTCAACAGAAAAATCAACGAACCAAAAGCATGGCTATACGGAGCAGTTGACCGCTCTGCGTATGATAGTCGTCTGAAAAATTACACATTTGATGGTTTTTTTAAAGAGTTTTTTTGTTCATTGAATATTTTATATTTATCTTTTAAAAATCTTTGGTAAATTAAGAGAAACTAACTATTCTTCATTGCTGTTGCTCCGGCGGATAAAACTGTGGCGGTGGGGACGGCCCTGAATTTCGTATATTCAGAAAGGTATTGGAGAAACCAAGGGAACTCACGAATCAAAGGGTCGTGGGTGATGAGGAGATGTAGTTGTAGTTGGAGATTTGGTTGTTGTTCATCATCATCATCCTGTCGTTCACCATTGTTCTGAAAAAACACGTCAAACAAAATAAAAACGGCCAGTTTATCTGTTTTTAATAATTGAGTGACTTGAAAAAAAAACAGAGTTCGAAATTCTTATCATGCATGAGTTTCGAAAAAAACGCAATAATTTTTTTCCAAAAAAACTCACGGAGACGATTCACAGCTAGCTTGGGACGCAAAAAGACATCTAGACATTTAAAAACATTTTTTTAATTATCAAAAAAACAGTTTGGTACGTTTTCAGGAAATTATTATCCCTCAACACTTTCTTGTGAGAGAGCAGAAAGTGTAAGTTTTGTTCGTCGGAAATTGTGTATTTATCTTTCAAAATCTTCGGTAAAATGAGATAAACCAACTGTTCTTCATTGCTGTTGCTCCGGCGGATAAAAACTGTGGCGGTGGGGACGGCCCTGACTTTCGTATATTCAGAAAGGTATTGGAGAAAACCAAGGGAACTCACGAATCAAAGGGTCGTGGGTGATGAGGAGATGTAGTTGTAGTTGGAGATTTGGTTGTTGTTGTTCACCATTGTCCTGGAAAAAACTAAAACTTCCAGGTAATTATTGATTGCTAAATACTTTCTTGTGAGTGAGCAAAAAACGTAAAGTGAGTTCTCAAGGCAGAAAAGAAACTGATTTTTTTTTTAAATTTTTCCTATTTTAACTTTGCATCACTGAAAAAACAAATGAAAAAAAATGCCTTACCGTGATATCATCCACGGTGATTTCCCTCCATCACCGTTTCAGAGCTGTCCAAACGCGAACGTCGCGGCGTCTGGAACTGCACTATCGCGTCAACATCTGCAAAAAGAATCTCATAATATAATAAATATATTTTCCATCTTTCATATTTATGAGCTTTTAGTTGGCTTCTTTTTTTCAATTGAACGATCTTAAAAAAACATTTTCTCTAGAAAGGTAGGTTCTGCTTGACAGTAAGCAATTTCTCAAAAGTCTGCTTAAAAAAACGTTTTTCGATTTTCTAAAGAAAAATGGTTAACGATGGCAGTTTTGTAATTATAATCAAAAAAAACTTACAATTACGAGTTTCAAAAAGGAATAAAAAAAGGAAAAAAACCGAGGAAACTCACGATTCGAAGGGTCGTGGGTGATAAGGAGATGTAATTCGATATTTGATTATTGTTGTTGACCATCGTCCTGAAAAAAACTAAAACTTTCAAGGAATTATTGATTGCTAAATACTTTCTTGTGAGTGAGCAAAAAACGTAAAGTGAGTTCTCAAGGCAGAAAAGAAACTGATTTTTTTTTTAAATTTTTCCTATTTTAACTTTGCATCACTGAAAAAACAAATGAAAAAAAATGCCTTACCGTGATATCATCCACGGTGATTTCCCTCCATCATCGTTTCAGAGCTGTCGAGACGCGAACGTCGCGGCGCCTGGAACTGCCCCTTTGCATCAACATCTGCAAAAACAAACTCATAATATAATAAAAAAATATTTTCCATCTTTCCTTTTTTTATGAGCTCTCAGTTGGCTTCTTTCTATCCATAGAACAATCTTAGATTTTCTTTTGAAAGGTAGGTTCTGCTTGACATTAAGCAATTTTTCAAAAGTCTGCTTGAAAACGTTTTCGATTTGCAAAGGAAAATGATTAACGATGGCAGTTTTGTAATCAAAATGAAACAACTTACGTGTATTAGTTCCAAAAAGAAATAAGAAAAGAAAAAAAAACTGAGGAAACTGAGAAAACTCACGAATCGAAGGGTCGTGGGTTATAAGGAGATGTAGTTAGATATTTGGTTATTGTTGTTCACCATCGTTCTGGAAAAACTAAAACTTTCATGGAATTATTGATTGCTAAATACTTTCTTGTGAGTGAGCAAAAACGTAAAGTGAGTTCTCAAGGCAGAAAAAGAAACTGATAAATTTTTTTCCTATTTTAACTTTGCATCACTGAAAAAAACAAATGAAAAATGCCTTACCGTGATATCATCCACGGTGATTTCCTCCATCATCGTTTCAGAGCTGTCGAGACGCGAACGTCGCGGCGCCTGGAACTGCCCCTTTGCATCAACATCTGCAAAACAAACTCATAATATAATAAAAATATTTTCCATCTTTCCTTTTTTTATGAGCTCTCAGTTGGCTTCTTTTCTATCCATAGAACAATCTTAGATTTTCTTTTTGAAAGGTAGGTTCTGCTTGACATTAAGCAATTTTTTTCAAAAAGTCTGCTTTGAAAAACGTTTTTCGATTTGCAAAGGAAAAATGATTAACGATGGCAGTTTTGTAATCAAAATGAAAACAACTTACGTGTATTAGTTTCCAAAAAGAAATAAGAAAAGAAAAACTGAGGAAACTGAGAAAACTCACGAATCGAAGGGTCGTGGGTTATAAGGAGATGTAGTTAGATATTTGGTTATTGTTGTTCACCATCGTTCTGGAAAAAAACTAAAACTTTCATGGAATTATTGATTGCTAAATACTTTCTTGTGAATGAGCAAAAAATGTAAGTTTTGTTCGTTGGAAATTTTATATTTATCTTTTAAAATCTTTGGTAAATTAGGAGAAACTAACTGTTTTTTATTGCTGTTGCTCCGGCGGATAAAACTGTGGCGGTGGGGACGGCCCTGAATTTCGTATATTCAGAAAGGTATTGGAGAAACCAAGGGAACTCACGAATCAAAGGGTCGTGGGTGATGAGGAGATGTAGTTGTAGTTGGAGATTTGGTTGTTGTTGTTCACCATTGTCCTGGAAAAAAACTAAAAACTTCCAGGTAATTATTGATTGCTAAATACTTTCTTGTGAGTGAGCAAAAAAACGTAAAGTGAGTTCTCAAGGCAGAAAAAGAAACTGATTTTTTTTTTAAATTTTTCCTATTTTAACTTTGCATCACTGAAAAAAACAAATGAAAAAAATGCCTTACCGTGATATCATCCACGGTGATTTCCCTCCATCACCGTTTCAGAGCTGTCCAAACGCGAACGTCGCGGCGTCTGGAACTGCACTATCGCGTCAACATCTGCAAAAGAATCTCATAATATAATAAATATATTTTCCATCTTTCATATTTATGAGCTTTTAGTTGGCTTCTTTTTTCAATTGAACGATCTTAAAAACATTTTCTCTAGAAAGGTAGGTTCTGCTTGACAGTAAGTAAGCTTTCAGAAATCTGCTCAAAAACGTTTTTAATGTTTAAATGAAAAATTGGTAACGATGGCAGTTTTGTAATCATAATGAAACAACTTAGGTGTATTAGTTTCAGAAAAAGAAAAAAATTAAGGAAACTCACGATGCGGTGAGTCCTGAGTTCTGAGAACGTAGTTGTAGTTGGAAATCCGGTTGTTATTATTCACCATCGTCCTGAAAAAACACGTCAATCAAAATAAAAACAGCCGAATTTTTTAATTTCAATAACTAAGTATTTCAAATAAAAGAAAAAAATTTTGAAAGGTCATTTTTTAAAGTTACTTTTTCGCGAAAGACGGTACATGTCTACTGACAAAAGTGAGGCAAAAGTCATGAGGTCAAACAAGAGCCCCATATTCTGACAGATTCCCAGTGAGTTCTTATTCCTTTCTTGATTTTCAAAGCTAAGTGTAAAAAAAGAAGAAGTATGAAAAATAATAACGATCACACTCTAAAAATTTTTTTCTTGCTTGCGTTTTAACTCGAGATTCCGACAAAGCTGCGTCGCGTGGGCAACGCTTCACGATTGCCAATCTACCTATCTCGCCAAAAAAATTTTAGAAATGCCCTGCTACTTGAAAGATCACTTAAGTGAGACTCAATGCAAAAGTTTAAGAAAGACTTTATTGCTGCGTTGATCGCCTGGTTTCACACTGTTTCACCCGTTTTTATTGTGCGGATTCACCCGAAACGGAATTTTGCCGTGGCGATCTCTCTTCGAAGTTGGATCTTTTTTTTGATATCTTTTTAAACTATATTTTTTCATTTTGTTAAATGCAAATTATTTTCAAAGTAAAGTAAACTCACATCGGCCAGCGACAAAGTCGATGCCGCAGGCACGACGTGATCCTCAAGGTCAGTAGGCCGAAAAGCAGCCGACGGGAGCTGCGACAACACGCTCTCGGTCAGCTGAAACATTTCCGTAGCGGGAAAAAATGAAAAAAATTTTTTTGAATTTGCTGTAACTTCGATTTTTTTAGGAGCCAAGTTATAGCGATTTGAAACTAATTTAAGTGTTAATAAACACTTTTTTTGAGATTCTACTGGATAATTATCTCAAAAAAAGCGGGCTGCTGGGAACGAGCTCGGCGAGCTGAAGACGCAGCACAAGCCGTCTTTGACGAAACAGTTCCATCTGAACGCAGCTTTTAATTGGTGGAATCTTGGTAACCCTATTGTTTTACTCGATTTTGATTTATTGAAGACAAAACAACCACCGAAAGAATTATTTCCACACAAAAAAAATAGAGCAAAAATAAGAATTTAAAAATATGTCACAGAAGTTTGACAGAATCCAAACCGCGAGAAAAACTGTAAATAGTGGCAAAAAAAAAATTTATTGCGAAAAGTAATGGCATTAGAAAAAATATTGAACAGTTGGAAGCGTCGCCCTCGACATCATCATCGTCGGCTTCTTCGACAATCTAAGAACAACACGATCAGATTTTCACACGGGGACTTTTTCCCCTCGTTGCCCTTAGTTCCTTTATAAGAGTGACACCACATTTGAAGCTAAACTAACGCCTAATCAGCCCCAACTACTCACCCCTCAGTGGGACTTCCTAACAAAACTCTGCTTTAATTTGTTTTTAGATGCGAAAATTATCTATTTGCGGCGATTTTTAAACATTCGCCCGAACAATTATTTCAATTTCAGAATTCGAAGTCAATTCACAGAAATCAAAAAAGATTTTCCTAGTTGTCACGAAAACAGAAAAATTATTTTATCACATTAAAAAGTTCTGCTGTGAATGGAGAAAAATACTAATTGAAACTGTTGAAACTAAAAATTCCAAAAAGAGGTGTTAATTCGAAAGTTCGAAAACTGCCTGGTTTGAGAAAAGTTTCCGAAGCAACACCCCTTCCGACCCCTGGACTCCCTACCGATCACCTAACTGGACTCAGACCTTCCCCTTATCCTCACCTACTTCCCCTAACAATGCAAACTCACGACACCGCCCACGTTCGATTGGTCGTTGTAGTCGTGCGTGGAAGACGACTTCCATCCGACCTTTCGTTGTTCGGAAGCCCGCGAGGGCGATCGGATCCTGCAAGTTGATCAGTTAAAGTCTTTCGAGAAAAATCCCAAATACTGCCAAATTTCTGTGGAATAGTCTTGTTTGTATATTGGAAACGTCGGCAAAACTCGAAAAGTACCGGGTTTTTCTTAGGCTGTAAAAGGCGCCAAAAAGCTGTTGTCGGAGTGTTTTTTTGAGGTGAATCTGAAATAATAATGATTATTCACGAATTTGATGAGAATTAAAAAAAGAAACAGAGACAGATGGAAAGAAATTTAGAGAGCTTTTTCGTTCATTTTTTTGTACTTTGCACATTAAAAAAATTAAATTTCTACGTTACTACTATTGAGAAAAATCATAAAAATGTAATTGGAAAACTATGGAAAAAAAGGAAAAATAAAACAAATACCTGATTTTCCTGATTGGAAGACAAGTAAATGGGACCAAAGTGACTTCAAATGCTGGATCTTGCCCAAGTTGAACATACTGCCAATGATACAAACCCTGAAATAAAAATTCAGTTGAACATTTATTTTATTCTAATCTTCAATATAGACGACGAACTATCAAAGAATAAAAAAATACTTTGAAGCAAATTCCTAGGCGACTCACGTGTTCAAATAGTCCGTTTTAATTACACATGACGAGTCGAATTTTGTCGCCCATTTAAAGAAAGTTTTTCAGATTTCTGAGACTTTTACTATTCTCCAGTCTTAGGTTTTCACGGGGAAGTGACAATAAAACTTTGAAATCAATATTGTTCAATATTTCGTGGTTCATACTTTTTATTTAACTGTATTTTACGATAGAATAAAATGCTTTTTTTTCATTCTATTGACGGGTTTTCATTAAAATTTTACACTAATTTCCACACTTTTTTTGAATTTTACAACCGTGTTCTCGATAACGTTTGAATCACACTCTGAAGACTTTTTCACTCTAGAAAACGCGTCTCAAATCGGGTTAAAAAATTGATCGATACTTTATTTGAACAGTAATGATTCTAAAATGACTTTTCCCACTCATTTAATGGAGAAAAGCGAACAGCGTTTCCCTGTTTCGACTGGATTAGGCGGCTTCTTGAGTGAAGACGTTTTCGAAGTCTTCTTCGTCCCGCCGCAGCTGCTCGCGAAGTCGACGTGCCCGGTCTTGCATATGTCGGAGGATGCGGTCGTTGTCGATCATTTCCACTTTGAAATTATGATAGATTATGATACTTCAAATTTTATTGTTGAACTCCTTTAAAAAAAACTATTGATACGCTGAGAAAAAGTGTCGAAAACCCCTCTAGATTCAGTCTCACTTCTCGATATCCAAGAGCAGACAAAACTCTGTGGGAAAGTTTCAATAAGCAAAAACCTTAATAAAAGTTCATTTTATACGGGATTTCAACAAAAAATTGTGGATAAAACTCTCAAGATGTATTAGTTGGATTTAAACGTAGCATTGCGGGATTATTTATCAGGCTAGTCCATCACCGGCCGAGCGTCGCCATCGTCAAGGAAGTCGACTAAAAAAAGACTCGACGGTGTTGTTCTGGCCCTGGAACAAAACTCTTGAGACGTCATATCAAAATTAAACTTTGAAAGCACTACACATTTTTCAAAAGAAAAAGTATTTGATAATAAGTCAGATTTTGATTGTAGTTACAAAGGTCAATCGAAAAACAAAAAAATAATTTTTTTCGATAATCAAAGTATTTTATGAACTAAAAAAAGTATTGTTTTGTAGAAAATCTGTTAAGGCCAAAACCACGACGTTAAAAGTCCATGACCAATACAAACCAAAAAATAAATATACTGACCATAATATTTCGCAATAAAGTCTGAAGTTGCAGATTTTGATCTTTTAGCGTTTCGAGTACGGAATATGCGAGTTGAAGCTCATTCTCCAGGAAAAGGATCTCGTGCTTTTTTCTGTCTGTTGAACCGAAGCCGCCTTGCGTCTCCAAATAGACCTTTCTTGAGGCTTCGATGTACATCAGCAACTGAACGATTCGGAGCTCGTTGAGGACACAATTGTCCGACAACGCTGTCAATTCGTTTGTCCAACCCTGTAAAAAAGAGCTTTCATGATAAATCCATTAATTAAATTTTCAAAGAACTTTTTTTCAACAAAACCTAGTTTAATAAACATAAATGGTTCGTTTCGCGCAAGGCGATCATGTTTCAAAAAAAAAAAAAGCAAAAGCTACCTTAAATAAAAAAACTGCTTAAAAAAGCAAAGATGCTTAACTTCAATCTCTTATTCAGTATGAGGATTTTTTTGGGACTTTTTTTAGAAACTTTGATAAAACTATCAACGGCTTTCGAGAAACTTGAATAACGTTTTTTCAAGTTGGTACGAGAAGGAAATTTCCGATGATGAACTTTCATCCAACCCGTAAACTTTCAAGACCAGAAGAGTTGCGTGATGACTTTCTGCACTTTGAGCTTATTACCATTTTATACAACACGGTCTCTCAGCTATAAGAAAATATATCTTGTTACGGAAGTTTGAGAAAATTCAAATGTAGAACCCTATCGTTTTTGATGAACGGTGAGAAGTAATTTATCACTTACTAGACAGATAGATTGGGAAAAAAACCAACCCCGTACTCTTCCCGACGAATGCTCCGACTGAGTTCGAGAACAATCCCTTCCCAGGCGAAGCAGATCTGCTCCACCTGCAGCAGTTCATTCCGCAGAGGAGAGTTGCAGTTGAGTTGGACTTCTTTTCTGATTTGCCGGAAGAGGACGAACGTTTGAGCAGCTTCTTTTATCGCCGAAACTAGATACATTTGCTGAAATATAAAATGATAAGTTGTATTGTGAACCAAATATTAACATTTGAGTTTATTTTTGAAAGATAAGAACTTTAAAAAAATGTTTCTTTACAAGTTTCCTCTTATTAAAAAGTTTTTCCTCGTGAACATGATTCAGTTGATCAAATTTCGTATCAGAAAGTTAAAGGCAAGATTGCGAACCAATTACCTGATTTTCGACGACCATTTCGATGTACTTCGAGATAGTATTCAGAAATAGATACTAAAAAAATATATATGTTGGATTTTTTTCAGAAGTGAAAGTTCCGAGCGAAAAAAACAAAAAAACAGAGTGAAAGTATTGAAAGAAAAAGAAAAAATTGGGAAAGACTGAAATGTCGGGGCCAGGAGTCCTCCAAACGCGGCATCGTCTTCGTTGTGAGGGCATCGGACGTTTCCCGCTTTGGGTCAAAAATGCGGATCGATCTCGCAGTCAAAATATGTACTTGTGTGTCTGTTAGGAACCTTTTTCACACTTCTCGGAAAGGTCAATTCATTGAATGGGATCTTCATTTGAAGAATAACACAGGAACACTAAAAGCAAAATCGGAGTTCTGATAAAACTGAGCATATTTTCTTTTGATTGCAATATTTAAATGTGCGTTCAAAACTTTTCCCTTCCAAGTTTTTGAAAAAAACTTTGAATCCTTCAATTTCCTGTTTTTAATGCTAGTGTGAGTGAAAGAACATTTTCCTAATCAGAATAATTTTCAGAGTTTCCAAGATCATTCGAATATAAATTCGACTTTCTGTTTCGTTATCGACTTGAAACTTTTTAATTCTGAGTTATGAGATCTTCTCATTTGAAAATAGCGCTGAATCCTTGTCGGAATACTGATGAAAACAAAAAGAAGTTCGGATAAAACGACGATTGTAAATCACGAGAAGTTCTTTGGTTTCCTATTTTCAAAAAACGCTTTGGAATCCACATTCAGCTTCAAAACGAATAATGACCAAATCCTGCGTCAACTCAAAACCTTCGATGGCCCAAATTAGTTCTCTGTACTTTACGTGTTTTCTTGATCTCTTATAAAAACTTTCATTATGACATTTTATTTCTAGTATCACATTTTATATCACATTATATACAGTTAACAACTTTTCAGGTTTCTTTCACGGCTGAAACTGGGCTACTGGTCCGGCTCGTCGTGGAAGATGTCGTTGAAGTCGACCGTACCTTCCATCTCGTCGTCCTCTTCCTGTAAATCATTTGAATTTGAAAATGGAAACGAAGAGAGGATGAAAAATGAAAAAAGAAAAAGTTTTACTCACTCTCAACGCTTTGAGAACGTCCTGCGCGTGCTTGTCCCTCAGATCCTCATTTTTCTTGAGGGCTGAGTGAGCCCTGAAGAGCCCTTTGGTCAGTTGGCACTTCGCTCTTTTCTGCGCAGGCGTCGGCTGCTTCCCGGATGCCTTGCATACCGCAACAAAAGCCTGCTCCATCTCGATTATGTGGGCTTTTATCTGGAGCAGACGAATCCTGGTCAAACTGTAATCTTTTGCCACGGCTCTCGTCTTTCTTCCCAGCTCCTGTAAGACTTAGATTTTCTCGAGGAAACATCATTCAATTTTCATTTCTCTCTGAGAGAACAAGGTTTTCCTATTTTCATTTTTTTGAAATACTCAGAAAAAGATTGAAAAGGGTTCTGGAGGTGAACAGACTGGTTCTGGAGGTAAATAGAGTCAAAAGCTCATTTCATGCTTCTTTGAAAACATAAGTTTTATCGAATTTGACCAGATTTTTTTAGAAGTACCAGAAACAAATTTTGAAAATCATTACTTATGAAATTCAAACAAAAGTGAAACAAGATTTTTTTCGAAAACTTTTCCTTGTACAAAAATGAAACACCAACCCCGAAGTTCTGCTTCCTGAACCTCTTCTGGAACTTCAGTCCTTCGCTGTCGATTTCGTTGGTCAACCGCTGTAGTCGATTGACTTCCACTTTCACCCGGAGACTGTCCGTCTGACGTAGCTTGGAGCACTGCTTCTGGAGCTGCAGGTAAGACTTAAGAGACTTGCTCTTAATTTGCTTCCAGGAGAGTCGAGCCATTTTTCTGAAAAAGTTTCTTATTCACAAGAGAGGAAATTTCATCGACAATACGAAATATATCAGAAGTTTTTTTAGAACATTTTTTCCGAGAATTTAAAGGAAACAGATAAACGATGATTGCAATGAAGAACTATTCTGAACTGCCATGTTCCTAGAATTATGAGTCGTTTTCAATAAAGAATCTTCCTTGAAACCTCCAAAGTATTTTTCTGTAAAATATCAGGAACTCCAAACTACACACACAAGTAAATTTCTAAACGATTAGGATGATCCATAAAAACTTGTTTGGCCGTTTACAATTTCTCCATTTTTTTTTGAACTTATTTTTTTTCAGATTCTGGACTTATGACGATATTTTTGTTTCACAATAACTATTGAAAAAAGGATAGCAGTAAGTAGAATTAATGTGGTTGCTTCAAAAAGTTGAAAGATTGATTTTTGAAAAACTTTATGATGCCATAAATAACCAGATTTTTTCAATTTTTCGATTTTTTCAAGGAAAAAAAAATAACACTTCAAGCGTATTTGAAATTATCGCTAGTGATTCGTTCTCAATCAGCTTTAATTTTTTTGGACGCGAATCTCTAAAAAAATAATTTTGACAATATAAAAATATATCAACGAAAGGAAAAATATTTTAAATGTAACCATTAGTTACTTTTTCTTTTTTTCGAAAGGCTGGAATGAAAAAAATTATTCGAAAATGCCTTTCGAAATTTCATTTCGCCCAAAAACATTCGAAAATCTTTTGAAAGGAGAAAAAAACAGAATCGAAAGCTTATTCATGTTAGTAGAAGAAATCAGGTCTGTATCATATAGATTTCGCAATTACAAAATTCTAAAAGAATATTTCAAAAAGAAAGACGAAAAATGTGAGTTTATTATGATCCAACCTTCTATTTTAAATTTGAAAAGGTAGAAAAAAGGCATAAGGTTAACAGAAACAAGATGAAAAATAACGAAGCGAAGGAAGAAAGACAAATAAATGCTTGTGAATCGCATTGTTAGGTAAAAGGAGCGAAAAGAAGGCGGTATTAGTTCACATCCATCACACCTCACTTCAGAAGGTGTCACATTTGTTTCGAGCTTCAGGCCAGGTCAGATGAGGCGGCGGAATGAAGAATGATACGCGTTTGAAATGCTCTAATTTCTGAGAATAATTGGCATCGAATCCTGTTTTCTGATCAAGAAGGTTAAGTCGCCCAAAAAAAATCTTCCATGTTTCACCAGACAGTTGGAACAAACATTTTCTCAAGTTGTTAAATCTTCTTCAAAATGAAACAGTCTGCGTGTGTTCAAATCCGTCCTCAGCTGCTTTGGGTTTCTAAGCAATTGCTGAGAAAAAAAAAGAATCGTCCGGAGCTCGAGGAATCCATTCAGTCAGGAGAAATTACATTGTTCTTCATTGAGCATGGTTTCGTTTTTAAAGATGGCTTCAGGCATTTCGCAAGATGATATGACCGTTCATTTTTTGATTTCAGACATTGAAAAATTTCTTGGTCACTTTTAAATTAGAAAACTGAATAATTTTCCTTGAAAGGAAAAATATCGATAATATCGAGAAAAATATTGAAGAAATCAAGTTAGAAAAAGTCTTCAGGGCTCTTTGAAAAAATTTCAAAAAACGTCGAAAATTTTCATTACGTATTAGCCTTTTCAGTTTTAGTTTACAAAAACGGAAGTTAAAAAAGTGCAAAAAATGAGAAAAATCTTTTCTGAAAGGAATTTCCTTTTTTTCCGCTTGGATGAAAAAATATCAAAAATATACATGATGAGTTATTGCAATCGAATCAAGAAATTCAATCAAATCTAGCCAAAGTTGATCAGGCGGCTGGCTCTTCTGCCTCTTCCGTGGGAGCTCGCCAGCACGAGCATGCAGAAGAGCCAGCCGCCTGAGCTGAACGCTCCTCTCGGCGCAGAGGTTGGAGTCAACTCCAAGCGACGGAACGACGGCTCCTGGTAACGGTCGACAGGTTGGAGACACAACGCAAAACCATTTGTAACAGATTCATATTGACTTTCAATTCACAAAATCATTCAAAATTATACAGATTGAGGGCCTAATAGAAATTTGCTTAATAGTTCTTCAGAGCATCTTGAAAGTTTTTCTTTTTTTTTA